GGAGGAAGATGCGGAAAGAGGATGGAACATTAAAGGAAATATAAAGAAATAACAAAAAAACATGGGGGAAAAGTGATAGAAGAGACAGAGGGATGGAAATGAGGGAGAGAAAAGTAGAGATAGGAGATATAAAGAGAGAGAGAGGGGGAGAGTGGGGTAAGAATAATGTGGAGAAAGCCTTTTTCGGAACCCCGTTGATAAGCTCTGTGCATGTGGTGCTGTTTAGTTACTGGTTTATTAAATTTGTTGTTTGCTTGTTTGTTGGTTTATTGCATGTTTATTGCGAGTATGTAATTCAATTCTTCGATAATGCAAATACAAGTTTTTCTTCATCGTGGACAGCGATATAGCCGCCAACCCCCTTGTTTACACGTTACATCATTTTGTGCCCCTCCCCCTTGCCCCCTCGCCTGCATTGCCATATAGTACAGACTCACATCTATCTACATCATCATGGTGAAAGGTCTAGCGTCATGACCGTCAGAGTTAATTCGTCTGGGATTCTCTAATTGATAGTTAATTATGTCATAGCTCTTCGAGATCGAGATAGAGAGAGAGAGAGAGAGAGAGAGAGAGAGAGAGAGAGAGAGACAGGGAGACAAAGAGAGAGAAAGAGAGAGAGAGAGATGACGACTGATAGACTGTGACCTACAAAAAGCCTACCAATTATTATTGATGCAACCTTGATTTGTTTACATGACTGTGTTGTGGTCTATACCATCCTCATCACCGTCCCTCTTCATCTGTGTTGGTTGGCTGTTATCAATACAGGATACTTTCACATTTGCCTCGTAATCATATCTGTAATACTGAAATGATTTTCTATCGATTTGTGTCTTTTGTTTATACACCTCCATCATCTTCCTTATCGTGGTGACACCATCATCAAATTCATGGTAGACTTCACCGTCATCATAATCAATTAATCATCATGCACTACCATCAATATCATCATCGTCATAATTATCACCATCGTTGATTTGGTCATCACCACCACCACCACCACCACCACCACCAACACCAACAACAATTTCATCATCGTAATCAGCATCCTAATTCCTCTTTATGCAATTCAATTCAATTCAATTTTTCCACTTTAAAAACAAATTAAAAATCAATAACATATACATGAATAATAGTGGCGGGATCATGAAAAGCACTAATTGGCTTACTGAAAATGACCCCTTAACAATTATACACATAACCTATTATACATTGTAAGAAAATATCACAAATTATAACAGGAAAAACATAACAAAAAGATCTAAATGAAAATATCATCATCTCATCATCAGGTTTTACTTCGAACTCTTAATTTGTAGAAAGTTGCGCTTCATGAAATAGCACTGTTACATCACCATCTTGGGAGATGACCCTATATACGGGGACTTTCGTTTTACCCGTGATTTTCATAGTTATTTTCACTCTACGTTGTACTATGCAGATAGCTTGCGCGCCTTCAAAACAAGTAAACAACATTTCCAAAATATCATTGCATGGCTCAATCATGTGATACTGACGTAATACAACGCTTGAAAGAGACGACCCCATTCTTTGCCCCCTTCATCTAATAAATTCTTGAGAGTTCAATCTATCCAGCTCCTACATTGCTGGCATTCACCTTAATGTTCACCAGTGTTCACGGCTTTGCTTTGACGGTCAAGCCCGTATGTACAAGCACGCCATCACTAATTTTGTGAAGGGTACGACGTCATTTTCTGCATGGGGAAATGAGATTGTCTCGTAGAATTGTTATAAGATGTGACAGGTAAAATGGTCATGGTCGCTATAGGGGCACCCCCCCCCCCCCCACCCCCGTCCATCAACCAACTGGCGAAAAGGAGAGAGAGAAAAAGAGAGATAGGAAGGGAAATAGGGGGCGTGAAAATAGGATCCCCCCCCCCCCCCCCACCAACGCTTCCTCTTTGTCCGGACCTATAGTTACACAACGCCAAGGATGAAAAGAAATGTCGTATCCTGTATTTCATATCAAGCTCTTTCTTGAAATCATAGTTCACGAGGAAAGAATCATTTTGACCTTTAGATTTATTTTTTTTGCATCATGTATTTCAAACACTGGAGAAAAATATCTTCAAAATGTATTCATGAATTGTATGTATTTCTTAACGCGAAAGTCAGTGGGAAGCAATACTCGAAATGTACTGATCTGAAAGTTGATAGTGTTATGAGATAAAATATTGATTCAGAAAATAATTGAATCCCTTGTCATTGAAATTCCAAGGCAATGTTCAGAGTATGTGCAAAGCTATAACACTTTAGCACACATATACCCCATTCACAGTGGTTTTGAAATTTGTAGCGGCGTTGTAGCGGAGCGGCGACACCGCCATAACACCGCTACAAATGCATTCACAGTAGAAAAGTTATCCCGCTGCAGCAGCGGGATAAATATCATGTACCCATTCACGCTGCAGCGGGTGATTTTTATTACCTCCGTAACAAACACGTGTATGCATGGCTCATGACCCGCGAGTGACCCCGATATGACCGGAAATACTTGCTTGAAATTGCGCGGTAAACATGTCAAGTTGCTTTTTGTATCCTCGATCATATTACTTTTTAAAAAACTAGCATTTTTATTGCTTCCAGTCAGAATATTTTAATTTTTTGAAGTGTGAAATATTTTTATTTGGATAATTATAATACCTACATAATAATAAAATCAATTTGAATCCACTGGTTACTTTATTTCTATTTCACTTTATGTTCCCCATTGCTGTAGAAAAGAGGTCAGTGATAGGTAAGTAAACAAATCACACGTGTTTGTCGCGGTGTTATAGCGGAGAGCCTTCACACTGAGTAAACACCGCGACAGCAGCGGGACTGTCCCGCTGCTGTAGCTAGGCGTCCCTAGCGATAGTTTGTGTCGGCGTTATCGCTAGGCGGTGTTATCCCGCGATAGTTTATAACGGGTCCGAGCCTTCACACTGAAGACAACACCGCGACAGCAGCGGGACAGTCCCGCTGCTGTCGCGGTGTTTGAGGCCACTGTGAATGGGGTATAGATGTTTTACCTTTTTTTTCAATGAGTAATGATCTTCAGTTATTCCGTTTATATAGAATCACGTGTTTGTGTCACAGTTATAAAATGCCCTTATTCTGAATATTTCAGAGAGACCATTCTTCCTGACCAAGTTATAAAAATGCATCTCTTTGTAATTATTTTTTAATATGCAAACGCTTTGTGTTTCTCTTTGAAACATTTCCTATTGGAAAAAATGGCTGAAATAGACTCTTTTAGGTGATGTTCCTGAGAATACTTACGTAAACGCCAGATCAATCCCCGTTAATCAATCATTATCCAGGCTTCCGTCTTTTTGGTTAATGCCCATTTCCTCTAAAAGATAGACAATCGGAGATCTATACATTGATAAAATGTGGATTGTTTCCGGTTGTAAAGTTTATTATTATGACTAATTTGATAAAAGAAAAAGTGATATGTGATATAGGTTTAGCAATAGACTTTCATGTTAGTAGACCAGTTTACTTTATGGATATGGTGCCTCCCTGGACCATTGGTAATGAACGATCACTGTCAGCCACTCATTGTGGAGAGCTAAATATCATTTCAGAATTATTTAAGCATGTATTAGTATAATTTCACATGTGCCTCAATCATTGTAGTTGATTTGTTTTTACTATTTTTCATGACAGTCGCATTGAGCATTTCTTGGGATGGGTAATGCGTATTGCATGTTCTTGTGTTCATCTTTTTGGATGTAGGGGTCATTACCGTCATTTCAACTTTCCAATTACATGTGCTTTTCTATCCCTCCAAAAGTTTCTCCCCACCCCCTAGCTCCCTCCCTCTTTCCCCTCTGTCTTCATTGATAAATGTTCCGGAAGGCGCCTAAAGTGATCCATGTGCACCCCCCCCCTCCCCAAAAGACTTTGGCTTCAGAACTTCAGACGATTTTTACAAGCCATTTCGAATGATAATAATTATAGACGTGAAATATCGTCTCAATAAAGATTGTTTTCTAAGAAAAGTTAGGCCTTCCTCATTTCTGAAATCCTAATTGGCACAGCCTTTCGCATGTCATTTAGTCACGACGGATGTGGAAATTGAGAAAAGAGAGTTAACAGAAGTTGGGAAACAAAATGTGCTGTGTAATGTAGATTACAGACTGAAATTGCCATGCTATAATAGTTTCTCAAAGGAAAAGTGGGATTTCCCCCAATGTGCGATTTAGTCAAGATGTTCGTCCGTCGAATCTTCTGGAATGGCTGGTGCAATTTGTTGACGTCATTCGTAATAAATGTTCCTCGCAAGAAGCAGCCTCAAATTTCCCCGAAGATTATGAACAAGAACCGCTAAGATGAGCATCAATACATGGGGGATGCAGATTTCCTGAAGTAATTAGTTCTTTTGAAGGGAAATCAGAGCCCCCCCCCCCCCCCCCATTCCACTCTCCAGACAGTGTTTAATATTCTCTGTTCAATGATTAGAATAATAATTTTCTCATCGTGAAAAAAAAAAAGTGGTTTTCAAGAGCAGGCTCCATCGGCGTTGCAATCTACGATTTCTCATGATCTTTCTCCCTCGAATGTTTATCTGGTAAAATATTTAAGGAAAAGGTTACTTTGATTTGAACTTGTTGAACTGGTTCTTCGTTATTTTTGATACATGTGTATATTGAGTATTTTGTAAGGGTTTTATATTTCGTTAATTAAATTCCTTTTTCCATTTTGTTTAATATCACTTCATCGTTGTCTTCTCGTTGTTTGAAACAAAAATGAATAACTTTGACCTTGGAATGAATTTTGAAACAAAATACCTAGCCATCTAACTGAATTAAAACAAGTTACGGTTTGAGTACAACCATTAATCTCGAGGAAAGAGGATCGTCTCTCTCACTTTCGCAATACCATGAGTCATCCACCCATCCCTTCCCAACACAACCCGTCTGCCCCACCAAACATTCCTTCTCTCCAGCAGTGAGGGTTTACTCAATGAATTTCTTGTTTTCTTCTTTCAGTGAACATGATCAACCAGTGCGGGCGGACTATCCACTCAGCAGGCGACATGATCTTCTCACAGGGCGGGCTCTACTACCCTCCCAACATCAACTGTACGGTTACCATAGCAACGCCCAGTGGTGACGGCCGGGTACTCTTACAGGTGAGTGGACAAAATATTACTGTGCTTTACAACGATGAAGGTTAAGAATGGTGGATTAGTTAATTGTCAAGGATATCCATGAACCCACAACCTATAATTATTATTAGACCATCTTTAACAAAATTTATGACAGAAGAAAAGGGAGGAGAAAAAGAAGTAGAAGAACAAAAAGAAGAAGAAGAAGAAGTACTTATCATTTTATGATAAATGGATACGGGATACTGGGATTAACAGGGCAAATCAATATAACAATGGATCCAATCTCTTGTTCTAATGTATTTTGAGAATTTTCATAATAAGTGTAATTTTTTTTTCAGCTTCATGAGAGTGAGCTGATGTCGGATGAAGACTGCAGCGATGACTACCTCGAGATCAGTGACATCAGAGCAAGGGATGACGACGGTAACGATGTCGACTCTCGGAGGATATGCGGTACGACGTCCCCCATGGAAGTGGCGTCACAGGGCTCCTCTCTCCGCATCCATCTGGTCTCGGATGGGGTCGGGAGTGGGCGTGGCTGGTCCGGGGTCTTCACGAATGTGTTATCAGCAGGTAAGCTTCCATTGGATAAGGAGGCGGGTTTCAGACAAAGGGAAAAGGGGTCAGATGTGTATACGCTTTGGCCTACGTAATTCAAGAATGCAATTGGCATTTTTAACTTGGTAGGCCTAAGATTATGATATAATTCTGTGGATGTCACGAGAATATTTTCACGGTTTTAGAATAAGGCGTTAACGAGCTATCAAAATTCAAGATACAACTCTGATAACAAAATATTTCTAGTGAAGAAGTTGATTGGGATTAGCGTGTCCAATATATATCCCTGGTTTCATATATTGCTTTTCATTTTGTGGTTATGATGAAATCAAAAATCCTAAATCAATTGCGACTTGTTTTTCCCTTCCTTGCAGATGGTTCCCTGTGCCTAGGTTACAAGAAGTTCCTATGCAGCAATGGTCGTTGCATCCCGGCTGTTCTCAGATGTGACTCGGTCAATCACTGTGGTGATAACTCCGATGAAACGGTCGGATGCGAAGGTATCTGTTTATTATAGTAGATCTATAACTAGTATACCACAGAGTTTCTCTTACAAATCAAATGTGAAATTACAAGCAGCTTTAACAAATACAACGACTTCTGACTTCAATTGTCCATTCGATTGTCCGGGTACATGTGTAGTTGCTTGTCAGATACCCAACTTGTAAATGATGACTTTTCTCTGTTTAGGGTAACTTGCTTCACTTGTGAATGTCTGTCAAAGAAATGTACATGAATCGTTACCATCAATGACGGACTGAAATAAACTTGAACACAGCATTCTTTTTTTTCTTTTATGATTATAATACAGATAATCTTTAATATCATTGTTGGTTATTGTATTCTCGTGGATCTTCATACGTTTTATTTTTTTCTTGTTAATTACCAGACGGCCTACCATATTACCTGGGCGACAGGGTGCTGGAGCTAAATGAGGCCATTTACATTGGAATAGCCATTGCTTTCACCGCCGTATTCGTCATCTATTTCGCCGCTGTCTGCACCCGGGACTCCTGTAAGCAAATCAAACGCAGGGTTAAGAAATTAATGACCCGAGATCAGGAAGAAGACAGTGAACCGGAAGAAGAAGGGTTGGAAGCAGAGCTCCGGCGAGCGCTGATGGCTACCTCGTTGTACGACCGACGAGTAAGCCAGCCTTACGATACCACCCTCAACACCATCACCGGCGGGGAACTCGCTCGGCAGCTCAAGTTAGAGCTTCGGAAGATCCAGGAGAACGCGACGGACTCTGAATACCATCGGCCAAAGTCCCAGGCCTCAATGCAAAAGTCGATCAATTACAATTATGATAAAATCAACAGCACCAGTGAATTAATTCACCTTATAGACAGGGATAATAATAATCATTCTGAGCATGGTAATGATAATATTCACTTCGTTGATAGCCCTCAAAGCGAGCACAGAGTATCTTTTGAATACATTCCAAGTGTTGTAGTGAGTGAGGATGGAGATGAAAGTACAGCGGAAGTATTGTACGATCCAAATGAAGCACTTTCCAAAGGTGTGCCTAGGAATTCCGTGCGGGGTTTATACCAGAAACGGTTATCCAGGACCAGTGTTTCGTCGATTCCTGAGGAGGAAATGCCTTTGAAATCAGCAGGAGCTCCTACGACTGTTCGAAATAAGATAGGAACACCTTCCAGGTTTAATGTTACAGCGGTTTCCGCAGAACAATTGCCATCTAGATCAGACGGAGCTTTAACATCTGATCAAAATCGGAATAAAAGTGTTTCCCGTTTTGCAGTTACGACAGTTCCAGATGATGGATTATCAAAATCAGGACGGGATGGTACGTCCGTTCCTGTGAAATCCACCACACCCAGTAAGCCGAGGTTCAGTGTGTCTAAGGTTCCTGAAACAGAAGTCCAGTTACCGCCCCAAATTCAAAAGTCGGTCTCGACGCCTACCACATCTAGATTCAGTGTAACTTCAATTGATGAAAATGAACTGAAGAGGAAAGAAGCGTCACAGACAAGAAGAGGTAGTGATATTCCTGGTAGAGATATACCAGCAGACAAATACCTTCGAGTGCCGTCGCATCGGAGAAGTTCTGCTGGCGTTGGAAAAACAGTATCATCTGTCTCCAAGCAACCAACGAGCCGCTTCAGTGTACAGTCAGTGAAAGACCCTCTTCAGGATAAACAAAATGATCCAAAAGATAACCGCCTTAAAAATGACTCGGCAGGACAAACGGTGATTGACTCTGGTATAAAATCAGACGTTGGTGAGAAATCCGGAAAGCCAGTAAACCCTACTCCTAGTCGTTTCACAGTACAGAAAGTAGAAGAAGAACCACAGGATACAGTACCAAAGAAACTCGTAAGCATTTTGAAGAAATTTGAAACCCTATCCGACGGCACTCGGTCGTACACCAAACAATCGTATCGACCACGCTTTCGAAGGGCTAGCGAGGGTGCAACATTAGACCGTCCTGATGACGATGCGGATGACCTGCCGACCTCAGCTGTTACCGTCCACGGGTATACTAGTGTCAAATTCTGGGATGAAAAACGGGGGCGATACTCGCACGCAACTCATCTATGACCACAGCGCATTTCACTTTGATAATCAATTTGTTTAATTCGATCTTATTGAGTGAATTTAGGTGTGTGACTATAGTTGCATGACCTTTGATAACCAAAACAACCAGAAGAATTGTGATGATGATATCTTTCAATATGCAAATGATGCCATGTCTGTCTCAGTTAAACTGAGAGGTTTGATTTGAGGCACATTTCGGTAACATACTTAAAATGATAACATTGTCTGTTACATTTATCAACAAGAAATATTGTTCGTTTTGAAGGTATTCTACTGAATACTGATATGTTCGCCTTATATTAGTTTAATGCAGTGATCAATAAAAAATGATGAATTATCTAAGGCGGGGTTGACGAGATGCATTAGCTCCGTTCTTATAGATGCTGGTCGTTAGACTTTGTATCCAGTTGAAACAAAATAATGCAGAGTAATTGCTCTTAGGTAAAAAAGTTAGTAATAAATTATTCTGCACTTCTTTGAAAAAGAAACTATTCTCATCAGAATTTATGAACAAAAGTAATGGAAGGACGCCCAGATAAAGGGGAAAATATGAAAAGAACAACGATTCTTGTATTCATTTACTCGTGTCCATCTTTTATAGTATAAAAATGGTTTTGAAAATGTTTTTGTTTGATTTTAATGAGAAGGGTTGGACATTTTTACGAATAATAGTATTTTAGTAGTCACAATGCGAATTACATACATTACTTGTTGCTATGTAGGACAAACAAAATGGCTTGCTCTGCCTTACAACATATAATATATGCAATTTGCATTCTGACTATTGAAATACAATTATTTGTAACAGGTGCATGGAATATTTCGTATCAAGGCACTTTACAAAGACGTGTGCGATAGATTTGGTTACATTACGAAAATGGCCTATTGGTGCATCAGGGTTCCTTTGTTATATTGAAATGGGAACAATAGCAAGCATCCTTTAAAACAAAAGACGTATGTGACCTCAACGGACGGTCACTGTGACAGGTGTGGAATCCCTATGTTTTCTATTTGTTTACAAGAGGTGAAATTTCTCACTTAAATCTGAAATAATGATTATGTATATGAATACAGTATAATGATTTATTAATGAAAGTGGTATATAGATTGGACGACTCAATGCAGTAATGATATTGATGTTAAACGCCTAAACGCCTATCAGAAAATATAAACATTTTGATAATAAATGAATAATTTCTTATATGGAGAAAAGTTACATTTTCGTCCGTGTGTCATTTTTATATGTGATCAAGAGATCTTAAGAGAGTATTTGTAATGTTTGAAGGGAAAAAATCCAACCGCTAGAAATATTCTGACTCAAGAGATACAATGTACCACAAAAATGTTTCGAGAGGAAAATCCATGTGAAGATGAGGTAGAAGATGAGTTCGGTGGAGTATGCGGAAGAGATGGGGGAAATGGCAAATGTGAGAAAAGGGTTTAAACGGAAAGGGCGACAGTCATTAGAGGTACCGTCGCCTATAAAGAGACTATCTATTCCTAGAGAAGTGGATAAACAATGATATTATTTATTGAAAAGAAGTGTAGTTTATCATCAAGTTCAATACGTCAACGATTTCGACCTGTAGTGGAGAAAAGTCAAATTGATCTAGTGCCTGTTTTGCAATAAGTTGCGATAAAACGCAATTCCGAAGGCGACTTGACTTTCGGCCATTCCAAAAAGCACATGTAGGATTTGTATTTAATTTTAGGGTTGCAATCGGTCACAATTATTTGTAAACTAAAAGGCGTTGTGGTCCACCCCGGGGTCCACCGTCCGATGCTGATGGGTTATTATCAACTTGTTTGCCAGAAACAATATTAAACGAGATTATATAAAAATCATTGCCAGGTGTATTTTACTTTACAAAGCATGCAGTAGGCGCGATTAAAACCGATTTTTGCAAAGTTTTCTGTATCCATACAAGAGCTGTTTTAAGCACATGCAGAGTCTGCCCAACGTAGCATATTAGTTTGTTTTGTACTAAAGCGACCTGACCATATCGACCACTGCAATGCATCCCTCCCCCCACGATCTCTGTCGAATCTTCGCGCACGGTGCAAATTGTGATATAGCGCCCCCTTGTTAAATACTTGGGAAAAGTTGACCTGTATCAAGAGGTCGTTTAGATTAAGATCAACCATAGAGATATATACTACTAACACTTATTAAGTATATATCTCTATGAGATCAACAGATTTGTACAACGCTTAGTTTCTCGTTTATATAGTGAATCACTTTTTAGTATGTAACGAATAACTCCGGACACTTTCCCGCCCAAAATATAACAATTTCCACATTCAAATTGTGAGTTGGAGAGATAGGATAAACAGATTGCCTATCAAGCAATATTATCGTACTAGCTACACAGAAATTGACAATAACCAATGGCATCATTGCTTTATATTAAAATATATTTCTGATGAGAGACAAGAATATTGTTGAGAGTAATATGAAAAATAGGACATGAAAGAAAGAAGGTAAGAGAGATAGAGGTAGACAGTGTGTCGAAAATGGTTTCCCTAGTACTAGTAGGCCTACATAACCTCTACGGAGATGGAAGCAGACATCACAGTCATCAAGAGCACGATAATTGTCTTCTTTTTATATATTATCACATAAACTATAGACTTTGAATTTCGTGAGTCCGCTGTATTAAAAACAAAAACACTATTAAATTGATAGGCTAGAAACTGATGTGCCGATAATATACCTGCTAACACAATCCACCCAGAATTATGACTCGGTCTCATTTTCATAATATATTCAGCATACCTGAGAAAAGTAGTTCCAGTATAGATATCAAAAATAGTAGGGTGACATCATGGCTTCGAATTTCAATTATCTGAAAACTTGTGCTATACGAGGTATATTGTGTTTCAGGATAAACATCTCATTCCTTGTCTGTTTGACTGATTTCCATGCAAAACTTGAGGTCGTTTGACCATTGTTTTGTTCATTTCCTCATACTAGGGACTAAATTCACAAGTCCCTGATTTCCTTCAGGTATATTATAAACAATGAATGTAGGATTCGTGAAGAATTCATCTGCCATCCGACTTTAATAGAACCTAAACAAACAAAAATGGATAAGAGGAAAGAGAAAGATTGAGAAAGAGAGAGACAGAGAGAGAGAGAGAAAGAGACAGAGAGGCAGAGAGAAGGGAGCGAAAAAGAGGGAAAGGGGGAGAAGAGAGAGAGAGAGAGAAGAGAGAGATAGAGAGAGAGAGAGAAAGCCTGGAATAGAGAGAGAAGAAGGAGGAGGTAGAGAGAGAGAGAGAGAGATAGAGAGGGGGAAGCAGGAATGGATTAATAAAGGTTTTTTTTTTTTTTTTTGGGGGGGGGGGGGGTGAAGGACTCATCTTTTAGGTATGACAATCACAACTTCCCTTGTTTGCTTCCCCGAACTTTAAATTTCGATGCTTCTACATCACCACAGCAGCGTTTTCACCCCACTCCTTATCAAGTAGACTATATAGTCACTGCAGGATGCCCCCTCACCCACTAAATTCACCGTGACATTTTAAATGGATTTACTCCCATAAGTTTTAATGTTTATACTGTTTTAAAGAGGTGATAATTATAACTCAGTGTTGGACTCCATAATTACTTGTTTTTTTAATTATACTAATAATAATTTATGGACATTATTGCCACTTAGTAATGAACCACGTTCAGCATGGCTACTGCGTTATCTTGTATAGCATCCATTCATAATTATGGACGTGTAAAAGGATCAAACATCGGTTGGATTCGTTCAATCCAATCAAATTTATATCAATCATCGATGATTCATTCAACAAAAATATCAAGCCCGAATTAATTCATCTCAGTTCTAGTGCACTCTATTTTACATGGCATTTTGATCAATTCTTAGGCTACTCTAAATAATCATGATCTAGATGATGACGGTCATGAGGATAGATAGGGGAAATATTCTTTTTATTTGTATTTTTTATTTGTCATGGCATGGATAGAACTTAAACTGCATGAAAATCGACTCTGAGAAATACGAGTAACTTTACCAACAACAAAAAAAGTAACGTGCTGAAGGAGTGGAGACCCCCCCGGGGGGGGGGGGGGGGTTGTGTAAATAATGAAGATGCATTTGTAAAACGATACTTCTTTGTCACCAAGGGCGGTAAATCTGTCGAAAAATCTGAATACTATACTTAATACTACACAGAGGCGGCCCTCCCGGGGGGACAGGGGGCGCAGTGCCCCCCCCCCCACTTTTTCAGATACCCCCAAAATGCCCCCTTTTACATAGGAAAAGTGCCCCTTTTATTTTGTAAGAAGTGCCCCTTTTACATAGGAAAGGTGCCCCTTTTACTTTGACAAGTGCCCCTATTACTTAGTAAAAGTGCCCCTTTCCCCTTTTCACCTCTGACGAGTGCCCTTTTTATTTTTGACACGTGCCCCTTTTCCTTCGACATGTTCCCATTTTCCTTTGCAATAAATGTTCATTTTCCATTCTCATGAATCTTGAAATTATCTTGAATAAGTGCCCTTTTTAATCTCTAGTAAGTGCCTCTTTTCAGGTACGAGAAGTGCCCCTTTCCCCTTTTAATAAGTGCCCCCTTCACCTCTGATGATTGCCCTATTCAAAACTGAGAGGTGCTCTTTTTACTTTGACAACTTCCCCTTTTTTCCTTTGTAAGAAGTGCCCCTTCTCCTTTTAATAACTACCCCTATTGTAAACTCGGATGAGCGCACCTTTCATTTTAACATGTGCCCCTCTTATTTTCTAATAAGTGCCCCTTTTCCTTATGATAAGTGCCCCCATTAAAAAGAGAGAGCTCCTTCCCCTTCTCATAACTTCCCCTTTCCCTTTCTAATAAGTGCCCCTTTTCCTTATGATAAGTGCCCCCATTAAAAAAAGAGAGTTCCTTCCCCTTCTCATAACTTCCCCTTTCCCTTTCTAATAAGTGCCCCTTTTCCTTATGATAAGTGCCCCCATTAAAAAGAGAGAGCTCCTTCCCCTTCTCATAACTTCCCCTTTCCCTTTCTATAAGTGCCCCTTTTCCTTATGATAAGTGCCCCCATTAAAAAGAGAGAGCTCCTTCCCCTTCTCATAACTTCCCCTTCCCCTTCTCATAACTGCCCCTTTTAAACATCTGAACGGTGCCCCCTTTTCATTCAACAAATGCACATTTTCCTTTATTATAAGTGCCCCTTTTACATTTTCATAAGTGCCCCTTTTCATATCTGGTCAGTGCCCCTTTGCAACTCTGATAATTCCCCTTTTAATAATGATACGTGCCCCTTTTCCTTTCTAATAAGGGACCTATCCCCTTTTCACCTCTTATAAATGACCCTATTAAAATCTGATGGGTGCCCTTTTCCGTCAACAAATGCCTATTTCCCATTTTCGTAAACGCCTCCTTTTCATCACTGGTGAGTGCCTCTTTTCAAGTGAAAAAATGCCTCATTTTCACCTCTTATAATTATCCTTTGTACTTATACACGTGCTCCTTTTCTTTTCTAATAAGTGTCTTATCCCTTTCGATAATTGTCCCCTTTTCATGTAATCATTAAACGTGCCCCTTATTTAAAGCGACTAAGAGCAGTTTCCCCCAAAGTTCGCTCGCTGCGCTCGCTCGCATTTAAAGATTATATAATTATGTTACTTATCAAAGGTCTTTTCAGTCTTCCGTTATGAGAATGTGCTTATAACCCCATCACGATTGGCTTTTTTTCCTCTTTATAAGATGTAATTTTTCGCACTGCAACCTCACAGATCTTTAAAAATGTTCTCGCTCGCTTCGCTCGCTCGTAAATGCATATTCAGACATCACACCCAACTGTAAAGTTTGATGCTTAAGCGATATCTTGTATGATGTATGAAGAGAAACAAATATTGAAATCATCCCTGATAATGTAATCACAATGTAGGGGTATATACCAATGTCTAAAAATTGTATATTTTCGCTTTGAGATTTCCCACTGTAGGTGCCCTTTTTTCCAGAAAGTGCCCTTTTTTGTTGGTCCCCCCCCCCCCCCCCCCCCCCCCACTTTGAAAGTCGCTCGGCCGCCCCTGATACTACACTACTATAAAGTCTGTAGTATAGGCCCACTAATGGGGCGTAATTGAGTTCCGTCGCGAGACTTACGCTTGATTTGGGGGATTGCAACTTTCTAGCACCACCTCATATTTATAAGGCGCTGGATGGCCTGGCCTGGGCGAATTTACAGACACTGTACACATTACATACGGTATACGTACATGATTATTATGCATACACATGTACCGCAGCGTATAGTAAACAACGTACCCGAATGTGTTTATCATGTGTAACCAACTACTTTAGGAGGTTCCAATCAATGTGAGTATACACCAAATTTCTTAATGTATACGTACATCAAGAAGAACGAAATTATAAAATTTTAGCTCCAAGTATGGTATGAATTGCATTGTTTTACACCATAGTACACTGTCATTACCAGTACCGAAACTAGACGAGTTCAACAACAAGCTAGACAAGTCTTGCACCCACCTAGGGCCTAGGCTTCGGCGAGGAACCTCATGTACCGGGCTTTGTTCAGCCCTTACTTGCCTTAGGTGTGTAGCGCGATCCCTTTGACTGTAGATCACTAGATCACTAGAAACTTTCGCAATATGTCATATAAATAAAAAAATAAAAAAACTTTCGCAATATGAAATTTGTATTGTATTGTTAACATAGACTCTAGTAGAGGACGGCTGAGCAATTGCAAAAGCATTGAAGAATGTCGATTGTGATTCGAGTGAATGAGATTTGTTTTTTATTTTGCCTTTAGTGGCTTTACCTTTATTTACCGCAAATAAATGCTGAGACAGCAGTTGAGCTTCCAGGTCTATCTTCTTGTACTCATTCTCTTTAATAATAATTTTGCTGCTTGAAAACATCTGAATCAATAGCAGGCGCGGATCCAGGGGGGGAGCGAGCGGGCCTTGCCCCCCCCCCCCCCCCCCCCCCCGCAAAAAAAAAAAAAAAAAAAGGAGAGAGAGAGAAGGCAAAAAGGGAAAGGGAAAGAGGAGAGAAAGGGAAAAAAAAGAAGAGGAAGAAGAAAAGAAAAGAGGGAAGAAGTAGATCGGGGGGGGGCAAAAGGACTTGCCTCCCAGGCTGTTGCCCCCCCCCCCCCCCCCAATCAAAAAATAAAAGAGAAGGAAGGAAAGGGAAAGAAAAAAGGAAAAGAGGAGATACAGGGAAGGAAAAGAGGAAATACAGGGAAGGAAAAAAGAGGAAGAAGAAAAGAAAACAAGTGGGATATCAGTTGCAATTTTCCTGCCAACAACTTGTGGATCGGGGGGGGGGGGGGGGGGGGGGGGGGGCAAAAGGAAGGAAGAGAACGTAGAAAAAAACTGAATTTAGACAAAGATTAAGAGTCGATAACGACACAACAAATTGTCTTCTTTCTCTAATGATTTAATGAATCGTAAGCTTCCGCTTAGCGCGGGAGGGGGAAAACTAAATTCAGACGAGGATTATTTTTTGGGAACGGTACAACAAATCGTCTTCTTTCTCTAATAATTTATTGAAATGTCAAAGCTTCCGCGTTTCGCGGAGGAGGGAGGGGGAAACTCACCCCTCCCTGCACCCGCCAACCCCCAATTACGTCACTGCTGGTCACCATTACGAACCAATATTTGGCTCGCATAATTTCAAATTTTGCCCCCCCCCCCCCCCCCTAAGAAATCCCCGGATCCGCGCCTGATGTATATACAACGGGAACAGTTTCAATATAAAATGTGAGTTCTTCTTACTTAAATCATTGGTCTGGAAACAATTATTTGCCCATTGTTGTATTGTATTACATTTTCACTGACAATGAATTCACATTGTAATGCAATTTTCAAGTTTCCCAGGCTTATTTAGGAGAACAGAAGATTGATATTGTTAAGTTGTACGATAATATCACGCAGTTTGATTTGATTGGAGATATATCTCATTAAAAACAGAATAAAGGCTATACAGTATCAAAAAAACCTACACCGTTAAACTTCAAGCTCACTCACACATGGTTTATTGCGACACTTTCGAGGCTACTTATTATTTCAAGTTCAAAAGGGCAACAGCTTCAATATTAAACGTAATTAAATCATTGGTCTGGAAAATGTTATGCCCATTGTTGTATATTATACAACATTTTCCATAACGATGAATATACATTGTATAATGAAATTTTTTGAGGAAAACCATACTTGTCATTACTGTTATATTTGTTATATGATACTAAAGCAAATCGTTTCGCTTATCGATAAGATAAATAAATGTGAAGTACGTGTCAAATAATGAAATGCACCATTTTCAGGGTTTATAGATAAACAATGACAATGAAGTCCATATTTTTAACATATCCTAATTAGCTCATTATGCTAATTATGCTATTTAAGACAATTGCATTACTTGAAAATAAAAACTGGTGTCATAAATGAATTCCTCGTCATAGAAAAACCTTGAAAAGTCGTATTATCCATGTTTTCAGGCTTCCTGGATTGAGATTAGCAACATTATTACATATTGCACATATGATAATTAGATGATTATGCTAATTAGGCTATATAAAAAAGTTGCTCAAGGTTGCCCAAGGTAGCCAAGCTGGCAACCAAGCTGAATTTACTTCAATACCCATCTAGAACACGAATCAACAAAAAAAACCTTGTACTTATAAACTTTTCCAGGTCATGTACATGGTCTATCATCTACTGGACTATTTAATGAAACGTCATATATAGCTTCCGCGCTTTGCAGAGGTGGGAGGGGGAAACTCGCCCCTCCCTACAGCCCCCTGCACTATGTCACTGCTGGTCTCCATTACGTACCAATATTTGGCTCGCATAATTTCAAATTTGTCCCCCCCCCCCCCCTAAAAGAAATCCTGGATCCGCGCCTGATCAATAGCACAAATTTGTCAACTTTTCATGCATGCAAAAGAGTCTGGGTTTACACCATTTCCAAAAGCCTTGGATGTACTACTACTAGTAATTGGTCAGGCCCAGGTCCACTCATAATATGGTTTATATGGGTGATGTTATTTGGGGATCCACTCATGTACATGAACATGTACATGTATGTATGTAGCTCCATGCCAATTTGTGACTGTGTGTTTGTCTAGGTGGGGGGGGGGGGGGGGGGGCGGGGTATGGCCGGGATAGTCTCATTTTCGCAAAAAGCCAATACCGGGAGTTGTCCCTTTGTATCATATGGAGTTTGTCAACAGGAATTTAGATACTGTCAAGTTCCAGATTTTTCTGGCAAGTTCACACTTCTATAAGACTAGAATACAGTATATACACCATAATAGACCAGTTCACAGTTAGCACATTACTGCAATGACCCTGAATATCCACAGATCTTCAAAACATGAAGAGGTCCCACTTTGTACATTTTGAAATAATCACTCCTACAGCGATGGAGGTGCTTTATAAATAGCCTTTGTTTCCCCTTGTAAAGAATACTCTCCACCTATGTATCATGGAGTGCACTGAATGTGCATTATGATTACATATATTTCATGAGCACGTATCCAGTATATCGTCTCCGTGTATTTCAAAATTTGTTCTGCATTGACCTTTATCTACTCATGCTCAGACTGCAACCGTGAACTAGCTTATTGGAATCCAATCACCTGAATTTATTTCATATCATGGTTTGTCAATGATTTGCATTTTTCTTTTCTTTTGATGCAGCTGGTTTGACTTTAAAAGAGACACCCTAAAATGATGCGACAATCAGATGACACAAGACCCTTTGCCCTCGTCGGTATGACGCAGGCAGAAAGGAAAGTCTTGCTGGATCTAGTTCGACAGGAGGCTCCTGATTTGCTCCACCCTGGAGCTGTTAAACGGATACGGTCTGGCACTTGGGCCCTCATCATGAAGAAATTCAACGAATCCTGCTCGTGTTATAGAACTGTGGCCCAGCTGAAGTCCTGCCTCCAGAACATCATGCGCAAAACCCTCCAGAAAAAGGCCGGAGGAGGGACCGCGCAGCAGTCATTTCGCAAGATCAACTTCACACTTTTCGAGAAGAATTTGATTCTCAATCTGGGAAAGCAGCGACCGGTGGTTTTCTCCAAGCTGAAAGACGGGCAGACGCAAGCGGTCAAGAGGAAAGCTTGGACTGAAATGATGTGGACATTCAACAGGACTCAGGGCATCAAGACGCAGCGCACAGCGAGAGAGATTAAGAACTGTCTGGTCAACATGACCAACAGGAACAAAGAGGTTGATGAGTTCCTCAAGTCACAAATGCCTGAATATGCAAGGCAAAATGATATCCCTGAACAGCCACACTTAGATGGAACAGTGGTCCTTGGGGGTGTATCGCATCCTGTAACAAACGTCCATGGGACTCCTGTGACACAGAACCCAATGCAATCACCTACTAGTAGCGTGCAACGGAGAGGTACTATGGCTCACAACAAAAAATCTCAGCCGGCACAGAGTAATAAGCCTCAAGTTCCCAAACACAGATTCCTCTTGCCCAAACCTCTGAGTGCACCAGCATCTTCTTTCCCAAATAGGTCAACACCAGTTCTCATAGGTGCTGTTTCCCAAAATGTGCCAACTCCCCAAACAAGCATACCACAGAATAACCATCCCACCCTGACACACCCAGTTCGAACAATATCTGTCCCCCAAGTATCTATGAGTTCATCACAGTTATCGCCCCCAGTCTCAACTCTTCGGACACAACCTACCCAGTCAGCACTGCCTCACGTAATGCAGGCGGGTCCAGCTCAACAAGTACAATCATCACCAGCACAGCCCATAGTTCATGTCCAGACATTTTCGTCATCTCAAATACAACCGTTGCAGCCCATGTCTGTTCAACAGACCCAATCTCACTGCTTGCCTCCTGCACAAGATTCTGACCTCGGGTTATCCGGTTGGATCCCAGAAACTCCATCACAGCATCATCAAAACACAACGTCGTCCAGCAAGCCTGCAGTGGATGAGACCCTAGCAGAAACAAGAGATGATTGTATCATCGAGATCAAGGAGGAGAGTGGTTCTGATCCGGAAGAGCTGTATGGGCTTGAGCAACAGTTATCGGCAACACCAATGGAGATCCACAAATCCCCAACAGATACGTCACAGTTACCAAGATATGGAGATCAACTCATGAATTCAGGTAATCTTATTATGAAATACTTTCCTTGGTACTCAACCACTACTCCAATATTTGTATTGCCCATAGGGATTGGGGAAATATTAACTCTTCGCTGTTTTGCAAGTACATGTATTTTAAGCATTAATTTTGAAAACTTAATTTTCTCCTTTTATATTGTCAGCCTAGACCCAGAACCTTAATGATTCCTATCCATAGAGTAAAGACTTTCTTTTGGCTAACAGCAGATGATAAACTATACAAGACAAATGTTTATTTCATGCATACATTGTACATGCAGTTGATGATTAATATGATGAAATACAGGATACTTATCATCAAAACATATGAATTTCTTCAATACATTGTTCTTTTCTCATATATGTCTTTTTATGTCGTTCACTCTTAAATGAAATCCATCCTTAAAGCAGAAAAATCTGAGAAGTAGACTAGTGAAAGTTTGAATGAAATAAGACAAGAAATAAGAAAGTTTTGAATTTTTGAAACTTCTAATCACTACACATATATGAGAGCTTCAAATTGGCTGAATCAGTACTGTCAAGCACTGTGATATAGCTACGTTACGTACAACCTTTCCATCTGTCCCAACACACAAAGTAAAAAAAATAAATGAATAGCAACTGCATATATGTGCGCTATATAAATATCCAATATTATTATTATTATTTACCTACATGTATGTCTTGTGAGATACAGAAACAGTAAGCTTAATGCATTTTACGCCATAAAAAACCTGTTGCAATTTACCAACTCATACGTGTATATGATTATAAATGAGGCCTTAGTTTCCTAATTCGTCTATTGTCTCTCCAGGCTCTTTGTCCCTCTATCTGTCTAATTGTTTCTGTTGCTTTCCTCCTGTTCATCAATTGTCCATGCCTTTTATTTGAAATCTTGCAGGTGTAAACAGAAACCAACTCCAAGTACCACCTGCCAAGTCTACGACGCCACAACAACCAGAGGAGCTTTCCAGTGAGCAAGATGGTATGGGAAATGTACAGATCAAGGTGCACAGAGATCGTGGGGAGAGCCAAGTAGGGCAGAACCAAGCTTTCCCTTCATCCAGCTTTACATCCTCACTCCCAACTGAAGAGAACCATCATCATTCCTCTGGCTATCTCATTCAGACTAGCTCTCAGTTCGCCTCTCAAAGTCAACTTCTCTCTCAAGATTCGAGCTGCTCTACGAACGGGCTAACCACCGATCTCTCAACAGAGATACAGGACAGCGGCATCCACCGGTCGGAGCCCGGCAAAGACGCAGACAGCTCCCGCAGGGCCAGGATCAAGAGGAGAAAGGAGAGCGTTGGCACTTTGAAGAAGCGTCTTTTGCAACGGGAGCACGATCTTCGAATTCAAATGTCGAGAGAGGAGCATGCCTGGTTGTTGGAAGAACACATGTGGAAGCGAGAGGAACACGAGCTACGCATGAACATGATCAGGATCAACTCAAAATTCTCATAAATTTTACAGAGGCTGGTGTAATATTATGGTCGACGCTTTCTCGGCTTCTGAACAAATTTGAAATTTGGAATAAATTTTGGAGTAAAGACAGAACAATCTAGTTTTGTCACACCCACACATATAATGTAATTCTACCTTTGTAACAGTAGGCCTGTCTTCGTCAGACCAAAGTTTGCAAATTAACTGCTATTTTAACTAGACCTGATGCCCCGATCTCAAATTTTCGTCAGCCCGCAGTTGCAATTAGTGGGCTATTTGGTCGAGAAAATATCCTGAAAATGTTTAATTTGCACTAGTTTGTGATGAGCATATCGGTCTGGTGAAGACACAATTTCGAGCTTCAGGAAAAAAACATCCTGAGTCTAAAGATAGCGAGTTAATTTGCAACTTCAGTGTGATATAGACAGGCCTATTGTGTCAGTCTTACCATCTTTTAATCCACAGTGAATAAAAAGCTTATATGGCGTTATGAAGGGATTTACCACAGGAGCCGGGTTTATATGCTTAGTTCTGCTCCCATGTTTTATGAGAAGTAAGGGAAGCTGAGCAAAGCATTCCATTTAGGTGCGCTATTAATTAAATACAGAAAGCTTGATTTTGATTGCTTGTCTATCCTTATTCTCTCAAAACTCTTGAAGGCAAAGTACTGTACATGTACTTGTTGAAATAGATTTCAGTTAATTTCATATATTTTATTGGACATTATTTATAGTGCATATTCTACAGTTGGTCCATTTTCATTGCCATTTTTTAGTGTTAAACTTGCCAAGACCAAAGTTGTCATGCTGCAAATCATTGTCTTTTAAACAATAATTTAAGGTAGGTTTGTAATTGTAAGATATAATTTTTTCTTGCAAATCTTCCTTTGACTGATTTTAAAGGACAATCCAATCTCTTCTTTTGCGTGGATAGAGAGGAGAAAAATTAGAGAAACTGATTTGAACATAAGTGGACAAATTCAAAAAGGTTATAATTAAAAGTTGAAAAAACCAATAACGGTAAGCTGCAGCCACCCACCCCCACCGAGAAATTTGAAATTCCCACTATTCGTGCTATTGGCACCTCATTTTGGGCAGTGAGGTCGTCTATTGATTCTTTATTATTCATATAATATATTGTTACTACAAAATTACACTTTTACAATGAAAAACTCAAAATTTTTGCTAGCTATCTCATTCTTGCAAAATTAAGAAAATGGAAGTTCATATTGAGGCACAAGACCTGTCAGTACCCTGCTGAAATGTGCATGTATACTAATGAATGGAGTAAGACTTCCCATGAATGTAGTGTACATCATTGAGTTTCCCTACATATCACCATCTCTTAAGCTTGGTGACTTTCAAAGATCAATTAAACTTCCATAAATTTTTTCTCCAATATCTTTCCCTAGTTTTCTTCTTCATTCAGAGTAACTTTTGGTCAGAAAGCCAGTTTAAAAAAAGAAAAAAATCAGTGTTTTTTCTTCATGTTTTACTTGTTTCATGTCCCGATTTTTCATTTACCAGTAAACATCATTTTTACTTGTACAGTACTTTGTGCATTTTGTTATCTTTGGATTATAAGCTGTGTGATGTGATGATATATTTCTATATCATTTTATGGGGTAAACTGGTGGTCTCACATGACAAGATATTTGCTCTGTTGCTCCACACTAATGTTATTGTTGTTGCTTTAGAAGACAACAGTGCAAGGCAGTGTGTACTACAGAAAAAATAGTGGCTTGGCGTCTACACAGAGAGGGGAACAAAATCCTGATATCCCCCTCAAAGCCATCCAAATGAATTATAGGTTGGCTGGGAAATAAAGTAAATTGTTGTCACATGCAAATTATAGTCTGATGATCATGTGTAAATAATTATAAGGAATGTGTCTTTCAGTAAATGTTATATCCAGTGCTAGATTCTTAAATCAATTTGTACAACTCATCAACTGATCATTTCAATTTCATTACATCAACTCAAGATTAGCTTTTTAAAATCACAGATGAAATTAGACGAAAGTTTAAGAGAATTGTAATATGTTTTAAATATTTCTAAGGAAATTAAGATTTGGGCAGAATGCACATTTTTCAAATTATGTCTGAAATTGTGGTTTTTCTTACAATAATGCACAAAGCAATGACAAAGAATATGTACATTTTTCATAACAAATTTATTATTGAATGTAAAAAAAAATAATGTACAGGTATGTTTATTATCCTTGAAGTAAACAGTTATTCCATTGATTCAGTAACTTTCACAACATAAATGCAGAAAGCAAAGATTGCATGCAAGTATTTTCCAAAATGACTCCTGGTAGACAGCAATTGTGAGCACTGCCAAATTCCTTGTTGTTTTATTTACTAAAATTTACACTCTAGTTACCTTAAATCAAGTCAATGTGGTGATCTGTGCAAAGGTATAACCTTCATATAATATCATGATCAAAACAAAATCTGATATTTCTGTCTACAAAATTACATAAAAACATTATCTTAAAATGTTTGACCACTTTTAATTTATTACATTACCAGTACATGAATTTGAAATTTTCAAGTACATGCAATGTAACCTTGAAATTTACTCAATTCCTTATTGCCAATAAATGTATGTATTCTCCTTGATTGAAACATCTTTGTGCGTATCTTTCCATTTTTAATTGAAAAAGAAAGAGCAAATTTAGTGCAATTCTTTCTTGTAAAATTATCAGTGTACCACTAGGCGTAAAACAGAAAGATGTTGTATTGCCCTTTGCGACCGACCCAAAAATGTTAAAATATACAGTCTGCTTTTTTTTTTAAAAGTTTTTCTTCTTTAACGTTTTTAGAAAAAAAATGGTTAACAAATAGAAAAAATTGTATTTAAAGCATTCAAAAGTGAGAAATACCAGCCCAAAGAGGGAGAAGGAAAAAAAAATAGTTTTTTTTAAATATTTCGACTTTTTTTTTTTTTAAGCCCTTTGTGGAAACGTAACAATGGAAAATGAAATAAATACATATGTATATGAACTTTTTCCGTGTGTACATTTATCTTTTATTTGCAAATAAAGAAAGCCAGTGTTATGGAAATTAGTTATAGTTGCATTTGTCTGTTATTTCGAAGTATTCTAGACTTCAGTCAAATTAAATGTTGTTTGTTTTAAAATTTATACACTTTTTGGACAAACTTTGTGGACAGACAAGAAAAGATGAAAATTTACTCTGGATTTTCTTTTTGCTGTATCATTTGATGTTTAATAATTAACACTTCACTATTGATAAAAAATATGCCTTTTATAATCGTGTCTAGAATTACACGTCACTTGTGGTAGATCATACACGTTTTTTGTTTTTTTCTATAGTGTTAATGAGAGCATTTCCTTGGTGCATCTACTGTACATGGTCTGATAGCAGAATGAGTGTGGTTTCTGATGCTACCCCTTAAATCTGAGCACCTTTATTGTGGAATAAAGAAGAAAAAAATAAGAAGAATTGTGGAATAAATTGTCCAAAGAACCCTGCTCCTTTCCAAACATAAAACAGGTCAAGCTCAATGCATAGTGTCTCTGTTGGTGGACGAGTAATAAAATCCTTGATCCTTGAGTTTTGTTTGAAAAGTTCATGAACGATTTTGATACAGCACCCATGGTCCCATCAGGTTCAAAGGTTATGTCTGAAGAAGGAGATCCATCTTGTGATACACAAGCCTCTGAATCATCTCCAACAGTCCACCAACTGAATGGGGAAGTGGTTTCAGCTAATTTGGTCGGGTCTTGATGCCACGCAAGTGTTAAAAAAAGGTCCACTCGTCGGCTGAATTCATGAGAGGAATGTTTGAGTTCAAAGTCCTTGCGCTCTCTGGTGTCAAAACTTGTCCGGGTTGGCTTTCATTTCCTCTGTTAACCTTTTTTCAACAAGGGATACCATCAGTTGGTCTACTGCGGGAAGGCTGCAACTCACGAACACCTGCTTGCCAGTCGATTTGGCTTGACAAATAAAACAATAGAAATTAATACAAGATAACATTGAACATTCAGGTGCATTGATATGACAAACTTATATTACACCTTTAGTTTTATTCAACATTTATAAAGCATATGAAACAATTGACTTTTCTTCACCACATTCTAAAAATGATAAGCTAAGTAAAGCTATCTTACTCAAGTTCGTCAAGGAACATTCTTGTAGTCTTTATACATTAGCCTTGAAGACTTGATTGATATCATACATTTATTACATTATTTATGAGAACTTTTCCAGCTTTTCTTGCAATATTTCATTTTCCCTTTTTTTTTTTCTTTTCCTTTTTAATTCTGTACCTTTCCTTCAGATTATCGTTAGAGGCTTGGACATTGCTGAGACCTCAAATCATTTGGAATGGCTTCAAATTATTGGTATTTCTGAATTTAAGCAGTTGACAGACTTGAGATGGAATTCTTACCTAATTTTTGGGCCAAAGCTGTGGGCTGAAGATCTGAAACATCACCCATCAACAAGCTACTGCTGGGTACACTATCCTGTTTGAAAATGAAAGTGGAAATATTAGAAAATTATTTATAAATTCTAAAAAATTTGACTTCAATTTTGAAGTTATCACTATGAAGATTAGATATCCCAAACATCGTATTAACTGATCATCAATTGTAAAGCCTCACGAGATCATGAATATCATTGATTATAACATTTTTCTTTTCTTTTAAAATTGATTTCAGGTTGTAAATTGTAAATTTGTTTCAATGATCTTCGATTTCCACTTTGGTATTTAATATTTTGGTATGTTGTTAAACAAAGTATGAATTCAATATTAGCTGTAAAATTTTGGGGATATTGAATATGTACCCATTTCACTAAATATTTATTTCTGATGCTTAAAAAATCACATACCGGTACTTAAATATTCCATAATTTAGAACAAATTTTTCCAATTCAGTTGTCTGCATCATTCCTATTCTTGTAGACATCTTATGTAAATCATGCCCAATACATATTTAGAGATTAAACTCACAAATTTGGTATCGATGGCCACTGCCAGGTTGTTCATGCTAGCTGGTTTGTTTCCAATCCATAACATGAAGCAGTCCTTCATCTTGGTCACATGAAAGAAAACCTCTTTATCCATCAAACTTTCTGAGAAACTGTGCACAGATATCCTACATTCAGCAGGTTCAATGCTTAAGGTCTCCTTTGTTTTAACTTCTTCATTCGTCATCCTGACTTCCCGTGCTGTACTGGTCTTTCAGCAAATTCACCTCGGCTCTACAGCTGTGAGGGGCAGACAGTGTTAATATTTTGGGTAGTTACTGAACCAACTTCTGCCAGATTCAATCACGGTTACTCCCTCCTTGGTCTTTGGCTTGTATTATGAACCTTCTGTCACATTTAGTAAAGTCCTGCAAATATTAAAGAGGGAAAAGAGCAAATAAAAAGTCACATTAAAACATTCATATTATTATTTAGGTATGAATTAAAGTGCCCTAAAGATGGCAATATACTTGCATAATATTGTGTCTTATAATCTAAAGCAATGTAACACTACTGCATGCCCCAAAGAACTGGATTTGGGAAAAGCAAAAACGACATCACAATAATTTATACCAAATCTCATAATTCAAGTACAAATTTCCAAACTTCTTTTGACCAGGACCAGATGATATCCTCTCCCCATTTAGACTCCAAGGCCTAGACCGAAAAATTCTGTCTCTTTCGTTCGTCAGCCTCTAATTTGGGTAGGATTGGCTCTAAATTTGTGTCTCTTCTCTTTCGTTCACTAGCCTCTTATTTGGGTAGGGTCGGCTCTAAAGAAAGAAGCCTACCTAACGACACACACACACACACACACACACACACACACACACACACACACACACACACACACATAAAATTTATCAGTGATAAAACCACATGCAAACATCACAATTCACATGCCGCCAGAAGAGATTGTATACTAACACAGTTATGAACATGTGGGGCATAAGATTGATCACACGAAATGTGACATTGGCAAATTCTTCTTTCACGAGTCATTTCGGATGTATGACATTTTCAAGTGTATCATGTATTCATTCAATGCATGAATTTCATAAATACCTTTGATATATTGCTCTTTTCTCCTCAAAATCTCTCGATTAATGCCGTTGACCAAAGTCAAAGACTCTTCAATTTTATGATCTTCTTCTTCTTCTTGATTTGTTTTTGTTTGGCAATCAGTCACAGTTGACTATTTTTGCCACACACTATTTTATGAATTATTTATATATATACATATATGTACAATTTCATGTCATAAATGACTATTTTTAGGATTCTTTCTCCTTCCATCCTCTTTCCTTCCTCTTTTTTTCTTTTTAGACTCTATAACTTTTTTTAGAGAGAAAATTCAATAAATTAATAATTTTGGAAAGAGACGACGGCCTAGCAAGTTGTGAATAGAAAACGCCTATAAACTAAAACTAAACGTACGTACTTGTGTTTACGCGCACGTGCGCGTTCAAATATCACCTCACGTATGCACATGTGTACTTCGCACTTACCCCCCCCCTTTTCAAAATGCCATCTTACCAGTCTTTGAGGTATATTTCGCAGACTTTCGGTTTTAACCTAGGTCACTCCGGCATAGGTGAGGGGGTGCCAGCTAGCATGTGATGTTGGAGGTGATCACCGAATTGTTAGAAAAGTAAATGGTCAAATTAGTTACAAGTATTGTGGGCTTTATTGGTGCAAGAAAAAGGAAAAGAGAAGATAAGAAAAAAAAAAAAAAAAAAAAAAAAAAAAAAAAAAAAAAAAAAAAAACTCAACAATAATTTAATTGTTTTGATACAGCCGCTTTGTTCTTAAACGAAGCGAACTATTGCTTTTTGTTTAACTATTTCTGAAAGTTTAAGTAGTGTCATGATTTCCTGTGGATGTGTTAAATCAGTTTCTACGAGTAACATAGCTCTTTCTATTATGTACTTTGGGCATTCAGTGAGAAAGTGGTTTACAGTTTCAGTACGTCCTATGCAGTTATTGCAATGGCCTGTCGAGTGTATATTCAATCTGAAGAGATCTAAGTTCAAACCTATCACTCCTATTCTTAATCTATGGAGAATACTTTCTTCAAATCTGTTCAACTTACATTCATATGGTTGATTTACTGTAGGCAGTATATGTCTAAGAGATCTATCAGAATTATTCCATCTGTCTTGCCAGAGTTTTATATACTTGCTGGATCTTTATGCTCTAGTCTAGCCTTTGTTCAAGGCAGCGAATTATTAATGTAACATAGACTACTTCTAATCAATCAATGGTGCCGGGTACAGAAAGGGTAAGAGGACATTTTTTTTTTTTTTTTTTGGTCCCAAAAATTTCGCAACGACTCAGCCAGCCGCTGAATAAGCGGGGGTAAGAGGACATTTTTTTTTTTTTTTTTTTTTTTTTTTTGGGGGGGGGGGGGGGGGGGGGGGGGGGGGTCCCGAAATTCCAAAATTTGACCGATTGACATTCCGTTCCGTTTGGGGGGGGGGGTAAGGTCATCTTTTTTAGGTCATCTTTTTTAGGTCATCCATTGGATTTTTTTTTTGATTTTTTTGTTGTTAATTATTACAAAAGGGTCAAGGGGGGGGGGTTTCCTGAAAACAATACACATAAAAAAAACTCAAGGGGGTGGTAACCCCCCCCCCCCCCCCCCCCTGCGTACGCGCCTGCTTGGCTTGATCTCTTTTTTATTTTTTCTCCCTCGAACAAGAAATCAAGCATTCCTGAGGGATCTCCTAGAACGTCTATTGAACTTACTTTCTTTGTATTCAAAAGACATACATACAAAGTCCTTTCAATGCTTTTAGGTCTATTTGGACTTTCGATTTATCGAAAGAAGAAAATACAGATCAGGAATTATTCAATTGAGGCATGAACTTAGATCCCATATTAGCCCTCTTGAATAGAACATAGCTCAGTGTGGTCCTAGTTACTTTCAAGATAAACGGAGGGGTGCTACCGTGCTACAAGAAATAAATCAAATCAAATTACATTACAATTCATTTCATTTTTCATTTCATTTTATTTATTAAATTAAATTGAATTCAAATTTGATTGATTAAAATCCAAACAGATAGTATAATTTTCCGTTTTTTTCTTCTAACAATGGATAACAAATTTCAAAATTAAAGTGCAACATTCTGTAATTGAGTGCAAAAGTCAAAATAACATAACCGGGAATGGCAAAACGTAACGTACCACTTCCCAACATTCTACCCTTTATTTGTAAAAGTTATACATTGAATCCTCCTATTTCGCAAAAAAAAGTATATACTAGTTTCACATCGTACTTTCTTCACAAGAAGGTTGATACAATTCATATAAGTCAATAAATGCAATGCTAGATTTTTTTCCCGGGAGTTGACGTCATTCCCCCCCCCCCGAACAATCTAAGCCTCCCCCCCCCCCCCCCCCCCCCCCCCCTCTCTCTCTCTCTCTTTCTCTCTCTCTCTCTCTCTCTCTCTCTCTCTCTCTCTCTCTCTCTCTCTCTCACTCTTCTCTCTCTGTCTCTCTCTATCTGTCTCTCTCTCTCTCTCTCTCTCTGTCTCCCTCTCTCTGTCTCCCTCTCTCTGTCTCTCTCGAATCTCTCTGTCTCTCTGTCTCTTTCTCTTTCGCTCTCCGATTATCTCTCTCTCTCTCTCTCGCCCTCCCTCCACCTCCCCCAACTCCCTCTCTCTATCTCTCTCTCTCTCTCTCTCTCTCTCTCTCTCTCTCTCTTTACCCCTCTCTCACTCAACCACTATATCTCCCAAATACTTCAACCAATGTCCATGTCATGTTTTTATAGAAACTAGGCTAAGCTGGTATGTTAATCGACAGAGCGAACCTAGCCTCTTATTGGGTGAAAATAATACATCTCTAGCATCAGTATACTCAAGTAAGGATTATCCCCACCCCATCACCCTTACCCTCCAGCCCCTAGCTAGAACGCTCATATCCCCACCAATAGCTCCCTTACCCCCCCCCCCCCCCCCCCCCCCCCTCCCCCTCCCCACCGGACTTACTATTATCCTCTCTCTCTCTCTCTCTCGATGAGGCACTGTTGATGGAGGTCAACCTCGGTTTGGCAGGGGGCATGGGTTTCCTGTTTGTTTCCTGAGCATGTAATCAGCTGTTTGAATCACCATATTAGTTAGTACCGGTCTAGCGGTGGGGCTGTTGACAGCGTGGCTTGGGTGCACCGAAATACCTATAGCCACACCAATGAGATTAACACGAGACCGAGAACGGGCCGAATAAAATCATACATTAACCTGAATGGGTATATTGGTCGGTTTTGGGATTGGGTTTTGCGGTGTGACTGAGTTGTCAGGGAACCACGCAACTAGAAGAACGATGCTCGTAATAATCCTTACGCATCCCGGGCATTCACCCAAAGCTTTGATAATAGTGATTATCTGAATTCTAGAACCTGAGAAAAATTAAAAAGATCAAAATGGTACATGAAAATTAATTGTATTTTTATTCATGAGATACGTCAAGTGAAACAAAAAAATATGTCAGATTTATCAAACTATTGGCCTGAGTTGAAAACAAAATCATAACAGACCATCGCCCGCCCCTCGCATTTTCTCAACAGAGTAAGCCTGTCAGCCCCCCCCCCCCCCTCCTGTATGTTTACAGTCCCACGCTACGCCTCTGTCTTCATGTTTATTTCCATCACTTCAGTACATTTTTTAAAACTTCAATTACAATGTACAATTACCACATATCTAGTATAGGGCTAATATGAATTGAACAAAATAACAGACAACCAACAACCAACAAAAACAACAAAAAAAAAACAGAGAAGAAGATAAAAGAAACAAACAGGCAAACAAATGAAAAAAGTTAAGAAACAAAGGGGGGGGGGGGTGATGAAAGAAAAAAATAGAAAAGAAAATAAAAGGAAAAGAAAGAAAGCGCAAAGTCATGTTCAAATCATCTTCTCTACGTGACCATCTCGATTCTGATCTCAAGAGCAACGTATACGTTTGTCGAATTATAACGAATGACGCATGGAACAAGTGGATGCCAGCACTGATCTGGCTTGTCTTCCTCGTTAAGTAGAAAAGGATGTGCTGATCGAGCGAGGGCTCCATTTGGATGCCTGGATCTTAAAGCAGGTTGAAACACTGCAGTGACTTAGCATACAGCGAGGTGGAGTATAGCGCGAGTGCCGATTTGAGAGTATTTCGTCCGATTTAAATCTTGGAGAAAGCAATTGGTAAGTTGGCTCATTTCGATATCTTTTGAATTTTGAATTTCATTTGCCGGAATGTTTAACCAATGATCGTGATGAAAAGCTTTAATGGTGTCAGGGAGTTGGTGCACCATTTATTATTGGAGGAACAGAGAAAATTGTTCATTTTGTAGCCAGAATAACATGCCGATTTAATACAGCTTTTTACAATACCCTCAAATTATTGTTTGCACCACATTACATTCAAATTCCGTATGGTGCCTTCACTAATATGAATAAAACAGTTAAAACAAGATAAATGTACTAGATCTCTCAATTTGTTTGTCTGTGTAATGCCTGGTAGTCATCAAGAGTTTTTCTTTGAAAGTGGATACATCAATTAGATTTGGTCCGGTTGATTGTTACGTTTTCTAATACAACTCTGGTAATGATGTCTACGATTATAAACCAAAATTATTATGTTTCAAATCACGCCGTATTTCCGTTTCGGTTTAATACAATTTGGAGTGGACTATTAGGCTATTATTATTATTATTATTATTATTATTATCATTATCATTATTATTATTATTATTACATCATATCAATTAGTAAATAAATTAGATTTATGATTTTACATTCATTGGGTGCATGCAGGACAAAATGATAAACGTTCAATAACTTCAGTATGAACAAAGGAAATGCTACACTGAGTCTTGGTGAACCAAATAATAACTATATAGGGGCCTATATGGTAGTATTATGGAGGCTATCGTGTCATAAGAATAATAAATGTTTAAAGACGGTGACGATGATGAATGACAACTAATCAATCAACAGCAATGTTTATGGATAATCAGATACTATCGCAACTTTGATCGTTAATGATAAAGATCATGATAGTTTATACATTTTTTCACATAAAAGTACCGAAGCCCGCCATTTTTGGAAAGAGGTTATTCTTTTTAATGAGTGACTTTCCTCAGAGCTGAGCTGAGCTTTCCTTATCTTCATATACCATCTGGTAAACTCTACGTCATGCACGGAAATTTGAATTATGCTCTCGCTCTCTCGAAAATCCACATTTCCAATCTTACAAAGAATGGTCTACATGCACTGCAGTTGGTTCTATCGTTCTATCGGTATTGAACTACTATAATTATACATGATACAGTTTAGTGCTATATCGGGTAAACTTAGGTCAATGAACTTACGCATGGGTTTTACTTTTGACGTCTGTGAAAGAAACTCTAGAGAGAGAACGATAATTCATATTCATTTTCTATTGGGATCTGGATGAGATGATTATGGTTTGTATTTCCTCTCTCTTCACCCCCTCAACCCCCTCCCCTACCCCCCCCCCCCCGATCGAGTCTATTATGTATGTCTCTCTCACCCACCCTCTCGCCCTCTTTCGCATACATGCAGTTGCCAAGGAAGATTCCAGGGCAGTAGCGTTTTACTTGGAAATTGTTGTCCGGGATGAAGATTAGAGGTAGAATGTATAGAGTTCTCTATCAATCTGACACAACAAACCCTTCATCAGACTTCCTATTTCAACCTCGATATTACTTACTATTTTTGTTCTTCTTTGAAATATTGTTATTTCGTCAATATATCTTTCAGAATAATCATGCGTGAAATAGTGCACATCCAAGCCGGCCAGTGCGGCAACCAGATCGGTGCCAAGGTAAGCTAATGGGCATCTAATGACACCTTTATTTACCCATAATCATAATCACTCCGACAGTTCATCATCCTCACCCGGTACCCCCCCCCCCCCCCCCCCCCCCTCTCGTTATGGTAAGGCATGTCCCCTAGTCCCCCACCAAGTCTACTGTGAAGCATGCATGAGCATTATAAACAAGTCACGATGACATTTTTGCTTATTTTCTTATGATGTCAGGAAGATGAAAGATATTCTCAAAATCGCTTAGGAGGATTATGGGTCATCATGACTCTTTTTGCTATCTGTAAGAGCGCCCTCTTTAGCTGATAATGTCATATTCTACGTTCATTTTTAATATTATTTTGGAATTCGTTGCAATGATCACTTTCAGTTTAGTACAAAATACCTCAGCTAATTTATTTTTTGTAATAAATAATTAATAAGGAACACCTACTTTTTGCCTTGTTTGGATATCGAAATAAATTCAAATCGGAAATAATAAAGCCATAAATATAAAGGCAAAGGCCTATATAGTGTAATAGAGACGAAGCGCCAATCCACTTTTCAAGGAAGGGGGGGGGGGCATAGGGCAAGCACATTATTCAGAAGCACATCTAAATACTAAAATTATTCCTTATTTGGATTGGCGCCCCTGATGATTGGTAAATTACGATTTGTTAGCTGAGTCATATCACTTTTCTTAAACCCTTGTGAAGAACTCCTGGTTTTAATGGTTTTGTGGATTTTTGTTAATGCTTCCATACTCCAAATATAGCCAGAAATATTAAATAATCTTGTGAAGTATTTAATCTGTCAAGTTTTTCATTAAGCAATATCGATTTGTGAAGCCTCAGCAATAATTATTTTTGACTTTGCAAAATTCAGCAGAATTTATGATTTGGAATTTTGGATGGTTGTCAGAAACGCATTATACTCCAATAATAATAATAGGCTGACATAATTTAGCTGTTAGAACTATTCCTAGACAGCTCCTTTTAAAATGCAATACAACCAATAAATATCCCTTTTACAAGCGTTTGGAGTAAGGCCCACTTTTATTGAACTGGACTTTGTTCCGCTCTTTTCTTCTGAATAAATATTGTGTAGATTCAAAAGCAGTCCCCAAAGTATTATTGATAGTTCTATCTTTGTAGTGCTTTCGTTAACACTATTTGTACATGCAAAAAACTACCATGCCAAACAAACCGTATATTGTATTCAAGAACTATAATCTTCAAATAGAGCCTCTCAAAAGTGAAGCATCTATAATGATTATGTCGGACTGTGTTCTTTCGTACTTGTGTAAATCATGAATTAAATAAAAGCCCTTTTCAATAGGCTAGGTTTGCTACCAGGAATCTTTGTACAATCTTTTGAAAACTAAAAGAAATTTGACAATAATGCCTCGCAGCTTTTTTTCCTTTTTATCTACTGCTAGAGTTCAATTATCATCAATCCAATAATTTACGCATTTTGGTTTTCTAACTTCTAAGTCTTATTGCACCCAGCTCCATGCTCGACTGTATTGTACGAAAAATCCCAGATAGGTTTTTGAGCAGAGCAGGAAATTTAGTTAGGATGTCAGTCATGCCACATTTCCGACAAGAAAGGAAAATATTCTTATGGGAGATTTCCTAAGCCTTGAATCACAAACAATCGAACACTCTTTTGATCAAAATCATTATTGAGGGGGACAGTTAGCAAATTTCAAAGTGTTTGATATTTGCATCTATTACATTTTCGGCATATCTTATCATGATTATTTAGTAGGGTGGGCCGGTGGGGGTTAAAGTGACTCATTAACTGCGCGTTTGCAATCTACATTTGCGAGTTTCGGGTCTCGGGGCACGGGAAATGAGTCCCCCCCCCCCCCCCCCCCCCGGCAAAACCCCATGTATGGCATACTTTGTTATAGGTACACAAAATAAAAAAAAAGTTGCGTCTAATTGTGTTCTTGTACCACCCTTTCAAATGTTGCATATACTTGTCAGATATTTTTCGGAACTGTGCCCCCCCCCCCCCTTCCCTTTAAAAAAAAAATCACGACTCCACCCATGATACACAACAATGCATCTCGCCCAAATTTGTTGATTGTAACACAGCATTTCCTTCTTCTTCTTTTATCTTCTTCTTTTTCTTCTTCTTTCCCCCCTTTTTTTTTTTTCTTCTTCTTCTTTTTTTTTTTAGTTCTGGGAGGTAATTTCCGATGAGCATGGTATCGACCCTACAGGGGCATACGTCGGGGACAGTGAGTTACAACTGGACAAGATAAACGTGTATTATGGATTGGCATCCGGTGAGTATATTGAAATGATGAACAAATAAAAAGGGGGACAAAGAAAAAAAATGAGGGGCATTAAACACGCCCCTCTCTACTTTAACAAAAATGAAAGCTAGTATTAGACACTATAAGCCTATTCGTTATAAATATAATGGTCTTAAAATTGCAATTGTTATATCATATTGCTGATAGCAACATAAGAGCCACTGATAAGTAGAGTTTGTCCAACTCTAGTTTGTTCGAGTTGGGCACAATATGGCGAATACTGCTTTGTTGGGCAAGCACAAAACAAATAATACACAGCATGTTGGCCAAACTCATGTGGCTCTGGTTTGGGCAACGTATAGTGTAAATGGGTCTTCTAACAAGACATTCATCAAGTTTTGATTCTGACGATGTTGTATAGAAAATTTGTTACAAGACAGCATATATAACACATAATAACGGGTAAATTTTTAAAATTGAGATAAAGATCGCAACATATTGTTATAATAAACTTAAATAAAATAGCTTGGCAAATAGTGCTGATGTATTTGGTGAGAGACATGTAGGGTTGAACAGCTTAAGACTTGCCTGCAAAATGAATGTTTCTAATGTCATGTTAGAGTAAATTGCTCAGGTAGACGCACCAATGACTAATTTAATTTCAGATTGCTTTGATTGTTCTAAAATGATACATGACCGCATACAAACAAACTTGAGGTTGTCACCGGTAACAATGAAGCGGGAATAGTTAACCATAAAATACTTTGCTCCGATCAAAGATTGATTGACTAGTCGATGATTAATGCCAAACGCATGCACATATCTTTTGCATTTTTACCTTGAGGTCATAGTACCTACAAGATAGAATATTATCTTGTTTTAATGTTATAGAATATTGTCATATCTTAATTTTAAACAAATGAACTGAAAGGACAGCGATCGAATCATTACTTTCGTCTTCTCCAACCTAACAACAGAATAATATACTGTTTACTATTGGAAACTTATATAATTATCAACTTACTGTAAACATAATAAGATCAAGATCACAACTACACGTACATGTCTATGAGTACAGCTGTATATAGTTTACAGTATGCTGTTGCTATACGACTGTGTTCACAAAACGTGTTCAATAAACTTTGTCCGGGTACCTTAGTTACAACATGCACTAAGAGCTAATTCGAATGAAAACTTTTGGTGATTCAACTATATAGACACGGCCCGACGGCCGTATGAATAAAACATGCATACAAAGCGTTGTCACCGGCGACAATATTCTTTTGTTCTTTTTTAGCATTATCCTCTGAATATGGACAGTGTGATTTTGTACTTCGAATCTAAATAATATTGCAGCCTCGTGCAAATGCCTTGTAAAGCAAAGGCTTTATATTGAATTCTTTTGAATTCATGATTAGAATCTATCTTGTGACCTCTGATTCTGAACTTTGGAATCATTATGAAAATAACGATTGGATATCGGTATGGAGTGATTGTTATGAAAAGTAGTTCCGCGCCTCTCAGTCATACCGAAATGATTTCGAAATTCTTAGTCTGTTTCCAGGGGCGTGTCTTAAATACATTGGATTCATGGTGGGGGAGGGGGGTAAACATTTTTCTTTTCGGTGAAGAAAATGATGGGCCTTGGTTCGGGATGACGCTATAGCAAAAAGATTTTTAATTTATTAATTTATATATTTCCACTTGTACGATGGAACACCCTTATATTCAAAAATGTTGTTTTTCATAGGGGTTTATAATGGACCTACGTTATAGTCGAATCGTTTTGCCCCAGGTTGTTGTTGAAAGCTTCGTTACTTATAGGAGAAGTGAAATCTTCTTCCACGGTCTCTTTGTACTTCTATTTTATTTTAAAAGTGAATGGCATATACTCATAGCAAATATTCGGGGACTTCACGAACGTCTCCATGTATGATATAACCAGCAACCCTCCCCGACCATATGGAAACGTTGTATCATCCGCTCAATCTGACTTGCGTGCATAGAACAAATAAGCATTTTTCAATGAAAAAGTGAAGTTTTCTAAAATGTGCGTTTCTTTCCAGCATTGGGGCGCCCGGAAGTCACTCGGGTAACATTTCATAAAGTATAATATAAAAAGACCATATGCACATTTTCTGTACTTTTGTCGGAAAAAATACATTTATCCAGCATAATGTCGTCTCTTATTGCGTTGGAGAAGAGCAAATAGCGAGTTTCAATCGCACTTTGGCCGCTCTAGCAAGCTCTCACTCGTTTCACTGTGGTCAAGCGACTTTGGGGCAAGCGGTTAATGAAAATACTAATCGTTAGCTTTCTTCTGGTATTAAACTTGTTTTGATTGATTGTATAATTTTGTCGGAATAAAGGAAACAAAAAGGCTCGAACAATAACTTATCAGCGACTGAATTGACCTTTTGACCTTGAATTCCCTGTTGCAAGCGCACTAATGACGTCATCTTCGCTAAATCAGTGTCTTTTATCGTAAAATGCGACACTTTCACAATGTTTATTCATCTCTTTTAATTATTAGTAAGATATAACATATTTTTTCTGATATCAGTGAAGTTTTGGGTTTTATTTAATGAGTAATTTTAAAATAAGAGTCATTTACTGTTTTAATTTACTGGATCGTACCATTATAAAGTCGCAGGGTAGAAAGATGCATTTTCGAACCGCGCCAAATTTAATTTACGTTCCGACATTCTGTTAAATGGGTTCGTGTTGTTAAGAATCCACTGCTTTCTTCTCCAACAAACGTCCACATGCGGAGTCGTTTATCAACTAAATTATTCAAATTTATGGAAATACTTCCTAGCTTCCCAGGTGTTTGTGCTGCTGTTAATTGAAGCATTTCATTCACCGATATCATTCTTTGTACTCCAATTGCCAGAACGCAAATTTCATTTCGGTTTTATAGTTTCATCGGAGACGTTTATCAACTATAATGTATTCAAATTGATGAATGCTTCCTCCCCAGGTGTTTTTGGTGTTTATGCATTTCATTCACCTGTTATTATTCTTTGTACTCCAATTGTTAGAATACAAAATACATTTTGGTTTTATATTTTCATGCAATAAAAGTAAGTCAATAAAAGAGTATGTTCTGCACAATAAAAACAATGTGTGTCCTTATTGTACAATGTAATGTGTCCCCTCATTTTGTAATAGTTAATTTACCCATTCACATCATGGAACTACCTGCCCGATGAAGCCAGTGGCCTGTGACCCCTGAGCACTCAACACCGTGTGGGAGTCAGTTTGTGTTCAACTTCTTTTATGAGACAAATACAAACAAACGTTTCCATATGCTTGCCAAAAATTGAACGGCCTGGATGACGTACATTTTTGGCGGCAAATTTTAACTTGACCTGCCCCTTATTGATGTTGTAGAGACTCCCAAACTCATATACAAAAACTATGATAGTGTCCTCCTCACAAACAGGGGCGTACGCAGGATTTTTTCAAGGGGGGGTTTTAAAATCTGGCCCAAAATATTTTGCTCCCGAAAAAAAAAAAAAAAAAAAAAAAAAAAATCCAAAAGGGGGGGGGGGGGTTTAGGGAAATTTAGGGGGGGTTAACACACAAAAAATTACCAAAGGGGGGGTTTAACCCCCAACCCCCCCCCCCCCCCCCCCTGTGTACGCGCCTGCTCACAAATATATTTTGTGAACAAATAGATGACACCCTATGATTAATTTTGTGTGGAGCCTCCATATTGTGGCAACAAATGGCATTTTAAAATCATGTAGCCATTGAAATGACTATATTTGCCATTTGCCAAGCTTCTGTGGAGGTCAACTATAGTTTTCCTAAAGAAAATATTTGCATTCGTTGTTAAAGATGAAGTTGAGTTCTGGTCATGCGATTGCATTGTGAAAGAAACGGTGTGAAATCGACCAGAAAAGGTTGATCATCTAGCATATAAGAATGTGTGTGTATTGCAAGGTTCTGGAATCATCAAAATGACAAGAAATTTGGCCAAGTCTAGGTAAAGTTACAAACACTGTACACAGAAAGATATATATGGGACTACACGAACACGTGGAGTAAAAAAAACCTACCCCCCGAGTTTTACGAGTTACATGACATATTTAGAATATAAAGGCATTTGAAGAGCCATGCTTTTCAGGGAACATGTCTTATCTGATGTTCTTCCACACTTGCATAATAAGAATGATAACGCTCACAAATTATTTTTCACCTCTTCCCAGAACTCAACCTTCTCTTTAATGTCAGAGGGGTCAGAGTTGTGGGTTCTATTTTCTTTTTGTATACATTTCAAGATACCGCTTGAGTTCTTAGATCAAATTATACATGATGAATTTCTTTGTACCCCTTTTTACCTTTGGTTATACGAAAGAAGAAAATATAATTTACAGTTTGGTTTGGGTTGGTTTGGGTGCCGGACCAGAACCAAGGCTGGTCCGACGCAATGCCATGAAGTGGGGAGATTTTGTGTCTGAAAGTTCTGCACAAATTCATTCCATTAGTCAGTCAGTTTGATCTCCTTTGAGTTGTGTCGAGCCACTCCGATTAACCATCCCGAATCACACCCGAAGCCTGCCTCATTTTGCTCCGTACCAACCAGCTCACAGAGTCCAAAATCGGCACCCAATTCGGCTCTGTTGGCACTTGCCGAGTTGGGTGACGAAGTGGGATCCGATCTCGTTGCAGCTCAAAAAGCGCTTGGCGAGAGGGAGGCAGGACCAAGTGGCTCCGTATTTCTTTCTTATATTAGTATATTTCATGATGACTCACATATATATTTTTTTTATATGAACATAATTTCTATAAAAAATTTGCTTCGCTTCCTGTTGACTTGTGTCGACATGTTTCCCTACATTTTGATATTATATTTCTTTGCCCCGCCATCTAGAAGAGAAATATGTTCCTCGTGCCATCCTGGTGGATCTGGAGCCTGGTACCATGGATTCGGTCCGGTCTGGACAATTTGGGCGGCTCTTCCGTCCAGACAACTTCGTCTTCGGACAGAGTGGGGCAGGGAACAACTGGGCCAAGGGACACTACACCGAGGGAGCAGAGCTGGTGGATGTTGTCATGGATGTCTTGAGAAAAGAAGCCGAAGACTGCGACTGTCTCCAGGTAAAAAAGTAAATCCGTGATAAAAATGTCAAATGCCCCTAATAGTGTCCTTGAAAGCTATTAAAATTTGACCATCCGCAATTTGTTCAAAATCAGATTAAAATGATTCAAACAAGTGATATGGCTTTTATCTGTCTGTCAATGGATTTTACGATTGTCCGAGATAATTTGTATGTATTTAACAAGACGTTTTTCTTTTATTTCCTTTACTACAGGGCTTCCAGCTTACACACTCCCTTGGTGGTGGTACCGGTTCCGGTATGGGAACCCTTCTCATCAGCAAGATCCGTGAAGAGTACCCAGACCGCATCATGAACACATTCAGCGTTGTGCCATCACCCAAAGTATCAGACACTGTTGTTGAGCCATACAATGCCACACTCTCAGTCCATCAGCTGGTTGAGAACACAGACGAGACCTACTGCATTGACAATGAAGCCCTCTACGATATCTGCTTCCGTACCCTCAAGCTGACCACACCCACCTACGGAGATCTGAACCATCTGGTCTCTGCCACCATGAGTGGAGTCACCACTTGCCTGCGATTCCCTGGCCAACTCAATGCTGATCTCCGCAAACTTGCCGTCAACATGGTTCCCTTCCCACGTCTTCACTTCTTCATGCCTGGCTTTGCACCTCTGACCAGTCGAGGAAGCAAACAATACCTTGCCTTGACCGTTCCAGAGCTCACCCAGCAGATGTTCGATGCCAAGAACATGATGGCTGCATGTGATCCTCGTCATGGTCGCTACCTCACTGTTGCCGCCATCTTCCGCGGTCGTATGTCCATGAAGGAGGTCGACGAGCAGATGCTCAACGTACAGAACAAGAACAGCAGCTACTTCGTCGAATGGATCCCCAACAACGTCAAGACCGCCGTCTGTGACATCCCACCACGTGGTCTAAAGATGTCTTCCACCTTCATTGGCAACAGCACCGCCATCCAGGAGCTCTTCAAGCGCATCTCTGAGCAGTTCACCGCTATGTTCAGGAGGAAGGCTTTCCTTCATTGGTACACTGGTGAAGGTATGGACGAGATGGAGTTCACAGAGGCTGAGAGCAACATGAATGATCTGGTGTCTGAGTACCAACAGTACCAGGATGTCTCTGTTGATGACGATGGCGACTTTGACGAGGAGGACGAAGAAGAGGACTTGGCATAGAGCCACCCATTCAAATCGATACTTAAATATAATAACTCTTTGAAGAACATTCTGGCTGTATTGGTAAACAATGGTTGTTTATCAATACCGAGCTCAAACCTTTTATTGTGCAGTATTGCAATATCACCATTTTTGTTGATCAATTTGAAGATCAAAAGTAATGTTTACAAGAAAAAATATGAATGCATGACGTTAACGGGAGCATCTAGTGTCGATTTTTTTTCTAGACATCTATATAGTAATTATTAGATCAGTATAGTCATACTCACATTGCGACTGTGATTAATGCATGCCCTTCTATAGCTCAGGCTTAAACCAATGAAGACTGAGAATTCGCATGTAAACAATTATCTTGTCTAGAATTAGTATTCATAAAATGGTATTAACATATCTCTATGACAACAACTTTATTATAAATCACAAAAAATACACTTTATACACAGTCCAACAAGCATGATAATGACTAGGAACTTACCAAGCACTGTATGCCAAATATGGAGAAGGAAAGAGATTGACATGGATTTGAGAAAATGGGAGCAGTTGCATTTTGGTGAGGGCTCTTGACCCTCGTACAATCATCGCAAGAGGTCCCGGGTTCGATCTTGCTCGATGCTGACATCATTGGTAAAGACATTATTTGACCATGCACGCATGCACTTTATTTTGCCCCTCTCTATATCGCAGGTGCAATCAAAATAATGGATATACCTGCATATACTTGGATGATTATAATTGCATGGACCGCATGAAGGGCCGTATTGACTGATGGGGCTACCTCGGGTAAATAAGACCAATTTCTCAATTGTTAATCATTGTTCCCTTTTGGGTCTGAATTACGGATACCATTATAATGAGTTTTGGCCGACAAAAGATCATCGGAGAGCGTGTCACAATCGTTATTGAAATAACATATTATCATCATCAATAAGTATCTTTAGTCAGCTGAAAATGAATCGCCTCAGTTCACGTCTGTGTGAATATCATTATCATCAGTCGAGAAATAGATCCATTCCCTTACAATACAAACTGTGCTAAATAGAGAACAAAAAAAAAATCCCCTTTCTAAACGCCTTTCTGCTTGAATATCTAGCAGGATAAGAGGTATCATGCAATATCATTCAGGGATACCTTTCTTTACAAAAATATGGAATCGTAGATAAAAAGTAAAATAAAAAGAATTATACCTCACTCACTTGTTTTTGTTTGCATGTTTTGATGATGTACATGCATGCAGAAGAAAACAAAATGAATTGATACAAGACATAGTGGTAGAGATATAGAGAGAGACTGTGAGATGAAAGTGAGATGCAGGAAAATAAGCGGAGAGAGAAAGAAAGAGATAGGGAAAAAGAGAGAGAGAGAGAGAGAGAGAGAGAGAGATTTTACTAGCTAGTAAAATCAATCATGAGGCAAAATGACCACGAGATTACTTCGTTGCCCGGATATCCTGCAATGCTGGATACCGATATATCAGTCTCTGATTTTTAGAATTCTTTGTTTCACAGGTGTGCAACCCCCCCCCCCCCCCCCCTCCCCCACAAAAAAAAATCTTTGGGTAAATCTTAAATTTGTCGGAAAATCGCACAAAATATAAAAACTGACTTTCTTGTTTCTTCTCCTGACAACAAACTCTATCATTATCGGCATATTCAAATATCATGGGATCGGGAGGGGGAGCTTCAAACAAAAATCAGCTAACTAGTCGGCAAATTTGGTACCGAATACCCATTCAGAATGGCTTCGTATAAGCCTATATAAAAACGTTCGTCTGTTAATGGCAATTTTTTTTTTAAATGGCGGAGGGGGGGGGGGCAAGAGCCCCCAAGCCCCCACCCATAAAAAAGTTATGATAATACTGATAAATTGAAAGAGTGCCAGTATTGCGGGAAGAATGGTCTTATATTATTTTGCCTCTAGTGGAAAAAAAAGACATGGAGATGCGATTAATGCATAAGACTTTTACGTTGAAGGTATATAAAGTTGTTCCCCCCCCCCCCCCACTACCACCTCCTCCCTCTCATTCACTTGCCTTCCCTCCATCCACTCCATCACTCTCTCTCTCTCTCTCTCTCTCTCTCACGCTCTCTTCCTCGATCCATCTAAAGGCTCCCTGTCAATATTATCAAACGACAAAGGAGGAGATGACGTATACGTAATATGCCAATACAATTCAATTCTCTTCAAAAATATGTATTGATTAAAATCCAAACAAATAGGATCGTTCTCAACTTTGTTTATAACATTGGACAACAAATTTCAAAATTATAGCGTATAACATAAATAATTGAGTGTAAGAATATTATAACAGCCAGGAATGGCAAAAATTGACGTACTACTGCATCTCTCTTCGTGCATAGAATACAAGGACCTGTTTCTTCAAACTTGTTATCAATAATAAGTTATAGTAACTGTTATATAAGCTACTGAAATCATGAAATTTGATTGGCTTAAAGCAACTTTGTCATAGAAATTTAACATTTGTTATTGATACACTGTAACAAATTTTATGAAACAGGGCCCAGGGATAAAAAATAAATTAAATTACTCTGAATACTTTTACAACTTTTTTATTATGTTATTTCTTTTCAAATAAAAGGAACAAAATACAACATGATAGTAAAACAATATACATCTGTCATTATGTTTTATGTTTACCAAGGGGGTGACGTCATAAGCCTTTAAATTTATAATCGACTGTTGTTCGTGTTCGTCTCTTCATGTCTCTTCCTCGTTCCAGCTAAAGGATCCCTGACAATTAAAAGGGGTCAAGGCGGGGATGACGTTGTATTATGATCGATTTTTGTTTGTGGCCGTCGTCAGGCCTGTAGCTTTTTCAAACCCCCTGTTGCGTAACACTATCTATACAGCTATACCTGCCTCGTTTATCCGCTCACTTCAAGTCCCCATAGCAACCATACCCATGTAACTCCTCAACCACTGCATTATTTTTCAGGGGAAGGGGGTACGCCTCAGTTATGCAATAACTAAATGCACCCCTCCCCCTCATGACTTCCCCAATCGTGTCTTTTTATGGTATTGCAAGATCATTGGTTTGTTTTGTTTAAGAATAATATATAATTTATTGTTCACCTCCCTGGTTTATCATATTTTGTTTGTTATCATAAAATAGCGCTTAGAGACTTCGGTGCAGCGCTTTATAAATCACCGTTTTTATCATTATTACTGTTTTATATTCTCTCTCTCTTCTCTCTCTCTCTCTCTCTCTCTCTCACTCTCTCTCTCTCTCTCTCTCTCTGTCTCTCTCTGTCTCTCTCTTTCTCTCTATCTCTCTTGGCTCTCGAATTATTTCGTTAATCAAATCATGCACGGATATAATATAGGCCTACTCAAATAGTGACTCGAGAAATCAAATAAAATTGATCAGTGTAGGCTGGCACTTGTACAATTCAAACAGATTTTGAAACTAATGGTCATCGCATGCATAGTAGTCCCTATATTGTCTATCCAATTATTTACCCCCCCCCCTCAAAAAAAAAAAAAAAAAAAAAAAAAAAAACTTTCCCCCATTTCTTTTTCCATATTACTCACTTCTCTATAATCAGAGAAACGCCCACATTTGTTAATAGATGATGAAAGTGGTAAAGACATGTCTTTGGAATTTGTCATTACTTTATTTTGGTTGTGTGCGACCATAAACTTGAACACTCATAAAAACAAACTTCTTCTCGGAGATTTAAAAAAAAAAGAAGATTTCTGTACTTTATAGGCCTAAAACTAGCATTGATTCACAACACTGAGTTTGATGAGTTCGTGTACTTCGGCAATGTAGCTACAGCTACAGGGATTAAAATTTCAAATGATTCATCCCTTTTGCTATTTCTTGGCTTCTCAGTGCCGATTAGCGATTATGTTCCACCAGTTGCAATACAAAAGGAGACAAAAGGCTTCCCCAAAATTTGTTTTCATCCGCCGATCGGAGCGGGAGCGAGGCGGTCGGTATCCCTTGGTTTCCACATGTACATCGAAACCTAGGGTCCATGGTTTCCACGATCCCCCATCTCTTGTTTGGCTGACCCATGGGCCGTTAAGCGGAGATGTATTTTGTGCGAGTTGCCATAGCGCGGTAAATCTTGACCAATTAGATCGCTTGAATACGTCTTACAAATATCGCTCAGGTATGAAGTATCATGATTGGTCAATCGCTTGTCTTCTCACTTTGGGGATTGCCTTAAAAAATCTATACACAGAATTACATTCAGATTTACATCTTGGCATATTTTTGTTGTAAAATGAGCTTTCAACTCATAAAAATGAAATATTTTATTTAGATATGATATCTTTAATCGAAATTCAAAGCTATATTCAAAAGAAACTCTCGAAAATTATATTTTAGACCGAAATGAAATCGTAAATGAAATGAAATGAAAATGGAGGAAACAACGTGGTCCCTGAATTCAAATGTTTATGCGGGTTGCTAGGCGGAGGAATATCGATTGAATGAAATCGCATTTATTCCCAAGTAGTTCCAATCTCACGTCAGATTCCCGCTAAACGTCAACTGAACGTGTCAATTTTACATTTTTTCCTAGACAACTCGTAACTTTTATATCAATCATGCGTGAGATCGTCCATATGCAAGCTGGCCAGTGTGGCAACCAGATCGGTGCCAAGGTGAATAACTATTCTTCAATTTTTATGTATTTTGAAATTAAAGTGTGCAAGTGTGTCATTTAATTATGATGATGAGTGTGTGGATTGTGGAAAATTGTGAACGTGTGCGTGCCATGTCATGATGATGATGTTCATGCTTGTCGTTGAGATTCTGTGAAACTTAGATCTAAAAGGAAACGGGCAAAAGGGGGTGCTGAGGCATGGGGATTGGTGAATTGAATGGTTAATTTATTAAGGATTGAAGAATTCGTTATTTTCATGATAAAAATTAATACGCAACCTTCAAGTTCATGAGTTTTGGGGCTGACATTTTGGCTTCATCATGAGATTGAATGTGATTGTGAAGTGTGAGTCCACTCCATGGCATGAATCATGATTTAATTTTTTTTCAGGGAATGAATGGAACAAATAGTTTGTCAAAAATCTGTCTACAAAAATCCTCTAGAGACTCTACTCTCTACTGACTCTAGACTGACTCTAGACTATTCTGTATTCAGGCCCAGGGTGAGCTTGCAATTTGGGGTCACTCTTTGGCATAAGTTGTGTCAGAATTAAAAGTTAAAGTTTCATCATGGTCATGGATAAACCCGCTACGGCTGAAAATGAAAGATTCACTCCAAACTTCACGGTTAGTTAAATTTCAAAACAAGTGAGTGTCAACATTAAATTTATGTTTATTTCTTTTTACATTAACAGTTCTGGGAAGTCATCTCAGATGAGCATGGCATCGACCCCACCGGTACCTACCACGGAGACTCTGATCTTCAGCTTGAGAGGATCAATGTCTACTACAATGAGGCCACCGGAGGCAAATATGTCCCGCGTGCCGTCCTCGTCGATCTGGAGCCAGGTACCATGGACTCCGTCCGCTCTGGACCATTCGGACAGATCTTCAGACCAGACAACTTTGTCTTTGGACAGAGTGGAGCTGGAAACAACTGGGCCAAGGGACATTACACAGAAGGTGCTGAGCTGGTAGACTCTGTTCTTGATGTTGTCCGCAAGGAGGCTGAGAGCTGTGATTGTCTTCAGGTATGCATGCTTCACATTTTTAAGAGTTTAGTTCTTGATTTTATTTCAACAGAAATTTGTGTGTGATCTTTATAAAAAAAAAGATGCAGTTTCATCATTTTGTGGGGGGGGGGGGAAGTAATTTGCAGGTTCCACTGAAGAAACAAAGGGGGGGGGGAGAATATGATTTTAGATGCATATCAGTTCATCTTTTCTTTTGTAGAATATTACTTATTGAATTTGATTTTAACCACATGTTCTCCTTTTGGTTTTCTTCGTAACAGGGCTTCCAGCTTACACACTCCCTTGGTGGTGGTACCGGTTCCGGTATGGGAACCCTTCTCATCAGCAAGATCCGTGAAGAGTACCCAGACCGCATCATGAACACATTCAGCGTTGTGCCATCACCCAAAGTATCAGACACTGTTGTTGAGCCTTACAATGCCACACTCTCAGTCCATCAGCTGGTTGAGAACACAGACGAGACCTACTGCATTGACAATGAAGCCCTCTACGATATCTGCTTCCGTACCCTCAAGCTGACCACACCCACCTACGGAGATCTGAACCATCTGGTCTCTGCCACCATGAGTGGAGTCACCACCTGCCTGCGTTTCCCTGGCCAACTCAACGCTGATCTCCGCAAACTTGCCGTCAACATGGTTCCCTTCCCACGTCTTCATTTCTTCATGCCTGGCTTTGCTCCTCTCACCAGCCGTGGCAGCCAGCAATACCGTGCCTTGACCGTTCCAGAGCTCACCCAGCAGATGTTCGATGCCAAGAACATGATGGCTGCCTGTGATCCTCGTCATGGTCGCTACCTCACCGTTGGCCGCCATCTTCCGTGGTCGTATGTCCATGAAGGAGGTCGATGAGCAGATGCTGAACGTACAGAACAAGAACAGCAGCTACTTCGTTGAATGGATCCCCAACAACGTCAAGACCCGCCGTCTGTGACATCCCACCACGTGGTCTGAAGATGTCTGCCACCTTCATCGGCAACAGCACCGCCATCCAGGAGCTCTTCAAGCGCATCTCTGAGCAGTTCACCGCTATGTTCAGGAGGAAGGCTTTCCTCCATTGGTACACTGGTGAGGGTATGGACGAGATGGAGTTCACAGAGGCTGAGAGCAACATGAATGATCTGGTGTCTGAGTACCAGCAGTACCAGGATGCCACCGCTGAGGAGGAGGGAGAGTTCGACGAGGAGGAGGAAGGTGATGAGGAGGCTGCATAAGTACAGGACAATTAGAAATGGACAGATATAGCTGCAATTCATCGAATGATTTTTATTCTGGTCTGGCACCACCAAAGATTTGAAACCCTTTGGGATGATAAACTAGTCTACCAAGTACCAAAGATATATTTATTCAAAATCCCACCGTCACTAAATACTCCTAACCGTTCATGTTGAATTTAACTTCAAGGTGTGCTCAATATTGTATATGTTGACAAAGTCGAATTCAAAAAAAAAATGCTTATTGTTGATCACAAATATTTCAGAACAATGTTTTCAAAATATATACCAGTTTACAACTTAACTACCTTGTGTCCCTGTGTTATTGATTTTTAATGTAAGGAGTTGTGTGATGCATTCAGTGCAGATGGCAATTATCAATCGATGCTGAATTAGTTAATTTCATCAAAAGCATAGCGGTAATGTGATGTGTGTATATGATATCAATCAAGATTGATTTTTTTAAAGTATGACCAACCATTATGATAAGTGAGAATAAGATTGGTAATGAGAGGTGAGAGAGTGAGCATTGGAGGTTATTTTGATGAGATGTTGATGCTATCCATTATTTGGCTCGAGTATGGAAATGGTGATTGATTGATGTGTAGGTCCACGGTTGGAGGCAGTGTGATAATGTCGCAAAATTCCCCTTCTTTGAAATAAATGGCTGTCTTTGGTCTATCCACGATCAATTTATTTGATGATTATGACTGAATCAGAAAATCATAATTGTTTCAGGGATGAGGCATGTCAATAAGTGCCTAAATCTATCTTTCTCTGAAATCAACTTTCATCGACTTCTCGCTCTTTTCTTTTCTTTGCGATTCACCAAGTACCCCCATTATTTTTGTTATACACGGTTCTAAATTTTTATAAACCGGGACAAGAAATGAAATTGATTTTCGTCATTAAACTCCCTTTCTTGTCTGTAAAAATATTCTGGAATTGCTTTCATTAGTTTCTTTTCTGTTTCTTGGTTGATATGAAAAAGGTCAACTTAAAGCCCCTTTAAAGAGTAGGGAGTGACCCCAACAAATTTAGATGGCAAAATTTCACTTAAATTGTATCATGATGTGAAAGAGGATATAGAGACATTTTTTGCAAGCATTTTCTAAAAAGTGTGATTGAAGTCGAATATTGATGAAGAATACAAAATTTAGGTTTTCTGTTTGCTACAGAAAACCAAAATTGTGTATTCGTTTTATCAATATTTGTCATCAAACACATTTTTTTTTAGGGGGAGGGGGAATCTTTGCAGAAGTATTTCTTACATGACATCCTCTTTCACATTATGACACAATTTAAGTAAAAGTTGGGAGAATTTTTAGGCCCCCAACACTTGGAGGGCTTTAAAACCCAAATAAAGATACATTCGATTAAATGGGGTCCTGTAATCCTTTAAAGGGGGTCTTCCTTTTGAGGCATCTTGCCATGACCTTCATACTGGAGTGAAGGCATTCAAAATAATATAATGGTGTAAATGGGGTCCGGTAAGTCGATTACGGGGGGGGGGGAGCACCGGTCTTCTGCAAACTAGGCCGGCCATATTTTATTGGTGTTTAGAGGGGGGAGGGGGTAAGATGTCTTGATTTCATATTATATACCCTTCTCCCTCTCCCTTTTCCATCCCCTCCCTTGACCTTCACTTCTCCCTCCCCGCTTCTCTCTCTCTCTCTCTCTCTCTCTCTCTCCCTCTCTCTCTCAGTCCTCTCGATATGCCCCTCCCTCTAATTCGCCTTTCGACTGGAGTCACACCCAGGCGCGTACGCAGGGGGGTTAAACCCCCCCCCCCTTTGGAATTTTTTTGTGTGTAAACCCCCCTAAAAAAACCTAAAACCCCCCCCCCCTTTTGGATTTTTTTTTTTTTTTTTTTTTTTTTTTTAATTATTAAAAAAAAAAAAAAAAAAAATTATTCCCATGGCCGACCTAAAAAAGGTGACCTTACCCCCCCCCCAACGGAGCAAAATGTCAAATTTCCAAATTTCGAGACCAAAAAAAAAAAAAAAAAGTGTCCTCTTACCCCCCCCCCCCCCCCCCCCCCCCCCCCCCCCCCGCTCCCCCGCTTATTCAGCGGTCGGCTGAGTCGTTGCGATTTTTTTGGGACAAAAAAAAAAAAAAATGTGTCCTCTTACCCCCCCCCCCCCCCCCCCCCCCCCCCCCCCCCCCCCCCCGCTTATTCAGCGGCTGGCTGAGTCGTTGCGAAATTTTCGGACCGATTTATAAATGTTAAAACCAAAACCCCCCCCCTTGAAAAAATCCTGCGTACGCGCCTGGTCACACCGCTTATCGGAGGCATTTGCTTGGCAAAATACATTCTTACCCTTTTTTTATATATTTGTTTTTAACCCCTTCCCACTTTTCTTATTTCTATTGTCCCTTATCTTTCCATCTCTTCTTCTTTCTTTCCATTTTTCTCATTTCATTTCTTCTCAATTGTCCTTTTCTTTATGTTGTTGCTGAAAGACTAGCCTATATAATTGATAGGGTATCTTTGTATTTAACCAAAAAAATGCGGGGGCCCTCCCCCTCCCCCGGTCTTTCCTTGTTTACCACCCTGGTGGAATATCAAAACATGATCATTTGCTCTACCAATCTCAACATTGTTTTTTTTTTTTTTTGTAATTATTCTATTTGTTGCCTCTGGATATTAAAGATTGAACAGGCCCTTTACCGAGTTATTAATTTATTCGACGGTTATCTACGGGGGAGGGGGGGGGGGGGGCTCCATTCCAGGTTATCATCTTTGACGATCATTGAATTGAATTAAATAGACCTACAAAATAATGAATAAAAATGAAATCATCATCATCGTCATTACTGTTTTATAATATGATAATTTGGCTTTGTTTATATAAATTCCTATCAAATAAGTAGGGGGTGGGTCGGGATTTTGAAGGCCTCTTTCCTTCTGATAGTATCTTTCGAGTGACCCTGACTTGGATGGGTTAATTATATAGCCTTCGTCTACTAATTAGCTCTTACTTTTAGACAGTATTTCGATTAAAGAAGAGGCGTAATTCGTTTGAACGTTGAGATAGTTCCATGATAAAACATTAAACAATTTTGAAAGTAATCTCAAGATAACGTCACCATGACAACTATCCCTGTCCAGGACTAGCCTCATGAATGCAGGACCGGTCCTCTTTGGGATTTCACCATTGGTATGCAAATTAAGGGGCTGAGAGCTACTGCAGCTCATATAATAGTTTGACATAGCAACGCGACCGCGTCCTGTAACTAAGCATTTTAAGGGGATCAACAAGTTCTTGAAGGGAGAATATAATTTTGATATCGAAAAATGTGAAGAACTAAAGTTTCAACATTTATTATAAATCTGATGATGAATCACGGACTAAAATGATAAATAAGATATAAAACAGTATAGTAAATGGAAACTTATTAACCAACAGGTACGTACGCGTACAGTATCCACCCCAAGCATTACAATAACATAGTTCCTTTACTTGACAACCAAGTGAGTGGTGCGTCCAGCGTGCCTGCCAGCCACTGTTACTATGGTGTCAAAATATACAACGCGCGTACTATATAAAGCGCACCTGTTGCTGAAACTACATTCTCATATTCTACAGCCAGGGAAACTAGGTGTAGCAAACTTGTCTTTATTTTCATTAATTAGAAACAAAACTAATCAAAGATGCGAGAAATTGTTCATATGCAGGCTGGCCAGTGCGGTAACCAGATTGGTGCCAAGGTAATTAATAACTGAGTTTTCTTTTTACTTTTTTTTTTTTTTTACCGTTATTTACTTGCTAATTTTCATCGAAATCGAAGTGTCATTGCCATTGGCATTGGATTTGCGTGGAAGTGGAAGAGTCAGTGTGAAATGCAATGTAAGCGATGTTGTCTTGTCAAGTTTGATCAAGTCTCAGAACAGTGAGACAATCAGAATATAAACCATCTCCTTCGACACGTCTAGACGATCATGATAAGTGGATTAGGGTTTTACAGTATATTATTGGCTACTGACTGTTCAATTCTGTTAATTAAACGTCTTTATAAAGAATGATTTGTCATGATTTGAACCAAATTCATCGTGATTATAATAGGTCTATTGATGATTGATGCAACAATTGGGGAGCATTCAATAGTAATAATACCCCAGGTAATCTTACAGACACAATGCAACATGATTGATTGTCTAGAAATAAAATGATGGGCAAACCCGGACTTTAGTGCCCAGCTGAAAATCTCAGTTTATTATGGATTTAATATCAATAATATTAATTATGCTAATATATGCAAATATAAACATACCAAAACTTGATGATTTTTAATCATTTGACGTCATAAAAAGCAATTTTAAGCCAAAAATAGCAGCGAAGTAGGGGATCTCCTCTTTGCTTGATGCGAGATACTAGCGAACTGAAATAACCGAATAAAAACTATGGTGAACTAAAAAAAGAAAAGAAAAAAATCAAACCACCTCTGAAATTACCTTTGAAATGTTTATTAATTTTTTCTTCCGATATGCGCACATGATAGGGGCAGGTTGGGATGGGATGGGGGGGGGTGCTCAATAGTCGCCAAATTTGGGGTAAAAGGGCAACTGGCCTTGGGGGGGGGGCTAAATTTATTATTTACTTATTTTTCTTTGTAATCATTTTTCTAATTTTTTTCCGGGGTGGAAAAATAAGTAAATAATAAATTTAGCCCCCCCCCCAAGGCCAGTTGCCCTTTTACCCCAAATTTGGCGACTATTGAGCACCCCCCCCCCCCCCATCCCATCCCAACCTGCCCCTATCATGTGCGCATATCGGAAGAAAAAATTAATAAACATTTCAAAGGTAATTTCAGAGGTGGTTTGATTTTTTCTTTTCTTTTTTTAGTTCACCATAGTTTTTATTCGGTTATTTCAGTTCGCTAGTATCTCGCATCAAGCAAAGAGGAGATCCCCTACTTCGCTGCTATTTTTGGCTTAAAATTGCTTTTTATGACGTCAAATGATTAAAAATCATCAAGTTTTGGTATGTTTATATTTGCATATATTAGCATAATTAATATTATTGATATTAAATCCATAATAAACTGAGATTTTCAGCTGGGCACTAAAGTCCGGGTTTGCCAAATGATGATAGGGTCTAGATCTAACATTTTAACAAATACCTACTCTTTATCTTGACACAGTTCTGGGAAGTCATCTCAGATGAGCATGGTATCGACCCCACCGGTACCTACCACGGAGACTCTGATCTTCAGCTCGAGAGGATCAACGTGTACTACAATGAGGCCACCGGAGGCAAATATGTCCCACGTGCCGTCCTCGTCGATCTGGAGCCAGGTACCATGGACTCCGTCCGCTCTGGACCATTCGGACAGATCTTCAGACCAGACAACTTTGTCTTTGGACAGAGTGGAGCTGGAAACAACTGGGCCAAGGGACATTACACAGAAGGTGCTGAGCTGGTAGACTCTGTTCTCGATGTTGTCCGCAAGGAGGCTGAGAGCTGTGATTGTCTTCAGGTAGGCAAGCTTCACCTTTTTAAGGGATTAGTTCTTGATTGTATTAAACAGATAGGGTCTATCTGTGTGTGGTCTCCTCTTAAAAATAGAAAAGGATGTAGCTTCATCATTTTGTAGGGGGAAAAAAGAATTAATTTGCAGGTTTAACTGAAGAAACAAGGGGGTTAGATCGAGTGGAGGAAAATCTGATTTTAGATGCATATCAGTTCAACTTTTCTTTTGTAGATAAACTTTAATTTATTGAAATTGATTTTAACCACATGTTCTCCTTTTGGTTTTTCTCATAACAGGGCTTCCAGCTTACACACTCCCTTGGTGGTGGTACCGGTTCCGGTATGGGAACCCTTCTCATCAGCAAGATCCGTGAAGAGTACCCAGACCGCATCATGAACACATTCAGCGTTGTGCCATCACCCAAAGTATCAGACACTGTTGTTGAGCCTTACAATGCCACACTCTCAGTCCATCAGCTGGTTGAGAACACAGACGAGACCTACTGCATTGACAATGAAGCCCTCTACGATATCTGCTTCCGTACCCTCAAGCTGACCACACCCACCTACGGAGATCTGAACCATCTGGTCTCTGCCACCATGAGTGGAGTAACCACCTGCCTGCGTTTCCCTGGCCAGCTCAACGCTGATCTCCGCAAACTTGCAGTCAACATGGTTCCCTTCCCACGTCTTCATTTCTTCATGCCTGGCTTTGCTCCTCTCACCAGCCGTGGCAGCCAGCAATACCGTGCCTTGACCGTTCCAGAGCTCACCCAGCAGATGTTCGATGCTAAGAACATGATGGCTGCCTGTGATCCTCGTCATGGTCGCTACCTCACCGTTGCCGCCATCTTCCGTGGACGTATGTCCATGAAGGAAGTCGATGAGCAGATGCTCAACGTACAGAACAAGAACAGCAGCTACTTCGTCGAATGGATCCCCAACAACGTCAAGACCGCCGTCTGTGACATCCCACCACGTGGTCTTAAGATGTCTGCCACCTTCATCGGCAACAGCACCGCCATCCAGGAGCTCTTCAAGCGCATCTCTGAGCAGTTCACCGCTATGTTCAGGAGGAAGGCTTTCCTCCATTGGTACACTGGTGAGGGTATGGACGAGATGGAGTTCACAGAGGCTGAGAGCAACATGAATGATCTGGTGTCTGAGTACCAACAGTACCAGGATGCCACCGCTGAGGAGGAGGGAGAGTTCGACGAGGAGGAGGAAGGTGATGAGGAGGCTGCATAAATCAATTGATCTGAAATTTCCAAACTGAACAAAAGACTTGACCCAAGACCCACATTTTTCAACATTCCGTCCTTATTTCCTATCCTTTGCATTGTCAATTCTGTAATATGTTTTGAAAAAAAAATTGCAACTGCCTTCCGGATCTACATTGTTTTATTTTAACTCTGCCAAGAACTGAGTTCAAATCGATCATGAATATTCAAGAATGAATTTATTAAAAAAGAACTAAAGCAATGTTATGTCATTTGACAGATTTGGATGTTTTTTTTAATGTTAGAAGGAACAGATGGAAACTATCATCACTGAAATTGTTTAGAAAAATTATTGAATAAATTTAATAATACAAATATACTCAGATGTTTTTCGATGTTTCTGTAATATTCTTCATTGTTTGATGTGATTATCAAATGTGTTGAAGTTGTGATGATGTTGCATTGCCATGAACGTGCATGAGAATGTATCATTCCCTACCCCCCCCCCCCCCCCCTCCTGAGTGAGTGAGTTGAACAAAATTTGCATGTATAATTCAATTCAAATCAAATTTTATTGATTTCAATCCAAACAAATAGGATCATTCTTAATTTGTTGTTGTTGTAACATTGGACAACAAATTTCAAAATTATAGACGGTGTCACATAAATATTGAGTGTAAGAGTAAAGATGACAATAACAAGGGATGACAAATATTAACTCTTGTGTCATTGAGAGACTGTGTGTGGATACGTTATAAGATTGTGTGAGTGGATATGAGTTTCTTGTCTGTGAGTCGTGACTTGTTTGTTCCCAAAGCCATGTATATGTATATGCAGTCTGGTCAACTCTGACCATGGCCAAAGTTTCTATGTTTGGTAGATTTAAAATTGGGTAACAAAAAAAACAAAAATAATAATATAGATAAAGTCCAAGGACCCTAAAAAATAAATCTGCTTTTATCAAAAAAAAAAGTTATCAGGATGGACTTCCCCTTTAATGAACAGAAGGGGGGGGGGGTGAATTTTCTCTGGGGGGGGGGGGGGGTGGTTGTCCTTGGGGGTAATTTTCAGGGGGGTTCTAGAGGGTAATCGTTTTTCTTTCTTTCCCCCCTCTCTCTCTCTCTACTTCTATCTATCCCTCTCCCCCCCCCCCCTTTTTTCAAAATAAAGGAAATTCAGATACAAAATAAAAAGTACATTGTACAGAGGGCGCTATACTAGTTTCAGCTCTTGAGTGTCATCACAAGAGCATATTGAGAGAGAGAAACTGAGTTACAGTAGTTTCCTGCATATAAATTCACAATATGACCATACGACTTCTCTTCACACTTCTCTCCATTCACCTCTCTTCTTTAATCTTTCTCATTTTCTCTGGCTCTCTTCCTCTGCTTTTCCTTATCCAACGAAACCCCCCCCCCCCTTCCATTTAGCTCTCTTCCTTTCTTTGACCACTTAGATATCCATCATTTCTGCCTGTTTTCTTCACCTCCCCCCCCCCCCCCCCCCAACCCCCACTCTCTCTCTCTCTCTTTCACATTCTTTCTCTAAAAATAAAGGAAATAGATATACAAAATAAAAAGAACATTCTATGTAAAGTACAGAGGGCGCTATACCGGTTTCAGCTCTGAGCGTCATCAGAAGATCATATCAAGGGAGAAAAAGTGAGTTACATTATTTTTCTTCATGCAAATTCACACAATATGTAACCATACGACTTCTCTCTCTTCTTCTTTTTCTTATCCATTGAGCCTCCTTTCCATTTTTGTACATTCTCTCTGCCCTCTTCCTCTCTTTAACCACCTAGATATACATCATTTCTGCCATTTTTTATATTCACCTTCCCTCCACACCCTTTCCCTTTCTTTCTGTCTCTCTCTCTTTCTCTGTCCCCTCCCCCTCTACCATTATAACTGGTAACAAAGATTAATACGACCCAATTTTTGATCACCATGGAAATTTCATCTGCTTTCACCAGATGATTGAATTTACAGTCCAACGATTTCAATTTCACTGGTTCTTTCACCCATTCTTTCTTTATTTCTCTTTTTTAATTGGCCTTATTTATTCAAAAAGTCCAAGGTATTTGATCATTTGGGGTCCCATTTCTTATCAAGTTTTGTGATGTTATTAACACAAGTTGACTTAAAAACAAAAGGATGATTTTAGTTCATGTTTGGTCGGATCCAAGCTCTGCTCAGGCTTTCAAATCAATAAACATGAATTAAAACCTTAGATGTGCTCGGTACATATGGGATGAAATAGCTTGGACTCGCCAATAAATTCTATGAACTGGGTGTGCTTTGACAACAAACAAATAAAAAGTGAAGAAAAAAAAGTCACAACAAATTTGTACTAGGTAAACCAAAGCATTTTAATTACATCATGGCAAACTGCAGGTTTCAAAAACACAAGATGTAGAATTTTGTAGAACTCTGAAATACTTTAATACATGAATTAAATCCTACATTTATATCTTGCTCAAAATGAATTGAACAATCATAGATTTCTAAAAATGGGTTCATACTTTTATCTTCAAGCTGAATTTTTATCCTATCATGTAAATCCTCAGAAAAATGACATCATAGCATTCTGTTAGAATGAGGGTACAAAGCCAAAGATTTTATAATATAGGGAATATTTTTAAGACACCACACTCACACTTCCTGTAATACAATACAGACAGTAATCTTTCCGTAATTTCATAGGGAGTGAAAACACTCAAGATTGTCCTATCATTATAAACATGTGAATAACATATTCGAAAGGACAAAATTGTTTGTGTAAAATCAAAATTACAAATGGTTTCAAAAACAGCACAGACATTGACATGCGGACGAGATTTAGTACGCTAACTGTTTCACTGCATCTGGATTCTTCTGGAATAAAACGCAGAAAGCATGACTTCTCGTGCTCATTTTGTATACAATATCTCCATTTGCTGTTTTTCTTTTCTGATCCTTCTATCATGATGGACTGTAGATTTCCATATGATTCTTCATGTCTCTCAATATGATCAGATCCATTCCGTAAATAATAACATTGTCGTTGTGATGGGGTAGACTGGTTTCTGCATGTAGGGTCTGGGATAGGAATTCAGCTTGACGGTAGAAGATTGGGAGAATCACGAGAGTAAAGACATCATAGAGCGGCTTCTTCTGTACAGGGCAAAATGAAGATGGAGAGAAAAAGTGGTCAAAGTCAAGATCAACAAGTCATTTATTAACCCATTATAGTGTTACTTAGGCATTTAAACTGATTGCACGACACATGCTCTAAAGACACCTGCTGTGTGGTCAGTCTTTAACACTGCAAGCCTTGATCCTATATAATATCTAACCATACACCTACCGGTAATCTAAATGCCAATATCAACTAAAACGTAGTCCTACATCTTTAATTTAGACAAATTCTACAGAAAGATTGGTTATTAGCACACCTCAAGATCAGCTACTAAAAACTAATACATGTACAGTGTATGTCTCTGACATTGGTCAACAGAATATATTCTGGAATCATCAAAATGCTAGTAAAGTATAAGAAAACAATGAACAAAGTTAATATGAACACATATTTTTACTGTTTTTGTAAAGAATTGAAAATTATAAAGTCATAGGATCCTTTATACAAACAATGTTATTCATCCTACGATTTTGTAACCCTTGAAACATTAGCAAGTCTTCTTGAGTGTATCCCTGAAATATTTACTTTTTTTTAATTAAGAAAATCAAAAAAATTACAATTTACATGTACATCATATTAATCAAGAATTTTATATACCTGATTTACATTTGTATTTCATTAGGCAAAACCTTCCACTGCACTTATACATAGCTCAAAGATACATACCGGTATGTAGAGATGTACAGTAAATTCAGTTAAAAACCAAATTATCCTTATCATACACCTTGTAGATTTAATGTTTTTTATGTTTTTCGTAACTCGAGAATCAAATGTGGACTGGTTGAATTAAGGCTTTTGTTGAATAATTTTAGATAGGAACCAATCAATTTTTCACATACTTAAAGCCCCACTGCACCACTTGTATCTACTTGCTCCCTCTATATAGAAAACAATGCCCAATCGGTGACCATTGGTCCACCATGATCCTCTTTTTCTTATGTTAATTGAGAAATGAGTTGATGAGATAGCCACCTGTCAGTGACCACCCTGGGTGGTCTAATCCCTCCTACCCAAACTAGTACAGACTGCCTTTGAAAAATTATTTAACTTGGTATTAAAGGGTATGAATAATATAGTTGTGAACTGTTACTGTATCACTCACCACTTCACTGCTATAAGGACATTACAGTCATTGTACATTGTGGTTGAGTTCTTTTGGTAGAGAGGTGAATATTTAAAGATAAAGCGTGTTAGTGACTTACTTGAGACTGGTTTACCGGCTTCCCACTTTGTGGACTTAGCTGCAGAGTCCTCAATCTTGAGAGCCTGTTCCCTCAGCTCTGGTCGCAATGCTCTCCTAACGAGCCTTGCGGCGATTGCAGAGTACTGGATGTACCTGGAACAAAGCAATTGAAAGAATCAATATGTTATGACTCTGATGTGTGAGGCTAGAATTTGCATCTCAAATCTCAATCATCATCAACCCAGGAAAACATCAGTGTAACATAAAAGGTCACCATAACAATACATGGCCGACAAAGGAGGCTTAGCAAAAAGTTTTCAAAAAAGAGTTTGTTACAAAAGTGTCCTTATAAAAGTTAGAAAGTCCCGATGTAAAAAGGTTAAAGAAAATAAAAAAATGAATGAGAAAAGTTATGACTTCAATGATATGATATATAATGATGACAACTGATCAAATAATACATATCATCGTGGTTACATTACTTGCCACCTGTTTTGCAAATTGTAATCAGTCATCCATGGTTTACCTGTTTTCACATAGAATCAAATTTCCTCACACATGATTTACCTACCGCAAGTTATAAATAGAAAGGTATTCTTTAAAGGGAATGGGATATCTTCTAAAAAATAAATTTCTGCATAAAAACTCATCCAAAAAAAAAATGAACTGTCCGCATTTTCATGGACGATCCTTATTTCCGATTTGCGCATTGACGATGCGAAAAACTACACATTGGAGACGATGCTCTATGATGCATATCTCACTTTACGGTATGCAGCACAGAGACTTTCACGTTTTTAACGATAAATACTCGGGAAGACGGAAAACTTGTAAAAGTAGACAGTTAACTGGGGTATTTTATTACATGGAATCAGTTTTTCGCATTGCCAGCATGCGGATCAGTTAGGCTAGTGAGTTACCCTACACCCGCAGAGCGCCAAAGAAAAAAGGCATTTTTAGGTAGGTAAATTCATGCAAAAAAATATATTTAAAAAATTGACTTGAAAACACATCAGACAATTAGTCTAAACCGAGTCAGGAGCAAATTTGAAGAAATTATATTTTTAATTGTTGTACAACCAAAGATATAAGAAGAAAACTGACCAAGAATTTGTACTAAAAATCGTACATGTAAAAATTTCCTTAGACATTCGACAGCTGAAAATGACGCGCACGGTTGCGTTACGTGCAGGGCTAGGTGGCAGGCTAGCTTTTTGCCAAAACAACGCTAGATCGGCTGCTGGCAATACGATCGAGAACATCGTTGGTTTCTTAACTTTTCAGTGAGATGATTCTTAATTCTAATTGAGACTAGACTATATAATAAATTAAATCGACAAAGAAACCTCGGTAGATCTCTTATAACTACCGTATTTGCCGGCGTAAAGGCCGCAGTATTTTTGGAAGAGAAAATATCAAAAAGCTGGGGTGCAGCCTTTACGACGAAAGAGTAAAAAAAAAAATAAAAAAAAGTCAAAACCAACACGAATTTGCACGTATGGGACTAGAAACGGTAAAATAACAATACCAATATGGTACAGGACATTTCCAAACATGTTACCGACAATTTTATCTTGCATTGTAAACATGAAGACGAAAATAAACGTCCTAACACAAAATTTGCTGATAGATCTTGATCTAAGTTTGTGCCAATGCATTGCAAAAGTAAAGGAAGAGACAGTCTAACGGAGCTGCCGCGAACATCCATCCGAAGTCGCCATTTTGTTTTTCAATTTCATGCAGTTTCGCATTACACCGTACATTGTGGTAGGGGTATATCGGACACCAAATCTGCCTGCGATCACCTCTTTAAGTAAAATTCCGGTAAATTATAAGAATATGGATGAATTTGGTATCAGTTTGTAAAAAAAAAAATAGTGTTTTCGAGAAAATTATGATTATTTTGTTTTGTCTGTTTGTTTTTGTTTTTTGTTTTTTGTTCCCCCTCTTTGAAATGTCAAAGTTGGGGTGCGGCCTATGCGGCGGTGCGGCCTTATCGCCGGCAAATACGGTATACAAAAGTTTGTTTATTTCTTCATTTGACATTTTGTTTTCAAGCCATTTTTTCGTGCGCAAGTCAATGCAAACTATGTATTAAGTAACTATTACCAAACTTTTAACATGCAAGAAACAGGGAACACTTGCGGACCTCGTATCAAATTTGTTGCAAAAAAAAATTTCAAGGGTGATTTTGAAGCAGTGAAGAAAATTGGCGCTGCGATGTGCAGAATTATATACGAAAGAAACTTTAAAAAAATCACACCTGAATTTTCAAAAAAAATCGTATTTGTATTTCTGTACCTAGTTGTGATTTGTTTATAACTCGGATTATAGGAAGATTTGTCGGAAAAAAATGTCAATTTTTTCCGTTTGGTGGTCATTTCTAGGCTAATATTAAAAATGTTGCATCAGTATGGGCCCCATGTTTCTCTTCTCGTACTCGCATGTTATTTCTACTTACAGTGTAGATTAAACATGCATGCATAGACTAGGTCTAGGATGGTTACGGGCAAGACCGGATAACATTATAAAAAAGATATATCCTTCCACCCTGCCATATCCAAGTTTTGGGCTGATTATTGCAGACCCACCGCAGCAAGGCCACATGAAGAAGAATTACACACAAAACTTGCGCATGCGCAATGCGCTATTCTGTTCGCTCAAGCCCGACTGACGTCATTTTTCATTCATAAAAGTGCTAGCGTCACGATGCTCGTAGTTGATAGGGTGTTTACTCATTTCATTTGCATATTTTCCCACAATGTTAAACCTACGAGTGCGATGATTTCTGCCTGCATCTTCTCGATTACGTTGATATCAAACTCGTTATATTTCCATCCCGACTTCGATTTTTGAACAATTTTTTTTGCCATCGGTGTCATCGATATTTCTAGGTACTTTCAGCAAAATCGTATGGTGGTTCTTTGTTTCGGTAAGTCATATTTTTTGATGATTTCGTCGGAAGTTTTTGTAAAGGATATGTACGTGTAGGTTTTAAGTGTGTGTAAAGCTACGTGCAAATTGTATGTGAGCGACATGAGTGTGTAGAGAGCGACATCGTTGAAACCATATACACTGAATGTGTCTTTGGTCTCCATCTTTTACTTGGTGTTCGAGTGTAGTGCAGGGCCCCGCTCCCGCAACACGGCCGCTACAATACACCGCACACAGTGTAGCGAATCGCCCATGCCTCGCAGCTAGCAGACAAGCAAGGGTCGCGCGATCAGCCAATCAGCGGCGCGTATTTCCGTTCACTGAGTTGGACAGGGGATTCTTCTATGTGGGCCATTCAGATTTCTGTAAGCGCGCAAAGCTAGGCACATTCATGGGGCACTAGAGGGCGCTTTGCGCGCGTACGAAAATCTGAATGGCCTTGCTGCGGTGGGTCGGCAATAATCAGCCCAAAACTTGGATATGGGAGGGTGGAAGGATATATCTTTTTTATAATGTTATCTGGTCTTACCCTTAACCATCCTATGTTTAATCTATGTAGAAATAACATGCGAGTACGATAAGAGAAACATCGGGCCCATTACTGATGCAACTTTTAAAATATTATCCTAGAAATGACCACCAAACGGAAAAAATTGACATTTTTTCCCGACAAATCTTCATAAAATCTGATTTATAAACAAGTCACATCTAGGTACACTAATACAAATACGATTTTCTGAAAATTCAGGTATTATTTTTTAAGTTTCTTTCAAGTATATTTCTGCGCATTGCAGCGCCAATGTTCTTCACTGCTTCAAAATCACCCTTGAAAATTTTTTTTTGCAACAAATTTGTTACGAGGTGCGCGAGTGTTCCCCGTTCCTTGCGTGTTGAAAGTTTGGTAATACATAGTTTACATTGACTCGCGCACGAAAAAATGGTCGAAAACAAAATGTCAAATGAAGAAATAAACAAGCTTTTGTATAGTTATAAGAGTTCTACCGAGGTTTCTTTGTCGATTTAATTTATTATATAGTCTCAATTAGAATTCAGAATTATCTCACTGAAAAGTTAAGAAACCGACGATGTTCTCGATCGTAGTTATTTTCATTTTGCCAGCAGCCGATCTAGCATTGTTTGGGCAAAAAGCTAGGCCGCTGCCTTCCCATCGCAAACCTTTCCGAGTCCCGCTAAAATGGCGCGCTGCGGAGCTCTGAAGCTGCGTTGGTATCGCTGCAAACTCTCAGCTGGCTAGCTCCCCAAGACGGACCATTCGCGGTATGGCGAGATTGTGTGTGTGACGTACGATTTTGGATTCGAGAACGCACGTAATGCAACCGTGCGCGTCATATTCAGCTGTCGAATGTATACGACCAATTTTACATGTACGATTTTTAGTACAGATAATTGGTCAGTTTTCTTCTTAGATCTAGAGTAAAGGAGCCCGTTTTCGGCCACTTAAGACAAAATCCTATTTTTAGGACTCTTTACTTCCTATTTATTATCATTTCTTGTTCAAATCATGAAGCAAATATTATTATTATTTAAACAAAAAAAGAATCCCAGAAAAAAATCACGAATTGCCATGACAATATTCATTTCAATTTTCACTGTTTTGGAGCCCGTTATCGGCCGAGCGTTTCAGTTTACGGCCGCATGTACAAAGTCAATAGGAAGCGCTCGCGCGCGCCGTGCGTTTCCGCGCTGATGTACAGCACAAGCGGGCGGAGCAGGTATCCCACGCCGGAGCTCCCTGGTGCTCGCCTGGCCGAAGACGGGCACAGCGGTGATCGGAAGTTGGAATCTGAATTAGACAGAGATATCGTGTGTGCGTCGCGGTGTGCGGCTGCATTGATTTAATACATGCGATGAGATACTTTTGAGCTTGCGACCAGCACAAAATCGGGCTTTGAATCTGAAAAATACTTGAAATAAAGCTCATTTTATGGTACCCATATTTCTTACAGACACGCGTAAGATACTCGATTTTTCAGATTTGGGTAGCGGGACCGGCGATTACATCGCTAAAATGTGATATTTTAGGATATATTTTCCATTGCAAATGTGGTTCTTCAGTGACACTGGCATGGTATGGTATGTGTGGGATATGTGTTATGCTATTATGCGATGTATTTTAGAGTGATTTTACCTTGCATCCAACCAATCGGCCGAAAACGGGAGCTGGCCGATTACGGGCTCCTTTACTCTAGACTATATCTTTGGTTTTACAACATTTAAAAATATAATTTCTTCAAATTTGCTCCTGACTCGGTTCAGACTAATTGTGTGATGTGTTTTCAAGTCAATTTTTTGAATATATTTTTTTGCATGAATTTGCCTAGCAAAGCGCCCTCTAGCGCCCCATGAATGTGCCTATTTTAGGACACGATTTGTCCACGCGCATTTACGAAGATATCTTTGTTTATTAGACTCTATGCAGACGATCCTTATTCGGCTTGCTTATTCTTGGAAAAACTGAATCACAGGTAAATATTGAACAGGCAACTTGCACTGTGAAACGTAGACCGAATTTTTCTGTCTCTTTCGTTCGTTAGCCTCTGATTTGGGTAGGTCGGCTCTCTCTTTAGAGACAGAACAGCCCCATACGCTGTAGTGGCCGCGCGTTTGTACTAAGAAACGTTACACAAAACTTGGCCAAACTTAATCCCTAATTTTGATATTTTACCGGATGCGTATCCGATGCATTTAAAGTCCTAAATTAGCTAAATACTTAACTACTTCGGTTCCACTTACCAACTTGACTGGAATAATCCGTTTAATGGTCCATTTTTAGGAAATTATGGGTCAAGTCCGACATCCATGAAGAAAATCTTGCAGCCGAGTCTCATTCTTTCTAGTCTACGCCGAAGGCAAAATGATTATAACGGAAAAAACTGTGCATGTCATTACGAACTCGTAGCTCGTGCACAGTTTTTCCGTTATTATCATTTTGCCTTCGGCGTAGACTAGAAAGAATGAGACTCGGCTGCAAGATTTTCTTCATGGATGTCGATCTTGACCCATAATTTCCTAAAAATGGACCATTAAACGGATTATTCCAGTCAAGTTGGTAAGTGGAACCGAAGTAGTTAAGTATTTAGCTAATTTAGGACTTTAAATGCATCGGATACGCATCCGGTAAAATATCAAAATTAGGGATTAAGTTTGGCCAAGTTTTGTGTAACGTTTCTTAGTACAAACGCGCGGCCACTACAGCGTATGGGGCTGTTCTGTCTCTAAAGAGAGAGCCGACCTACCCAAATCAGAGGCTAACGAACGAAAGAGACAGAAAAATTCGGTCTATGTGAAACGGTGAGAGACAAACTCGAGTTCATCCTCACACACGCTGAGCTGACTGAGCTGACTGAGCGCGAGCTGTCCTGTGCCGAGCTGAGCTGAGAGAGAGAGACACACACACACACCACTCACTTCTGAAAAGACTCAAGTTTTCTCTAGCAATGGCATCATAAAGACATTATTTTTATGGCAACATACAGTTATTGGTTATATTTTCATGTCACAATAATTAAATAACTTACGTCATTCCAACTTGTCTCCATGGGGCCACCATTTTGAGAGTTCTTTTGGTTTAAAACGAAGATTTTGAATGGAATTAGAAACTCTCACCGGCTTGTTTCTCATACAGCAGCAGCACCCTTGTTCAGCCTCGTTCATTTTTTCGGTAGATTAGCATGATGAAAATAATAAAATGAATATACTGTTTCATTTGTTGGTAACATGATTATAATTATGAGTCTTTATAAATAAAATATATTGACCCTAAATAGTAATAAAAACTATTTTAGTTCTCGTATAATAATACAAAAAGCACCTATTTTTAGATTGGTAATTGACAATTTATTACATGATGGAGCACATAGTAGTTGGTAAACTTCAATCCGTCTATGTGAGCTATGGATTAATTCGTCCGTAGTACAACTCGGTCTACAATATAAATAACTTGACATAACTTAAAAATAACTCGATCCAATTCAAGTTGTGTTGCAGTCAAAATATGGCTATATAGTTCCCGCTAGTTCCTATATTTTATACATAACATTTCTGATCTGATCTGTGATTCTAAATTGACCTAATGAACCTCAGTTATCCAATAATAATCTAACCAAATAATCATGGTGGGGGCCAATTGCAGTTACTTGGAGATACATGTATTTTCAAAAATGTTCAGTAAAAAATGTATCTCGAGCACAGAACTCTTAAATATCTAAGAGTTCTGTGATCTCGAGCGATCGAGGAGCTGAGATACTTCCAAATTAGGTAAAAAAAAAAGATGTATATCACCACTTTGACACTGCATAATTAGGCCCCCCCCCCCCCCCCCCCCGAAAAAAAAAAAAAAAAAAAAATCATTTGGTTGTCCTCGACCGCCCGGCCGCTCGTCATTTTCGAGCCGCTCATATTTTTTTTTTTTTTTTTTTTTTTTTTTTGGGGGGGGGGGAGCAATCTTAAATGCCAAACATACCATTTTATGCATTTGCAAGGATCAAAATGCACCCCGTCGCCAGTTCAGTCTTTTGGCAGTACACAATTAGGTATTTATTAAACTTGCCATTTCTGTGCATGTCAAAATGCGCCGTTCATTCATATCAGGTTCTGAGCATTCTTAAACTCATTTTAAGCCCATCTGTACTAGTTTTTAAAGGAGGTATTAGACCAACCTGCAAGGTCATGCACTGGACAGGTCATTGAGTATCTCATCAAAATCAACTCTCAGTTAATAAAGACGATCATGGGGGACCAATGGTCACCGGTTAGGCAATGTTTTCTACATAGAGGGCGCAATGAGCTATAAGTAGTATGGAGATTTAAAAGTTACTGTAAACAGTGTATTTCAAAGCCAAAAAATACTTTCTGTGTTGGTCTTGATACCATATTAAATTGTTTTATAGACTTTGTTTGTTTAAATGCTTGACATCCCAATGATTTTTTTTTTTTTATAGAAAACAAATATTATTTGAACAAAAATTAAAACAATGGGGGGAGAAAAGAAGAAAAAAAAAGACACACAAAATGAAGTTTAAAAAAAAAAAATTTAAACAAAAATTAAAAATCCGCACCACCCACCCGCCCCTACTCCAGAAAAGCAATGGAGGACAACCAAATGATTTTTTTTTTCCGGCCTTATATAAAATTGGGCTTTATAGTATGATAAATAAAGATTCATTTGGCAAAATTAGTTAATTTTGTAGGGCCTACCATCACCTAAAATAGGTTATTATTAAATAATGATAAAAATGACCTTCACTTCAAATTTCATTTATGTTAACCAGTGGGTCGAGAGAGTTTGAACATAGACTATGGTTTGAAGCAGTGAGGAGGCCATGATTGTGAGGGGCCGAGCTGATAAGGTAGCCTATCTAATATGACTGAAGTTGTCGCATAATTTTAGCCAAGATTTGAAGGAGCGTACTAATTATGATAACATTCGTGTTAGCCGGTGAGTCCTGACTATTTTATTTCTGAGATCTGTTTTCACTAAAGGTTATTTGTTTGATAAGTAAATCTGTTCGATCTTATTGTTAACAAGAGTATGCTTATTATCCATACACTTCATACTTGTTTTTGCTTTAGCATGTTATAAAACGACGGAATTGTCGATGTCGCGATGACTGTCGTCGCTGTGTCATGTCAGTGTGTGTGCGCTGTGCGTGTGTCGGCTTCGACTTCGAGTCACTTGTTTGGCCTTTGAGCTTTGCGCAGTGCCGAAAGGCATGCTCTATCATAAATCATAATAAATGTATGTGGATCCGCATGTCGATTCCCCAAGGGCCCTAGGCAAATGGATGGACGTTGACATGTGTCTTGGGTAGTGGGATTGGCCCATGGATATGCACTGTCCATGGCAAACGAACCCCTAACTCCAGCTCCAGGACCGGGAGCTCCAAGTCCGACGCCCATGCCGAAGGCGTTGGACTCTTGGAGCTCTAGACCACGTTGAAGAATTCCCTATCCAACTCAGTGAACGGAAATATGTGCCGCTGATTGGCTGATCGCGCGACCCTCGCTTGTCTGCTAGTTGCAAGGCATGGGCCATTAGCTACACTGTGCGCGGTGTAATATACCATGTATTGTAGCGGCCGTGTTGCGGGAGCTGGGCCCTGCACTAAACTCGAACACCAAGCAAAAACTGGCGACCAAAGACACATTCAGTGTATATGGTTTCAACGATGTCGCTCTCTACACACTCGTGTCGCTCACATACAATGTGCACGTAGCTTTACACACACTTCAACCTACACATACATATCCTTCACAAAAACTTCCGACGAAATCATAAAAAAATATGACTTACCGAAACAAAGAACCACCATACGATTTTGCTGAAGGTACCTAGAAATATTGATGACACCGATGGCGAAAAAAATTGTTCAAAAATCGACGTCGGAATGGAAATATAACGAGTTTGATATCAACGTAATCGAGAAGTCGCAGGCAGAATTCATCGCACTCATAGGTTTAACATTGTGGGAAAATATGCAAATCGTTCATTCGTGTCTCCTTAGATCAAAATAGTTATGTAAAGTTCCTTAATTAGAAGTAAATTAAATTAAATTAAGTTCTTCCATCGCTCGATTGCTGCAATGGCCGTTTCATTAACAAGGGACAGGTCTTCATTTGTGCAACCCGTTCCGCCACACTGCAAGAGGTGGTCCATCGTCTGAGTCTCTCCGCAGTCGCAGAGAGTATCTCCTTCTTGGGCATAGCCCCATCTTGCCATATTGACCTTACATCGCCCCATTCTTGTCCGCAAATGCAAATGAAATGAGTAAACACCCAATCAACTACGAGCATCGTGACGCTAGCACTATTATGAATAAAAAAAAAAAAGGTGGGCTTGAGCGAACAGAAGAGCGCATTGCGCATGCGCGAGTTTTGTGTGTAATTCTTCTTTGTGCAGACCAGAGCATGATTTTTAAAACTATTCAAACAGCGGGTTAGGTCACATTTTTTCCGCCATGATTGCTATTTTATTGGACCAGATAGCAATGCAAACAAATTACACCTTCGAATATAGAGATGAGACTTGGGTTAGATCTAAGAAGAATAAATAGGAAAATGCAAGGGATAATACTACTAGTCTAGATCTAGTCTATGATAATATAGATTCTAGGTCTAGTAAAATAAGAGGAAAGAAGGAGAAAAATAAAGAAAAACTTTTTTTTAAAAATTATATAAGAAATAATAAAGGACAGTTTTAAAGAAATATGGAAAGTTAGAAACAAATGAAAAGATGAAAGGATATAACCCAATAAAGAATAAGAAGAAATAAAAAGAGAAGATTATAGAAGACAAATATGGAGAGAGAAGGATACAAAACATAATGTTGACAGTTACAAAGAGAAGATGAAAGGAGAAAGCCAAAAAAGAGTGAGGGTAGATTATATGTAGAAAGAAAGATGATTGAATAAAAACTTTTTTTTTAAAGGCAATACAAAGTTTTGGTATGGGGTCGTGAATATTGGAAGCTTATGCGATCTTACAATATTCACTGATCGATGTCGCGGTCGAAATCGACTCTAAAGTTATGAAATTGTAAATAATAAACACTTTATGTTGTATAGCTCCCTCTCAAGGTCAAGATGTTAATTAAGCTATAAAACAATGTTTCTTGACTAAAATGGACCGATTAGCTATACCCGTTCGGAAATTATATACCACAACTACATATTCTGAGATTATCATGGTCACAGCTACCATTGTACGGCCGTAGGAGCTATTTGAAATTTATCAAAATTTACTGGGAGCACCGGTAAATCTTTATATTCAATTTTTCTCGAAAGCAGAAGTGTTTTAGGGGCTAAAGATTCTAGTGCTTTTAATACATCCACAGGGGCATCAAAATATATCAAAATTGTATAGAATCACTATCCACCCATTTTTCAAAATTTCCCAAACTTTGTAATACCTTTAAGGAATCAAAGAATTAGGGAAGATAAAAATAGAAGATGAAAAAGGAAGAAGAAAAAACAATGAAATACATAGTAAATGATAGGTGAAGAAATGAACAAGTTAGAATGATTTTTTTTTAATATAGAAAAACAAATAAGAAAACTAGAGAGAGAAGATGAAAGTAAAGAAATACAAAGAGAAGCGCAGAAAAAAGGTGATGTAAGGACTAAGGAGTATGAGAGGAAATCTCTGGGAAAGAAATAAAAAGAAGACAAACAAAGAATAACATAGCCTAAGCAAATATATAGGGAATAATAGAAGAGATGTAAGTGAAAATATAAGGAGGAAAGGAAAGAAAGAGGTAAAAGAAGGATGAAACAAAGAATGACATTAGGTAAAGAGTAGCTGATAGAAATGTGAAACAGAAAAAAATGTAAGGAAAGAGATATGGAGAAGAATCGGGGGATGATAGAAGGATATATAAATACATAGGGACAAGATGAAAGAAAAGCTGAAATAGGAAAACGGTTAATTGTAATGGATAACAAGGAAAGAGAGAAATAAAATAAGAAGAAAGGAAAAAATGACGGAAAGAGAAGATGATTGAAGGATAGAAACATAGAAAAACAAAGAATAATAAGCAAATGCATACCCATGTTAGAAAATTACCCCCTCCCCCTCCAAATAAAAAGATTTGGCATTTTGCAGTATAAGAACTTCACATACTGTATGTAACAACTTCCTGAGTAAATTATTTCTATTACCGTAAGTCACATAGTAGCTGAGAGCAAAACAAATTTAGATTTCAAAGTTTGAAATGATCCCCCTCTCCTCTGTGCTCATCTATCCTCCTCTTTTTTCAACTCATCTTATTTTTATAATAGTTTGTTTTTATAAAACACTGAGTCATTGATTGATATTAAACATAGTTTGATGTAAGTTGGAAACAAGTTATTACTTTGTTGGGTAAATGCCCAAGATAAGATGATCAACAAAATGTGTCCAACTGAATGTGAGCTGGCGGATCTGTATGTACTGTATAGTCTGCTATATTTTGGTCCATCTGGATAATGGACAACGATTATCACTGATTTAAGTTATCTTTTCAACACTTTCCACCGCTTAGATTTCTTTGAATTTTTTAAGTTTATGCCATTAGTTAAAGTTTTCTGAAACTGAAACTGTTGAAATATTTTCTGTTGTAGTGGGAGATCTGACTGTACTAATAGACCTCGTTCAGATATGACTCAGCAAAACTGCGGCTGTTTTTTTATGATGCTGTAAAATTTAATATGCATCACATTTCTATAATAGTACATGTATCTTATTACACAGAGCTAAGTGAATATGCACAGGACGTTTGTTGCATGCAGAATTGCAGATGCCATTTATTTACACGTTTAAAAAACACCAGGTGTTTTTTTTCTTTGCGGCGGTTTAGCGCTTCATATCTGAAAGAGACTTGAGTACTCCCAACAGAATACAATTTAGAAGTGATCACCTAACAGGAGGCTTCTCTGGCCTTCTTTACCCTCAGAGATTACCTTTTACACTGAAACCTGTATGTAAAGACAGCTCAAGGGAAACAAGAAAAGTGGTCTTTATATGCAGGTGGTCTTTCAGTAAAGGTTCCCCTAGTACATGTACAATGGGAAACGCTATGCAAGCTAGGGAAAATTATAAATTGTGGTCTTAGTAGGCAGGTAGTTCTTCTATACAGGCAGTCACTAAAGCATGTTTGACAGTATTATTTTTTATTTTTTTATTGATTAATTTTAAATGGTTTACTTCATTAAAAAACATTTGCGGCCCGAGAGCCGAATTGCAGTTTTTTTTACAAAGTATACATCAGTGACTAAGTAAAATTACATGTAAAACATATGCATGGTAAAATTTATCAATAGTTCTCCTTTGTTTCAGCAGATACATGTTGCTTCCTGACTAAGTGGTTATGTTGATCAAACTTGGTGGGCCAGCCTTGGGTCGCTTAAGATGAGCACAGCAACCTCCAACAAGGAGCCCAAGGTGAACACCTTCATCAGCTCCGCAGCAGTCATCAAGTTCTCCGGTGGTTCCGTCGGTACGGAACAATGGACGGACTCAGAGGACGAGGAGGACACGCCCCATTCCAGGACGTCACCCGACTCCCAGAAACCCCCCTTACGCAGCAGCAAGGAAGATAATGGCGCCCGAACAGTAGGCACAATGGACACGATGGAGAAGGGCTACAGGGAAAGGACTAAAGAGGCCGGTGTTCATAGAGATGTTATTGCAAACGGGAATGTGAATCATAAAAGATCAGGCAACTCGATCCAGCCACGGGTATCACATTCCCAAAGGAACACAGATAGAATTCTAACTCAAGGGGATAGTGATTCAAACTTGCCATTTCGGTCGCAGCGGGGAAATACGACTGATTTACAAAGTGGTACTTCCAAAAAGAAGACAATGGAAGAAAATCTGCTGCCTGAATCTCCCTTTCCTGAAGTGGATGGTTTCGAAGTGGTTCCCAGGAGAAAAGGGAGCTATGAAGAATCTCACAATCCATTTTCAGATGTGCCTTGTGATGATGAAGATAAACACATTCACAATGATCACCATAATGTTGGTAAGAAGCATTAGTTTTATCTCTCTTTCTCTCTCTCTCTCTCTCTCTCTCTCTCTTTCTTAAATGAGAATATTTTGTTTTATTGTTTTATAAGATGATGACGTGGATCCTAATCAAATGATTGGTTGATAGCGTACACGTTAACAGGCATTTATTTTGCCTAATACGTAATTTTGATAATGACCAGTCATTAGTAAAATGTTATAAAACATCATTTTATAAAACAAATCAAAAATAATCCTATAACAAGTAATACACATCATTTTGTTTGGACATTAGTGAAATTACCCACACTCAGTACCTTCAAAACAGTCCAAACACCCTAGGCTATCGCCTCAGGCGTGTTAGACTGTTCTAAAGGTACCTTGGGTGGGTAATTCTTACAATTATATGTTGTTCCTATGTTCATATGTTGAAGCAAGATTGTTCATGTGCATATAAACAATTATCCTATATGGACACAATAAAGAAATGAAATGAAATGAAATGAAATGAAATGAAATAATGCCCTCACTGCTGTGTATTATATTAAGTGGAAAACTGTTGAAAATTCCAATTTTCTGACTGCTTATTCGGATTTGAAAAAAAATCTGGCTAGCTCTTATGACACAAGTATATACCACATATTCATAATTTCATATCATTATTATTATTATTATTATTTATTTGACCAATCAGAAAACATTATGAAAGTGGAGAGGAGATAGAGAAAAGGATACAATCTGCTGGTCAGGGGTGACAAAAGCAATTTAAATTGCTATTACTCGAAAGCATGTCACCCCCACAGTCTGCATCCTGGAATATTAAGAGTAAAGAACAGAATAAAAATTCACAATATTAGAAAATAATCATAATCTTTATTAATAATTTCCTTTCCTTTACCCCTTAGGTTCAAGAAATCATAGCTTTGATGAGAAGCACGGCCATTCCTACTCCTTTGAGTCAGACTTGGATATCAGCTTGCCTTCAGAAGACCAGGATCTGGCTGAAATCACCAATGAAGATCTTGGAGTGGGACTCACAGAAAATCACTTTTCTCAACCAGAGGTATTTTTTATTTTCACTTGTTCCTTGTCATTATAATAGTGGTACAACAAGTATATGGACTTGAAATACAAGTAGTTTGAGGAAATCTTGAGTTTGGTTAACGATTGAAAATAATTTTTTTAATTTTCATAGAATTAAACGGCCAGATATGGTTTGGTTTTACGTTCGGTAGAAAAAGTATAAAAGCAGAGTAATGGCTATACATATTTAAGGATTAAAACCAAAGAAATCCCTGCTTTTTTGTTGTTGCTATTTCAAACAACCTATATGTATCTACAGCATGGTATACAACTCAGCATCATGTTATGCCAGTTTCTTGTGAAATGCAATTTCATCCCCAGGGCCCCGTCTTAAATAAAGAGTTGATATTAATCACAAGTTATTTGTGATTGATATCAATCGCAGCTGTGTACATGAGAGATAGGAGACTTTAAACTTGCCATTGATTCGAGGACTTCCGATTATTCCGGATCAATCACCAGTTTTGCTCCCGATGTGAGGGTTCCATGACGCTACACTGTATGCAAAATATGAGTTTCAAATATTACGTAACTATAAAGAGACATTGCAGGTTCTTTTAAACATACTCTAAGGAAACAGTAGAATGACTTGTAATGTTACGTAGACTAGTTGAAGCACGTAGAGATTATCCTTTAAAGCCCTACTGCACTACGTATAGCTACTTGTGCCCTCTATATAGCAAACAATGCCTAATCGGTGCCTGTTGGTCCCCTGTGATCCTCTTATTCTTATGTTAATTGAGAGCAGAGTTGATGAGATAACCACTTGTCTGTGACCTTGCAGGGAGGTCTAATCCCCCCTGGCCAAACTAGTACAGATGGGCTTTAATTTCTTCATACTATAAGCGGTCCTTATACTGCATTGTGGAGCAGATCGTGAAACACTTTGCAACTGCAAGTATAAGGCACTAAACGTAATACTCCGTGGAGTGGAGTGGATTGGATTGGATTGGAACACACACTTAGTCATATATTGCCCACTTTCATTTATATTGAGTGACGTCACATGCTGATAACCATGCATTAATCACACTCTAATCTATGAGGAAATCTCAGAGCTCAGATTATGCATCACGTAGGATTTAATGGATATCACATAAATAGTACTGACAGTGATATATTTCTTTATAGATACAAATCCAAATTTTACTTACATTTGTCAAGCATACAGAGATATATACAGTACATTGATAATCCTTTTGATGAAAGATAGCCTGCATTTCTTTTTGGGAGGGGTATCTTATTATTTGTATAACTGACAATTAAATTTTCTTCGTAAATGGGTATAGAGGTAAGTGCGCTTCTATGTGTGCGCACTAAATTGAGCCTTCTTAAACTTGAGATTTATTTTTTAAGCCATACTGTAAGAAACAATCTTGAATGAATTATTTTTACATCAAATAACAAGGATCTAGGAGTTTCGATGTATAAAACAAATGATGCATGTTATCATTTGTTCATTATACCATCTATCCGCCCTCGTTGATAGATAGATACACACAGCCTCAACTCGAGTGCGGATAGATCGTATAATGAACTCATGCGCATGCCTCATTTATACAGTGCGTTCCAGAAAAACAAAACAGAGAATTATAGATGTTTTATCCTATTTTAATCACAATTATAATTAATAAATGACACATATTTGTAAAGCTTAGATCCTCCTCTTCAATTTGATGCAACTCATATGATGCATATTTCGTGCATGAGTGATTAAAATCAATTTGAAGAAAGGGTACCAAAAAGTCATTTGGCAGAAGGTATCTGAATTTCAAAGAGAAAAACAAAATTGGTTGACCTGCCATTTTGAGTTTGAACCAAGGTACTGAACACATTTTACCCATGATTTTACCCATTTCAAATATTCCACACATGTGGATATTAAAATTGGTTGAAAGTTTAGTGAGAAGCAAATCAATGAGGCATTCGGTCAACCGCCTTACTAAAATCTAAAAATATTGCATCAATGATTAGGGTGGGGGTGGAGTCAAGAGCTGAAAACCATTCATGTGTATTATTCAACACTTGTGCGACACATGATCTTTTCGTAGTAAACCCGTGTTGTTTATGAGAAAGTAATCCGTGAGTTTCAAGATGTTTTTTTAAGAGAAACAGAGAAGGTTCAAGTGGAAAGGAAAGAAAACAAATAGTTCTATATATCCACATTAAGAAAATTTTGCTTTCTATCCTGTAATTATTGGTACATGTTTAATTACTTTCAGTAACTCATCAAGACCAGAATTATACTGCTAGTACTCTACACACACTTTGTACATGAAAAGCATTATATTAATAGCTGGACACACAGTTCACTATAAATGTATGTGTGTGTGTGAAACTATGAAAGGCGTATGAACTGTAGTCTTTGTTAATGACTTCTAATGGAAAAGCAAACTCACATTATGGTAATTCAACAAACAATGAATATAAGACCTATATGATCATGTAGATTGTGATAAGCCTCACAACAGGAGAATGATCAATGAAACTTGTTGTCTAACTCCATACATTATTGAATGATCTGTACATATTCATTATCACGTGTAAAATGAATATGACACAAAACAGGAACAAACAGTCAACTTACAGATTTTGAAAACAACATCCAGTCTTGTCCATTGTCCTCTTTTGGGGTGAACGCTCAATTGAGTAAATGTGGGCTGCTGCCAATGAATTTAGTTGCCAGACGTGATAAATTTTTGGCATCATATGTTTGAATAAAAATCTGAAGCCAATTCATGACAGAATTCGAATTCACAAAGGAGGTTTAAATTCAACCCATGGTTTAAATTTAAACACTTATTTAGTATTTACATAACCCATGGTTTAAAAGTAGTGTGCGTCTAATATATGACCTCTGACTGTATCGCACTTATTTTGGGCTAGTTTTATACATGGGTTATAAATGTAAATGAGGTTTTAAATCATCCATGGGTTACATTTAAACCTCCTTTGTGAATTTAGGCCATAATGTCTAAAGAAATATCACTGTAAAAGGCGTTTTTTTTATGAAAAAAGGAAGGTATAAAAATAAAAGAAATACAATTGCTCTCCGTCGACTGGTTATACATGATGTATATGTTGTGGGCTTTTAAAATTGATAATGAATCACCATTTATTGATCAATCTTTACAACTTTCATGCTCTAATATCGAGGGTTCAGTGACGCAAAGACGTAACTCCATAAATGAGTATTTGATTTTAAAACTCCACCCAACACCCCATTGAAGTCAATGGCTAGTGAAACAAAGACTTAACTCCTTAAGGCCCAAGTGCTCAGTGACACATGAACCATTTTTCTCAAAATGGAGTTACGTCTTTGTTTCACTGACCCCCCTCCCCCCCGCCCCCCCCCCCCAAACAAAAAATTGTTTCCAGAGCAAATATCAAAGCATGCAAAGGAAAGATGGCAGGAAAAATAATAGAGAATTTTTTTTTTGATGGTCTTGTTTGTTTCTTTGTTTCTTTTTGTGCAGGGTATTTTTGGTTTCTCTCGCATTGAGGAGCTAGAGATGGCTATCGGGAACTGTAAAGAAGAAGTCAAGACATCTCTAGAAAACTCGGAGAACAGGCGCAAGATGGTCGCCAAACTCGTACAACTCAGACTTAAACTACTCCAGCTCCAAGTAAGTGTCTTCTCACTTTCATTTCTCACAAGCAATCGCTATGCAGTCCTTATTGTGGCCAGCAAGCAATAGTTGTACTGTAATTGTGACCAGCAAGTTCTATCCTGCTAAATTTGCAACCATGATATTGCAATGACAAATTTTATTTGTTCCCCCACCCCTTTTTTTAATGATGATGGCTTTTTTTTCTAAAAAAGTTTTAATTCTTTACGAATTTGTGTAATTTAAAGTAAATTCTTCATCATAATTTTTCCTGTATATCTGAAGATTATGTCACACTTTCACTTTTGTTAACATCAAATTCAAAGAAAAAATATTGAATGTTTCTAGTGTCACGACATCTGTTTGTTTTTTGTTTTTTTGTTTTTTTTGGGGGGGGGGGGTAATTTATATGTAGAATGTGAGTGAAAGTAAATTTCCATTGGACAATCAGATCAAATATTGAAGAAGTTTCACTTTACCATTAAAACGTGCTTCTATGACCAATGAAGTAGTTTATCTTACAATGCTTGACTTCTTCATCATTTTAAACCAGGAAGGGGATGAAGAAGAGGAGAAGGAGGAGGTCAAGGTTGTTCTTGGTCATCGTTTTTATCGGATGAAAGGAAATAGTCGCAATGACCACTGCGAGGTGTGTCTCTCGGTCATCTGGACTCTCCTTCAGACGTGGTTCAAGTGTAGTGGTAAGTCTTGACCTATCAGCAGATCTTCTGAATGTTACCTACAGGCCAGAGTTGCTGTCCTTTTTTTGTTGAAAGTTGAAAGGTCATCAGGTTTATGTAATTTTTATAGTTTGAAGTCATCAAGACTGCTTTTCTGCAGTCATTTGTATTTTAACTATTAAGTATTGTAAAAGCATTGGTGTGCATTTAAAAAAATTGTAAACATATTGATTTGATACATGGAGACCATACAACTTGCCAATATGTGTTTAGAATGGAAGTCCACCCTAATATTTACTTTGTTTTACTAGAAGCAGAAAAATGGGAGAAACAGGTCAGTGAAAGTTTGAGCAAAACTGATTAAAGATAAGAAAGTTTTGAATTTCTGAAGGTGTGATCAATCAAACATAAATTCAATTACAAAGAAAATGGAATTTAAAGAAGTTTTCTGTACAGAGCAAATTGGAGAGAAGCTAGCAAGATACCTCACTGTGTTGCACATTTGTATTTCACTGATGAAAACATCAAAATTCATAACTTTCCTTTTTTTCAATCGGTTATTGCTCACTCTTTCACTAATTTTGTCCTATCATTTTCCTGCTTTTATTGCATTCAAGATAATATTAGGGTAGACTTCCCCTTTAAACTGATTTTCCTTGTTGCAACTAGATTTCATAACCATGCATGTACACATTGGATGAATGCTCTTTCTCTTTCTCTTTCAGAATGCAACTTTGGATGCCATGGCAAGTGCCTTAACCTAGTGAAACGAAAGTGTGTGAGTGCAAAGGTATGTCCACATCTAATGCCACGTCGCCCTAACTTATCTTTCCTTCTTTGATCATTGAAATGTGTGGGAGTTTGTTGGCAGAATAAGTATTTCAAGGAAATAACTCAAATGTAATTCTATACAAGTTCCTGCAATCTGAAATATGATTAGATGGTGTCACAGTGGACTCTAGGAGTATAAAAGTGTGTGTGTGTAATTGGGTTGTTACAGATGTGTATAAATCAGATACGATTATTTACGTCTGTGGACCGTACTTTAACGTCACCATATGAAAGACGTGACTTAGTTTCGAACCTGCGTCCTCGACTGAATCAGTTTGTAACTTCCATTGTTAGCTGGATTACAGGCGCGCCACAATGCCCCGCATGTATACCTTGGTAGATTTGAATCAGTCTGTTAAAGTATGTGCATTTATTTTTTCTTGTCTTGTCAGCTAAGTGTATGAACAAGCAGCTTTTGATAGAACTTTGATGTTATGGCAGTATTTAGATTTTATCCCAACAATTTTTTAGCACAAACTTTTAATAAGTTTTGCTGCGGGGTATTGTTGCTGCAGATGACAATAAAAGACCAACCTTATATAAGCTGAACTAAATCAACATTGGTGATTAAGTTGTTATTGTATTCATATGCTGGGGGTTAAAAGTTTCCATAACATCCAAGTATGGTATTTACCAGTGCATATTGATAAATATATTAGAATATGGCAGAAGCAAACAGACAAGCCCAAGGTATTTTGTCCCATATATTATCAACTGCATCAAAGATTTCATTGAACTGATTGTACAAGTGTATAATCCCGTGAAAGCTTTGATTAGACCAAATATTTGAGTAAATACGTTTTACCTAAATCCTTTTCAATTCTTAGTAATGTATGGGAAACGTAAGAAAATTTTTAAATACCTCGGACCTGCATAAAAAATGTGAAAGAGATGCTATTTTTGTAGGAGATGCTAAACATTGAACACTGACTTTAAATTGTCTTCCTTATTTTCCTCATCCCAGATTTCAAGGCCTTGCTTTGATCTCAATATTTGTCCAGAGAAAGGTCTCTCTGCTCAGAAGTACAGATGTGCAGAATGTAGAGCCCCACTTGCTTTCAGTAAGTTTCCATTCTCATCTTTCCTGTGAAAGAAAACTTTGCATCTTTTTCCTTCTTTTTTGTGTTTCCTTTCGAGCTTCTGATGTGGTAAACCACCAAAAAGTATTACGAGTTAAAGCCACACTGTACTACTTATAGCTACTTGCGCCCTCTATACAGCCAACAATTCCTAAGTGGTACCTATTGATCCCCCATGATGCCCTTTTTTTAATGTTAATTGAGAGCTGATTTGATGAGATAACCATCTACCAGTGACCTTGCAGGGAGGTCTAATCCCTCCTGGCCAAAGTAGTGCAGAGGGGCTTTAAAAGTAGTGTGCTCAGGATTTATGTATCATATCACACACGTACATGAGTAATCAAAGGGTTGTTGTTGTTGGGTGTTGTTTTTTGCGGTGGGAGGGGGGGGGGGGGGTCTCCAGCTGGCCAAGTGTGTGATTACATCAGTCTGTATCACTGCACGATGAAACCTTGACAACAATATTATTTACTCACATTTCATAATTATGATGTTTTCCATTCTTTTCAGATGGAGTACCGACGGAACCTAGACTGTGTGATTACAGCGGCCTGTACTACTGCAGCATGTGCCATTGGAATGACCAGGAAGTAATACCTGCAAGGGTCATTCATAACTGGGACTTTGAACCAAGAAGGGTAAGTCAGTAGTTACTGAGAATGGATTTGTTATAGTGATGGTGATGATGATGATGATGGTGATAGTTATTATGTTTCTATTATGTGGCACATGCTCATGCGACATTTGCTCCATGTTCAGTTTCTATCCTCAGTCAAATTCTTAATTTTAATTCAATAAGCAACATTGTACATGTTCATACCAATCTCAGACCCTTCGTCTCATCTAAAACTCAATCATAGCCCAAATCCTTGCTTTATATCTCTGACTAAATAAAGCCGTAGCAAATTGTGCCAGAGCAAGGAGAAGATTAATGTAGGTTTACTCGCCTGATGCGTTAACTTATTCCTACTTAAAACAGCATAAAGGATCCCTCATTTTGAATCGTACATTCAGACTCTTTATATTTCATCCGGAAAAATATGATGAAAAAGAAAAGCCTTGAAAATCATTGGTTTCAATGCTTTTATTCTCTTATTTTTTCATTAGTAGCTCGTCTGTTTACATTGATGTTAATCCTTATTCTTCTAGGTGTGTCGCCAGTCTAAACAGCTCCTCAAACTAATGTGCAGTAAGGCAGTTCTCAGAATCCAGGACCTGAACCCTTTGCTCTTCAACTATGTAGAGGAGCTCAGTCAGATCAAGGTAAGCTCTAATAATTACAGTAGGCCTGTCCTCATCAGCTCGAGATTGCCCCATATCCCGCCATTTGAAATATCCCGATCGCAAATTATCCAGTTAATTTGCGTCTTCATCAGCCCGAAGTTGCAATTAGCGGGATATTTGGTCGAGATATTCATCCCAAGATATCTTGGGCTAATTTGCAAAATATCCTACTATTTGTCCAGTGCGCCTACCAGCCCGAAGACTCGCACTTTGCGCGAACGCTCAGCAAAATATCCCGAGCTAATTTCTCGAGCTTGAGTTTCAAGTTTCGAGGTCAAGTCTCGAGCTGATGAAGACGCGATTTGTAACTTCGGGATTATTTCCCAAATCAGAAATAGCGGGCTATTTTGAAATCTCGAGCTGATGAGGACAGGCCTAGTGAAACCTGCATATAAAGACTGCCCAAGGGAGTCAGGAAAAGTGGTCTTTATGTACAGGTTCCTTTGGTATAGGTTTCAACGGGAAACCACTTTCAAGATAAACAAAAAATGTAGTCTTTGTAGGCAGATGGCCTTTCTATACAGGTGGTCATAAAAGGAGGTTTGACTGTACTTGTGCCATGCCATGATTGGTTTATAAGACACCATGTTATCCATGGTAACAAGTGTTTGCTTTAGATCTGTTTTGCTTTGTGATACATTCAGTACTTCTGAATTTATATTTAATATCATTTTCGTATTCTTCTAAATATTAAGTGTTGAGGCTTGTGAATGGAATCATTGATGATTCTTGTAACTTACTTTTTATCAATATTTTAATGCTTAAAATACCTGTTCTGCTCTTACTGCGCTAAGTCTATTTTTCTATGTTTTATTTTATGTTTTTAATAGTGGAAGTGACTTTGAAATGAATTGATTTGATTAAAACTTTCAGCAGTAACCCTTTTCTTTTTTTCTTTTTTGTTGATAATGAGAGGAAAGTTATAAAAACTAGCTTACAACTCAATAGAAACTAATGAGCTCCCCAAATATGCAGCGGTTGCTCCTTGCATGCAATTGATACAGGTCTGAATGGTCAGTGCATATCTTGCATTTTACTGGTCAAAGAAAGTGACACATGCAGATATGGATGAATATTGATCATTTAGATATTATTAGATATATTTATTAGATACATTTGTATGTAAGAAAGTGACATATGCAGATATGGATAAAATTGATTATTAGATATATTCATAATTATATATGTTTATTACATGCAATTGCAGAGAGTTGTTTGAAAAATATACCACCATTCTTTAATTAATTCAATGTTTTGATATGTACAGAAACTGAGAGGGGAGATCCTGACCATGAAGGTATACTTCCTATCCTGCCGAAGAGCCATGGAGCAAAAACTACTCAAACAAGTGAGTGTTTCAAGTTTCCCTCTGTGTAATACACTAACATATTATGTCCATTATGTTGTAGAAAAACTAAGTCTGTGTAAAGGTGACAAATATTGAGGGGTAACTCCATATTTTGCCAAAATGAGTATTTGATAGCAAAATGTTCAGAAAAATGTGGGCTTTCCAGGAAACACAAAGACTTAAATTCACCCAAGTCAATGGCTAGTGAAACATAGACTTAACTCCTTGAGGCCCAAGTGCTCAGTGACACATAACCCACTTTTTCTCAAAATGGAGTTACGTCTGTGTGTCACTGGCCCCTCGATATGACCTTTCTCATTCTTTGTATTTACATGTCCAAGAATTTCAAAGTTACTATGTCAGTCACATGAGAAGGATTGCAAGTGACACGTAATTGTATTTCAAATACAACTAGTTTGGATCAAAGTTTGATGCATTCTAATATAGCCATATCTGTCGTCAGTGCTTTGTGTTGTTTTGCAATTTTCAGAACGATCTATTCAACATTTTTTTTATCCTGATAAGTCCATTACCTCCTTTAAAAAAAAAAAATTGTTAATGTTCACTACATCATCATTCTTGATAACCTCTGGAAAGTGAAATTGCATGACCGGGGGAGTGTTTCACAAAGACTAAGATCGACTTTAAGTTGGACTTAAATATGACAGGCCATTCATGCCACTGGTTGCTCTCATCATTGGTCTTTCAATTATGACCTTGGTTGGTATTATTCGGTACGTCCCTTGAGAGACCAATGCCAGTAAATGGTGAGAGCAAACAGTGGCATGAACGGCCTGCCATATTTAAGTCCAACTTAAAGCCAATCTTAATCTTTGTGAAACACCCCCTAGTAATCGACATCTTACCTTTGAACTGGGTCGGTATAATTCACTCTCTTTTTTTGTTCTTCAGCTCCAGGTCAGACCGCACTTTGTAGAGAACAGTGACTCATACTCTCTTCAAGATCTGATCGATACAGAAGAAGGCAATCTTCTCACAGAGCTAGCTACTCTACATGGAGACTATGCAGTACACATACGAATCGATTGCCAGGTACTTTGCGAGCTCTCTCTCATGGGAATTTGACATTGCTGGGGATTATTTGTGATCTATCGTCTAGGGCCGAGTTAAAACGGCTAAACAGCGTTTAAATGACCATTAAAAGCAAAACCATTACAATTTTGCAAAATTTTTGATCAGAAATTGAAAAATGTTAATGTATTAATAAAAATTATGTATGTGCATGGAATACACTAGGAGAATGTAAGAGGCAAGGCCTTGTAAACATAGAGGATCAATTAGGAACTGTGATTACAAAAATTGACATTGGATATGTGTGGATCTTGATCTAATCAGTTTGGCAGTTTGAAATGTTCGAAATGCTCAGATAAACTGTATCATTGTATATTGTGTGAAAAATAGTCACTTAATTTCACATTTATTTCTTCTCATTCAAATGCCATGCGACTATCAGGCTATGCCGAATGTAGTACCGTATTTGCTGGCGTAAACGCCGCAGTATTTTTGGAAGAGAAAATATCAAAAAGTCGGGGTGCGGCCTTTACGGCGAAAGAGTAAAAAAAAAAAGGTACTCACTTTGAATGTCGTACTACTGAATACAGGTACATCATTTTGGCTTGAAAATCTGCTTTAAATAACATATTTATTTTTTTATTTTTATCCTTCAGATATGTCAAGGCAAGGGTTTTATATGTGAGATATGCCATTCCAATGAGATTCTGTTCCCGTTTGACATGATAGCTACATTGTGTGCTACCTGCTCAGCCGTGTTTCACAGGTGAGAATGGATCTGTCTTTTTTTGACGTTTGGTCTATCTATCTACCAGCCCATCTACTACCGACATGATCTAATAATCATGTCATCTCTATCAACCCTTACTGTACTGGGGGGGGGGGGGGGGCCTGGGAGGCCCCCCCCCCTCCCCCCTCGACATTTTTGGAGATCGCGCCGCTACCGCTTGGAATTTTGAATTGTCGTTTCATGACTTTTTTTCCCTCAAGTCTTGCGCACATTTTGATACCACTTTCGTCAAAATTGGATATACCTGTAAGGTGTTACATAACAATTAGTATGTGCATGTCATCAAAAAAGTGCTATAATTGCATATATTCATGTACAAGCAGAAATGTGAAGATATGAATTGATATCAAATTGCTTTTATATGTTTCTCAGCGTAACTTGATGTATTCCAGAACAAAAGAATACATTAGAAATAAGACAATAGATATAATAAGAAATAAAAAACAATAAAATACATAAGAAAACAAATAATTGAAAATCGCATAAATTATCATTATTAATTACATCAAATAACTATTTTGTGTTAGAAAAGAAGTTTCATATGAATAATGAGTTTCAACATTCAAAAAGTTGAGCCTGACAATTTTTGTAATGATTCTAGTTCCCTAAATATAGTTCCAGATTTGATATTCATGAATGCGTAATTTGCGTATTCATAATTTATGCAAATTAACCTATGCATTTTTTATATCATAAAAATAATGAAACCTCATGAATTTGAGATGAAGGAATCATTTATTCAATACATTTTCAAGATTGTTCACAAGTCAACGGACAAATATGTAGAGTTTTCTGTAAAATGCATAAAATTAGCATTTTGCATAATTAATTAGGCTATAACGACAAAAATTTGCATATTAGGAAAAAACTAATTATACCATCTTGTTCCTTACGTAAATATCTACAAATATGCAAATTTTCGTGTTCATAGGACATTCGACGGCCGAGATCATAGGGGCCCCCCCCCCCCCAGTCAGAGGGTGCTCAAAATAGCCCAGTACAGTAAGGGTTAAATATCATTTGGTCTAATGACCATCTAATATGGTGTGTTGGCTCAGTCAGTAGAGCGTCCGCCTCACAACCGGGAGGTCGTGGATTCGAACCCCGGCCGTGTCAAACCAAAAGTCGTTAAAAGGCAGGAGTTGCTGCTACCTTGTTTGGCATTCAACAATAATGGATAGAGCAACGTCGATCTGGCGCTGCTCAGTGGCTGCCATGCTAATGATCAATTGGGCAAAAAGAATTTCCATTTTCGGTTTAACTTAATAAAATTTGGAGTGGACTTTAAAAGATTATTATTATTATTATTACTATTATATAGCCATTTGGTCTGATTTCCATTTGGTCTAACCTCCAATAAGTCTACTACCCATTTGGTCTATTACTCATTCTAATTTCCAGTTGGTTTAATTCTCAGTTTGTCTAAAGCCAATTTTGCCTATCATTTAATCATAAATAATAATAATAATCATCAAATGATTATTAGACCTTATGGTTGTAGATCAAAGTGTAATTCACCCCAAAATCTGACAGCTCTCCTGTACCTTAGTACAGCATGAATATTATAGAGAAAATTATTGATTTTGATATTGGATACATATAAGTAGAAATCTAGTTGGAAGGCTATACTAGGTCCCATTGCTTCAGAAGCATCATAGCAAATGTTCTTTCAAATGGCTCTGAATATATCAAATACCAAGCTAAATGTTTATTATTTTACATCACATAACCTTTACAACTACTTTCATAATTTTTCCAGTTGTATGCTTTTGAATATCGTCTTATAAATTGTATGAACCATGGATTGTTATTGGATCTAGATCAGTATAAGTTAGTGATCTTTGAATTTGTACATTCTTCCACTTGCCACTGCGATCTGTGGAATAAATGGAAGATGTAAAAAGTTTGGACTTCGATATAATGTGAAGGTGATTTGACTTTAATACTTGAGGCTTTATTTTCATCAATTATATAGGGTTAGGGCTAGGTATAAAGGGTTGGGTCAAGGGTTGAAGATGAAATTGGTTACTGTTGTATGAATTGATACACCGTATTGTCGTTGGAACATATATTATGCCGTAAAACCAGTGTGAAATAGAGGTGGTGGCAAGTATCAATTAGGGTTAGTGATCTTCTTCCCTTCGAGTCACTACGTCACATCGTTCACTCTTGATTAGATTGTCCCAATCCAGTGTTGCATGCATTGTATCGTGCAGGGGGTCAGTGTTTCCAGATCTTCTTGGGTACAAGGGTCTGGTAGATGTGGGCAGGCTTAGGAGATGTTGCATGGTCTGCTCCTCTCCACACAGGCAGATGATGTCATTGTTCTCATTATACCCCCACTTCATCAGGGGGGTGTTTCACAAAGATCCTAAGTCAAACTTAACTCGAAGTTGGACTTGAATATTATGGAAAGCCATTTATAGCCTTAAAATAAAATATATTCAAAAGCAAATAATAACTATTTCAGACTTTTCATAAATTCCACATCTCCACATCAAAAACATGAAATATCCTTGAACATAGAAAATATTTTGAATCAACATTTTATGCCTTTTAAAATAACTTTTACAAAATATTTTCAAGGATGCTAATGGCTTTCCATAATTGTTAAGTCCAACTTAGAGATAAGTTCAACTTAGGATCTTTGTGAAACACCTCTCTGGTCAGTTAGGGTTAGTGATAGTACAATAAGATGGATTGAGAACACAGTGGGAAGGAAATGAAACATATCCAACAACCTTTTGATGTCTATCTTTTGACAGGGACTGCTTCTACAAGTGGTCAGGAGATTGCCCTAAGTGTACCAGGCTGTCCCAACGAGCATCTGCTGACCGGCCAGCCTCCAGCCCTGCAAGACCAATCCAGAAATGACCACTGTAGGATGACCATTGCATGATGACATGTGGAGGAAAGTATCATTATACTCCTGGAAATCAGTGTTTCTCCTTTCCAAACTTGACCTTTAATATGGATTTTGTTTGTTTGTTTTTTTGTTTTTTGTTTTTCTTATCAGGCATTTAATAGTCATATTCATGCATAATAATATTAACAATTAAATATTATGTAGTATGTAAGATCAAAACTATTAATTTTTAAAAAGACATGCAATGATTGATAACCAAGATACAAAAAAAAATTATTATTGGAATAAATATGTAGTTATCACCAATATATGAAATATATAGATTTCCTAAGATTTTAATATCGGCATTCCTCTCATCCCTTGAGATATACTTACCACGGTTACATCCTTTGTTTGATAATCCCATAAACTTGTCATCTGCTCTTAAAAGCAGAAAGTCCCTTTTGCAGACTTGCATAAACTCCATGAAACTTGGCGAGTGTTTGAAATATATCCTTCAGAAATCATGTGTGAAATTTTACAGTTAAAGTTTCTGAAACTGCTTTGTAAGAAATGAAAATCTATTGACAAATATTGGACAACTTTAGAAAGTGCAATTCTGTTTGCAAATACATACTGGTAATTCAAATTAAAACTGAGAATGGTGAAAGATATGTGATCAATGGAAAATATTTCATCAATGAATAAGAATAAAAGTAATTATATACCTAACTTAAGAAATCCAGCCATCTGATTGGTCGAAATTGCATTCATAAACTTTAACTATTCCTGTAAAATTCCCGGTAAAATTCCAAACCCATGTAATAGTTTTAAAAAATAGTTCTAAAATCCCAGTAACCATGGTTACCGGGAAAATAGTTCAGTCTTGGTGAAACACCCATAGGTTTACATGTTAAAAAATGGTCTGAGCGATCGAGGATACCGTACGTGTGCGAAGAATTGGTCGATAATTTCAATACAATTGAATCTCGATCGATCTTACCGACAATTTTATCTTGCATTGTTGACATGAAGACGAAAATAAACTTCCAATAACAACATCTGCCGATAAATGTTGATCTAAGTTCGTGCCAATATGTATTGCAAAAGTAAAAGAAGGGCCCGTTTAATGGAGCTGCCGCGAAGCATCCAGCACGCGAAGCCGTTTTCAATCCATTTTAATGTATATCGCCTCGCGCAATAGCACAATTCTAACCTTCCCTTGAGCGTATAAAAACAATTATTCCTCTCAAAGCAGTCATTAATACTATACTATCAGATAAGGGTCAGTATAGCAAAGAGAATAGGGTGAATTCACAATTAAAAGCTCCGCCACCGGCAAGCCACATTCGGGTCAGTTTTTCAGCTCCCGGGTCAACATCTTTCAACTACTAGTGCAGCACAGCATTAGAAAAATTACCCCTGACCAAAAGTGACCTTAATGGTTAGTTTAGCCTAAAGGTGGCCAAAATGACAAAAACTATGTGAGTAGGGTCTTTGAGACTGACATTTTTGGAATCAGTGCAAATTTTTACCCCAGATAACCTATCAAACCTCCCCCCCCCCCCCCCCCCCCCAAAAAAAAAAAAAAAACTTCTCATTAAATACCCTCATCTCCTAGGGTATAATAACAATGCCACAGTAGATATTTTGGTAGACTTTTTCCCATAATACATCACGTAAAATCGACTGAACACTGGTGTCGCTAGATGGCACTGTGGAATGTGAATCCTCCATATTGTGGGGGGAAAGAGGGCCATTGTGAAAGGAGTAATCATGTGCATCCACTGTTTTGAAAGGGTTAATATTACTTGTCTTCTGAGTTGTGAAGGTTTTCTGCAGATGGTTTAAAAACATTTGGCTAAATATTTGTGTATCTAATTTGGGGTGTGTAATCCATGTAATCTATATTTATTTGTAATATACTCACGTTTAGATAGTACTGCATATTCTCTATTTTTCATAAGCAATTTTTGATAGAAGAATACATTTCCAACGGCAGTTGTCACACACGGATATGATCATTTGAATGATAATTATTATTAAATGTAATAATAATTATCCTTCTCATGGATGAAGTTATTTCTATGAAAATAATTATTTGAGTGCAATATGATTAGTCCTGTACACCATGCAGTTACAGGATGGTTATATATATTATGCTTGTGGCATTGGAAAAGTTAAATGTACTACATGTATATTGTTTATCACTTTCAGTTGAAAATAAGATTTTGCCAAAACTTTTAAACAAACATGGCATTAATTTTCAACAAATTCACATTCTTGATCAATCTTGCACCAATTTAGACCGTGGGCCGAGCGCGATTTTCCTTCCAGTCCGTTGCGTAGATTCCGGTACAAGATTTAAATAATGTTAATAAAAAGATAAAAATACACAAATCCCAAATCAGCTTATCCCCGCGACTGAATCCTTGCCGTTCGTATAAAACATAAGTTTAATTGACAAGTTATTTAAGAGAAATTTGCGTGAACGAGACCGCTAACTCTCCGTTCGTACACGTGTATAAACTTACCGTGCGACGAGAGTGAAACAGCACATTCTCCGTCTCCATCGTACGATGAAATTATGTAATCCATTCGAATATTTCCCAAAGCTAATCACATTTGCCGATGTAAATAATATGATTTTGCAAATATGAACTCGAAAAACTATTGAAAACCTCGTCAGGGTGAAAATATTTCGAAAATGGGCGGTCATAGCTACCATGAAACAGACGAGAAATAGCGCGTTGCCAATTTGATATTATTGTAAGGATCGTGTGCAATTCTCTTGAATGTACGTACTCTGTGTAGAGATCAGCTGGCTCCGTACCGACAAGACTCGAGTAATTTTTGTGTAATTAAAACTTTTGATGAAAACATTTCTTGTATTAGCAATGCAATGGTAGTTTAAGAATAGGCCTACAGAATTAGAGTCCCTAAATATTCATTGTAACTATAACAAAAGATATATGTCTTTTTTTATTTCCAGTCCTGTAGTACTTTTTACATGTTTTCAAATGTTTGATTTTTTGTTGTTAATTTTTTTTTTCGGGGGGGGGGGGGGGGAGTACCCACTTAATAATAGGGTATACGGGGATGTGGGTGATTTTTCTTCCTGGAGGAAGAAATGTGACAATGTTTATTCATATTCCATATTCCATTTCAGGAAAGTAAAAAGAAAAACAAAATGAGTAGAACTAAAACGTTTTATGGTGACATGTGACAATTTATTTCTTCAATCATTTATTCATGTTCATCTTTAATAAATTCGTTGGTTTCTTCCTTTATAAAATATTTTATTTTTGGTTAACAAATTATGCCATGTGGGGGGGGGGGGGGACTCGCATTTGGTTCCGACTGGGGTGTGTCGCTAACAACTGACACCTTGTCACCATTTGTTTAGTCAAAAATGTATAAGTCCTGACAAAATGTATAAGGCCGACAACTGACCCGTACCTATATTTAATGGTCATTTAGGCAGAAAGGGGCCATTATTTAAAAGGTTTTTTTGTATACTCCAGCGAAAAAATTAGCTAAAATATCCGATCTGAATTAGGCCTACAAAACCCTAACCCTTGTCAAAGGATTTTTTGTGAAAAAATCATGCATTCCGGCGGCACATGATTCCCGTCTCGGATCCCCATAAACCTTTTATTATATATAATCTTTTATATTCATTTATTTTTGGTAAAGTGGAAGCCTTCACATACCGACATTTATCTTTCATTTCAGATTCTCATCCAGTAAATGGTTCTTCGCACATACACGTAGATGGGCATTCAGTTCATCAAAACATAACAAAACTAACAGAAAATATGCTCTAAAATCTGTGTATTTTACTTATTAAACAATATTATTGAGTGTTCCTTGTAAGTATCAGCTTCTGGTATACAGATCTGACAGGAAGAGGGGGGAAAGGATATAAAACCTTGTCACCATTTGTTTAGTCAAAAATGTATAAGTCCTGACAAATAAAATTTCTGTAAAATAAACATGTATGAAAACATTCTGTAACTAAAATAACATCACATGATTTCAAAATCCAGACGACATAACATTATACATCATCATTCTGTACACTTCACATATATACCTCAGCATGTTGTTATCAATTTTTAAGCCAGTGAATGCAGTGTAATTTGAATAAACATTGTCACATTTCTTCCTCCAGGAAGAAAAATCACCCACATCCCCGTATACCCTATTATTAAGCGAGTACTCCCCCCCCCCCCCAAAAAAAAAAAAAAAAAATCAACAAAAAAAATCAACAAAATCAACAAAAAAAATCAAACATTTGAAAACATGTAAAAAGTACTACAGGATTATAAAAAAGACATATATCTTTTTTATAGTTACAATGAATATTTAGGGACTCTAATTCTGTAGGCCTATTCTTAAACTACCATTGCATTGCTAATACAAGAAATTTGTTCATCAAAAGTTTTAATTACACAAAAATTACTCGAGTCTTGTCGGTACGGAGCCAGCTGATCTCTACACAGAGTACGTACATTCAAGAGAATTGCACACGATCCTTACAATAATATCAAATTGGCAACGCGCTATTTCTCGTCTGTTTCATGGTAGCTATGACCGCCCATTTTCGAAATATTTTCACCCTGACGAGGTTTTCAATAGTTTTTCGAGTTCATATTTGCAAAATCATATTATTTACATCGGCAAATGTGATTAGCTTTGGGAAATATTCGAATGGATTACATAATTTCATCGTACGATGGAGACGGAGAATGTGCTGTTTCACTCTCGTCGCACGGTAAGTTTATACACGTGTACGAACGGAGAGTTGGCGGTCTCGTTCACGCAAATCTCTCTTAAATAACTTGTCAATTAAACTTATGTTTTATACGAACGGCAAGGATTCAGTCACGGGGATAAGCTGATTTGGATTTTGTGTATTTTTATCCTAATTTCTGGCTACCAAAAACTATGTACCACAAAGTCAGTCCAAAAAAAGAAAACTAAGCCCTAAAATCGCGCTCGGCCCACGGTCTAATTGTCTTTTTCTCTTTTCTTCCTTTTATGTTGTTGTCCACAAATTTTTTTCAGTGGATTTTGCTTCATAGCACAACAAAATGCATGTTTGTTCCGTTATAAACTATTTTGCATTTATGAAACATGATAAAAAGGAAAGCTAAAATTGTTTACTTATACCCCAAAAATTGAATAATTTCCCTTCCCTTTCTTCTCTCTCTCCCTCTCTTTCCCCCCCCCCCCCCCCCCCCCTCTCTCTCTCTCTCTCTCTCTCTCTCTCTCTCCCTCCCTCTCTCTCTCTCTCTCTCTCTCTCCTCTCTCTCCCCCCTCTCTCTCTCTCTCTCTCTCTCTCTCCCTCCCTCTCTCTCTCTCCCTCTCCCTCTCCCCCCTCTCTCTCTCTCCCCTCTCCTCTCACCATCTCCTCTCACCCTCTCTCTCTCTCTCTCTCTCAGTAAAGATGCCTCTTCTTTGATTTATTAGTGTTCCTCATCTTACTAAAAAAATATTCCTATTACTGTTCTTTAATCGGTTAGATTTCAAATGTAGCATTTTTTTCTTGTCCTGAAACACATCGAAACATGTTTAAACATGTTTCAATGTTGTTGTTTTTTTATATTTTTTTTACAATCTCAGAAAAGCCCCAAAGGTACAAACTTACACCCCCCCTTTTTTTTCTTTCTTCATTTTGTTTATATTCTTGATTTATGTAACTTGACATGAACAGCAAATACAGTATTATATATTTGTTTATCTTTGGTCTTCCAGAAATGGTGCATGAGTTGGTAATTTATTTTATGAATTTAGAATGAAACAACTGTATAGATACATCACTTTGTTAACCAAAATATTCAGCAGATCTTGTGCTTTGAGCAAACGAACGTGGATGGCTGTGCTGTAAATTTACAATATCTCATAGTTTGGGGTTCGAGAACGTGTTAAAAAGGTAAATATGCAAAGGCTAAGATAATTGATGTGTGTGCGAGCCCTTGGAAAATACTTAAGTAAAGACAAACAAGGCTTTTTTTTCTACGTCTTTTTAATGTGCAAGTTTATACAGAACATAAAGATATAATGGTGTTAATCGCGATACAAGTTTTCATACAATTAATGATTATAATATTGAATGGCTTTTCTTTCGTGAGACACGAGGGTATACCGCACGCGCTTTCACATCGCTTTTCAGCTCATGAGATATACCCTTGTATCCCAATCAAGGCTATTCAATGATTGTATTAATCAAGGGGTCATTGACACAAAGACGTAACTCCATATTGGCCATTTTGAGAAATAGTGGTTTATGTGTCACTGAGCACTTCGGCCTTAAGGAGTTAAGTCTATGTTTCACCAGCCATTGACTTCAATGGGGTGTTGGGTGGAGTTAAGTCTTTGTGTTTCCTGGAAAGCCCACATTTTTCTGAACATTTTGATATCAAATACTCATTTTGGCAAAATATGGAGTTACGTCTTTGTGTCACTGAACCCTCGAAATGCTGTTTGTGCAATGCATCTACTTATACACGTACCGGTATATTCTGTTGGATAATGGAATAACAATAACTCTTCTTCATGCTGTATTAATGAGTCATAAAGAGGAGGGGTTTGATATTGTTTCAGATATAGGGTTATTTTTTTAAAGTGTAACTTTAATAAAGCAAGGTTGAATGCATCATAAATACTCTTAGATAAAAAGAAAATGTGACTATCACACATATTCCAATCCAAAATACCTCTAAATTGAGTTATGACAGTATTACCACATAATCTAGTGTCATATTTATACAATTGATTTGCCTGTTATTATTTCAAAGTTATGTTTTCTTGGATTTAAGAAGTATTTAAGATTTACTGGCGAAAAGCACAAAATCATGTAGATAAGCTGCATTTAATTGCATTGGTGTTTATTGCAGTTAATTTGGTTACTATTTTTGTTTTTCCCTTTCATTTTACTGATGCAAAAGTTTATTGCAGACGCCCCATTCCCCATTTGTTAAAAACAAAAGTAGGCCTATGGTTGACTACAAGAGACGTGGAAAAGATTGAAGTGTTTTTCAATTTGTTTTTTTTTTCTTTCAGTTTGCTTAAAAGAGAAAGGCATGGGTACTGTAAGCACATTTATGCTAGAATTAATGTAAAGACTAGATAATAATGTACAACATTTACTGATATATTGCAATGTTTGAAAAAATGAGTCGGTATGGATGTAAATACTTGTGGAAATGAAGAGTCTACTTTTGTCATACGATTTGTAAATAAAATTATACAAAATCATCTATAAGTATACCACGCATTGTTTAGTTTTCATTTTATTTCTCTCTTTTTCTATAAAAAATAGAAGTTGACTCAATAAAAAGAGGGATAAAAGGAAGAAAGATAGGAGCTTTGTTGATAAGAGGAATTGTGTTGGTGTGTGGTTAGTGCTCTGGTGCAATGCGATATGAAACGTACTACAGTGCGTCCCAGAAGAAAAAAAACTGAGAAGTATCGATGTTTTATCATAACTTAATCACAGAAACTCAACTTTCTAGAAATATGAATTTTTCTTCGAAATTCAGATACCGCCCGCCAAATGTCTTTTTGGATTCCTTCCTTCAAATTGCTTTTAATCACTCATGCGTGAAATATGCATCATCTGAGTAGCATCACATGAAAGAGGAGACTCTAAGCTTTCCAAATATGTATCATTCATTAATTATAGTTGTGATTAAGTTATGATAGAACATCGATACTTCTCGGTTTCGTTTTTTCTGGGACGCACTTTATAATTTGTGTCGTTTTGCTTCAATAGATGCAAAGAACTCTAACAGTATGAGCACAATAAATAACAAATTATCCTGGACTAGTCTTAACTTTAATTTAGTCAGTTCATTTATTTGATAGCTTCATTTAATAGAATGACTTACATATGACAAAAAAGCATTTTAGAATTTTAGAATTAAAAGGTAAAGCTGTGCATTAGTTTGTTTTTTTTAAGATTAAAATTTGCTTTAAATAACATATAATTCCTTTTATGTATTATAATGCATGCATGATATTGATCTATTTACATTATCATGATAAGAGACACAACATTTTCTCTCTCACTCTCTCTCTCTCTCTCTCGATGTGCACAGTTAAGTTCATTTTTTTTCTCAACAACTTTATTACAAAAATAATTATAACTGATCGAAAAATAGTTTATGCATTCTAAATTAAAGGAGGTTTTATGTAGCTGTGTGAAGTATCTGTAAGGCTCCCAAGTAATTCTAATGATTATATCCACTTGATCTACATAGTCACTAATAAGATCAGTGACATAGTGATATAGACTTATATCACAAGATTTCTTGATACTTCTATTTCTGTCTTTCATTCTTCTTGTGTCTCTCATTTAAAGACTATCTCTGACAGTGCTACTGTTTCCCGAAAACCTGTACTCAAGCACAGATCTTTACCAAGCGGAGGGATTTGAAGAACAAGAGGCTGCAAATTAGTTTATGTATGGTATGGTGCAGTAGTTACACAAATAAAAGATGAAATGAAGATCATATCAAGGAGCTACACTAGAATTTGAGGAACCACTCTATAAAGTTTTGACAGAAGATAGTTAAGATACAGTTTATAATCCAAACGATGTTACAGAGTCGCACTTGTATTCCTAAAATTATAAAAAAAAATTCACATGGCCATATACACTTTATCATTAGTCATATTCCACTTTGATGAATTACTAAAAGATTGTCATTACAATATTACATTCAATCATACACGATAATTAAAAATTATTCCCGTAAGCCTTCAAAAGTTTCAATAATATGTCAAACTCTTGAGGTGGAGGCTTCAGAGAATTTTTGTAAAGGACGACATTCCACTTTACTTTAATGCAGATCAAGGGCCATAAATTCTCCCAGAAATGTGCTGTAATTTTTTTTTTTTTTAGCTTCACTTTTAAGGAGTAAAAATATGTCGGAATCTTTAAAAGATCAATTAATAAATATAATAATATATGATTACCCCTTATCCGTAAAGCGCTTTGAGAAGGCCTGCGGTCCTGAAAAGCGCTATATAAGAACGAACTATTATTATTAAATATCATCCATCATAATTATCAATCTGTTTTAAAAGCGAAACTCCTTACGTACTTCCGTCGTCATCGTTTGGCATTTCTCTTTTTCTGAGCACTTGGTTTTCTCGCACCTGCCTTGCTTCTCGGTGTGCCATCTGCGGGCTTAGACACTGCCGAACTCTTTCCACTTTTGTTTGTTGCATCTTTGCTCGGACTACTACCCTGTTTTTTCTGTCCTGCCTCCCCCGTAGCCTTCACTGGCGTTTTGGGTTTCACACTTGTAGAAGGCCTATCGCCATCTTTCGCATCTCCTTTTATGTGTTTATTTGGGAGTTTGGCGTTATTGGCATACTTTGAATAAATGTTTGGGGTTTGGTTTCCTCCTCGCGATTGAGACGCATCGCCAAGGTCCAGGGGTTCCTCAGAGGCCTGTTGCTTCAGGTCTGCATCGCCCTCATCGGTATGAAGAAGTGGCGTTCCGCTTTCTGGGGTTCCTGGTTTATCATCCTCACTAGAGGCCTTTGCCACATTTTCTTCTAGAGGATTGGACACTCCCGCTGCTTGTGGTTGATCTCCAGCTTTGGTGGTAAGAGTGGGATTCGCGTCTGATTGATTGTTATCTTCGACGCGTTTGTTCATAAGTCCATCCTTGGGTGCTGAAGGGTTGTTGTGGGTTACCTTGTTCGCCCACTTTCCAGTCTGCGGTCGAGACCCTGGTCTCATATCGGAATCTTTCGATACAACACCCTGGCACGATTCTTGAAGACCAGTTTGTCTATTGCCTGTATTGCTTGTTTCGTTTACTAAGTGGTTTCCAGAATGATCACCACTTGTTTCCTTGCTTAAAATTTGTTCATTAACAGTGTTGTCTTTTGTACTAGGTGATACAACGTTTTGATGCGTGGGATGTTTCCTTCTGGCAGTGTTTGGCCTAACACTTCTGCTGTCCATACTATCTTGAAGTTCAGTGATATTTGATAGTTCCGAATATAAGCTGACCGACTCGAAATCTGCAGAATATCCGTCGTCATCACCATGACTTGATTTTGGTCTGACCGAGAGAAAGCCGATCGAGGTGGTGTCTGTTCTAGGAGTTTCAGAAATGGAATCATTCTCCTGCCTTTCGGGGGAGAGGTTTCCGTTTGTCTCATCGTCGTTGATTGCCAGACTGGTTGAATTGGGGAGAGGACTGGGATTTCTATGTACGACCACACTCGTGAGACCAAAGTTATTGTCATTGTCAAGATGTGTTGTCCTGTTTGAACTGTCGCCAATATCAACGACAGTCATATCTGGAATATTATTTTTATTTTCATCTGGTTTATTCAAAGCTTTATCCTTCCAAATAGCGGCCACAGTTTTAACAGCTTTCCCATTATTTGCTTTATCCGCTAAGGTCATTGCTTGTACTGTAAGCTTCGGCAAATGATTGGCAGTCGCTAATGCCTTGAGGATAGCGGTTTTAGTCGCCACCGCTGGTTTCTTTCCGATCCGGAACTCAATATCGCTCGACTCCTCTGCTTTCTTGGCCTCAAGCTCCAACTGACGTATCTCCTCTTCATCCGAATCGTACGACCTCGCAAAGATGTTAGCGTAGAGACGACCGGTCTTGGCGACGTTTCCATTTTCGGGTGTGTTCTGTCTGCTGGTGTTCTCCTTGAGGCCCATGGCTTCGGGTGATACTGTAACTTGGGACTGCTTCTCGCAGCAGCACTCCTTGCGATCGCGGCTGAAGACATAGTAGCGAAAGAAGTAGCTAATACCGAGGCTGAAGACGAAGAGAAGGATGAGGAAAAAAGCCGTGGAGGCGACTTTGGGTAGACCCTCTGGGGTGTGGGTACGTGACAAGTCGCCTAACTCGTCTTGGGGAAGGGTGGACGGTCGAGGGGTAGATGTTGACTCTGAAACGTAAATGGGATAAAACATGGTGTGATTAATTATGATACTGGAAAATGCATATACAAGTCACGGAAAGGATCATTCGAACAAAAATATCATGACCACCTAATTCTAGTTGTAACGATTTTGTTTTGTTGATGTTGCAACTGTCAAACATACGGTACAGTCGCCTGAGGTTTTTTCTGACTAGCAAACTTTCGTAAGAAAGTTAACGACAAAAACTGATAGTTTGGTTGGTAACTCTACCATAATGAACTTTCTTTTAACACAGTGAAATAAAATTATGATATGGAACTGTGTTTATTATTACGTATCAGATCCTGATTATTATTCTGTCATGTAGCTTCCAAACTGGTGTTCCTAATGTACCATTTGGCAAAATTATTATGAGATTTTTATCGTCACCTAGCTGTGAAACATTCGTAAGACACCTTTGTAGGGTAACTATGGATTGTAGGGTTAAGAAATAACCAGTAGCGGATTTCGGGGAGGGGGCAGCAACCAACCCGCGCTGCCACCCCCCCCCCACACACACACACACACACACACCCTTTGAGACCCATTTGGCTCACTACAAAAATGCCCCCGTAATCTTGATTTTTTTTTTTTTTTTTTTTTCTTTTTTTTTTGTCTTTTTTCTTTTTTTTTCTCGGAATCTCTCTCCCCTCCCTTTCAAAATCCTGGATGCGATTGATGGCGATCTGGTTTCAAATTAAATGACAAAAAAACTTAGAAACTCACCAGCTCCTACGAAAGCTGCATTCGCAAAGATAGGTATGAAGATGATAACCAGAAGTAGACCATTCCCGACGGGATTCCCGCAGCTGCAGGACACCATCAGGACCAAAGCCTGTTTGTCCCGCGGGGGCTTTAGACGCGCAATGGTAGCACTGAGCGGGGTCGACATGGTAAGGTATGCATCGTCTGGTTTCAGGGGTCCTCCTAGTCAACGTCGTCATCGACCTCCTTATCGTCGCTGATCGTCGATGTGATGAAGTAGATGTGAGTCGATGTTCATCGAGACGGATGCCTTTGGCTTTACTAAGATATAATTGGTAAATCTCATCAGCCAATCCCCATGTCCTTAGAAGCCTAAACGTTTAATAAGAAAAAATAGATGTTTAAACAAACAGACTTGGGGCTGAATTTTGTTCATCTGCAATTAAAGTTCATTTTATAATGATGACATTTTTCGATTAAATGTGTTATGTTGACAAAGTGAAATCATTAATAATCGCGGATGATTAATATTGTTGAATCCTGTAATACAAGTAAGATCTCCAAGCATCATGCCAACGGTGCTCCCTCCATGGCTCGACCAACTGTGTATGACACGTCCTCTCCAACAAGCTTTTTGGAGTTATGATATCATTCAGTCTGAACATATTCCTAGACAACAAATTCAATAATGGCGTATGAAGAATATATAATAAGCGAGAGGAATCTTAACACACCGGGGTCCAATATGTTATAGCAAAGTCTAATATAGCTTACCATATTGCAATGTTAGTTGACATATTCTAGGCCTTGACAAATAATCAATTACTATACTCGACTTTCATATGATCAAGGATATCTAATGATCATGATCATGATGCTATTTCGCATAACCTTCGTTTCTATTCAAGAAAACATGGACAGATGCAATCTCAGCCGAACTGAAAACACTTTTTAGTTAATAAACATGGTATATGTTTTTAAAACACTGGTGATTTTTATCCTTCCTTATTTTGAACATCTTATATATTCGAAGATCATCAAGCACTTGGCAGAAATATGAATTTGTCAGACAATACCGACAAACTTTGTCCGTTTTTTATAAATCTTGTATAACATGATGAACGAAGCTTTGACTACCAGCACCTGTCGCCTTATAACTCAATGTTTAGTATGTATGTATCCCATATTAATGTTTAGTCCTCGAATCGTGTCAGATCTAGAGCATAGTGAATTGCATAAGTTTATGAAAAAAGCGTGTTTTTTTTTGCTTGTCCTTTTTCTGAGACGAATGTGAAGCAAATCAAAACATCACGATTAAAAACCAGCGGAGTTGCCATGGGGGCACAGGGGCACGTGCTCCAATGATCGAATAACGAACAAATAGAGATGAAGAGATGGATTGAAATGGAGAAAACACCATTGCAAAACAATAAGATGCGACCCCTCCCCCACCGCCCCATCACTTTATGGCCTTCTAATCGCAGTTGGTCCGTATCATATTTTGATGCACCCCCTCCCCTACCCTCTCGGACGCCAGTTCCCCCTCACAGTGGATGTACCCACGCTACGCCATTGACCAAATCAAATCTTGATTCAGCAACCAACCCTTCTACGGTGAACGCCAGATTTAACATTAAGAAAGGCTTTGATTATGAAAGAATAGTCAAACCAATGTGCCATTTTAATAATATCATTGTCTGTCTGCTATAGTATTTTGCAGTCCCGGTTTAAAGAACGCAAATTAGTAGTACATGTTGTATTCTTACTGAATGTATAATTGAGTAGAGTGATGTCACCCGTATCTATGGACGCTATTTAAGAGGACCACTTAACAATGAGGTGCCAATCGGCTTTACTACCACCAGGGGAATCACAGTTGTTGTATACTTTAAGCTCAATTTGTTAAGACGAGAAAAGGCGACGCTAACGGGTGCCTTCTTTCAAGAACGTCTTTACAAGAACCCCCGCCACAGGGCATTGATGAGGACAAAAGGAAACTTATGTCACCTCCCTGAGGAAACACATTCGCTCCTTATCCCCGTGTAAACGTGACATGGGCGTCGCTAAAGAGTGTATTCAACACCCCCACCCCACCCCATTCATAAGGTTCTGCTGTTAGTTTGTTGCCAATTACTTTAAAATAAAGTGTGGATGTTAATTCCCTTGACTTTCAATCAAGGGGTCTTGGGTTCCAATCCCATTCCGGCACTAATGTTCTTTGGCAAGACATTAATCTTTATTTACCACTCTCCATCCCTTTGGAATGGGTACCTAACATTATGCTCGAGCGCTACATATTTGGATGCCCGGCTATATGACTGGTGTAATAATGTTAATTAGAGTGCCAATTAAGAGCGCATACCTGTCATGAACGCTATACAAGAATACATTATTAGTATTTGTTATATGGGGCACAGCCAAACCATGCCCCCTTTAAAACCAATCCACTACCTGAAGTACACAAACGAAAAAATATGCCACTAATTGCGTTCTAGTGGCCTCTTTTTTAAAATACAGAATCCTGGACTCGCCCCTGTCCTCATCATATCATATTGTATTGATGATCATAATTATCAAATGAGGGAAGGGCACAACCGAACAACACGCTAACCAATGAGCTACATACCCAGTTGGCCTAGATGAAGAAGAAAAAGTGTGCCCCTATATATAACTGTGTTCTTGTGCCCTACCCCCCCCCCCCCTTCACATAGTCCCTGATCCACACCTGCCCTCATCCCTTTTGTCAAAGCTGTAGTGAAGGTACTTTAATGTCTAATGGCGGACCAAGGACACGGCGGATGATGTTTGTTTGTTTTCACACTCTTCTCTCAAGAAGCTTTATCTACAAAAGACCACCTTTTCGTCGCCCGCTAACGATTTTCTTCCAAATATATTTATATACCACCATAAGTTGTTGCGGAAAGGAGGAAGATTGTTACATCGATTTTATTGTAAATATAAATACAGGAAAATCAAATAAAAATGAGCTCGCACCAAGGCAGATGTTTTTGCCACGCAATATTCGCCGCACTTATTATGAATAGAATTAAAGATGACTGTGGCTATTTCTTTCATTTTTTTAAAATCTGTTTTATTTATTTGTTGGTGTGTGGGTGTGGATGTGGGTGTATGTTTGTGTGTTTACTGACGTAGCTACATTGTAGGCGTTAAGAAATCATAGTCCAACTTCAATTTTATTTTAAATTGACTTTATTACCTGATGATGTAACTTTTAAAAAGCAATGCCGCATTATTTCTCACACAATATATACTTTGCATGTTTAGCGTGTGAATTATAATAGTTTTAAATTGTGTATAACTTTTTATGATTGATAACAGAATGAATATAATAAAGAAAATTAATATCCATAAATCATAATTGCGCTGACATTTTTGTGTCATTAAAGGGGAATTCCACCCTGAAATTAAGCTAGTTTTAATAGGAGTAGAAAAATGAGAGAAACAAGTCAGTGAAAGTTTGAGCAAATTCCGATTAAAAATAAGGAAGTTAGGATTTTTGAAGTTGTGATCAATCAAACACAAATTGGCAACTCTATGACGTATCATGCGAGCTCAACTTCCATTTGCTCAGTACTAAAAAAATCTAAAATTTTCATTTTCCCTCAAGAAAAATTTCAACCATACATGCACCCTAAATATAATAATTGCAAATATGTTTCTATACTCCCCCTGCAAGGAACAAATATATATTCCGTCATCAATAACGAAGAAAACATGATTTTATGGAATATTATGCACAAAGCAAATGAAGGAGAGCTCGTATAATAAGTCACAGAGTTGCCTATTTGTATTTGATTGATCACAACTTCAATAATTCATAACTTTCTTATTTTCATTCAGAATTTGCTCAAACTTTCATTCACCTGATTTTCTTATTATTCTGCCTCTATCGAAACAAACTTATTTTGGGTGTGGACTTTCCCTTTAAATCATCGATATCAAAATGTTTGTTTAAAACAACCGTGAAAATGTGAAATCCAAGTAATTTGATTAATTAATTTTGAACACAAGTAGATGGGTATTATGGAAGTTAAAAAATAGAAGATAATTCATAATTATGATAGGGGCATGTAAACTATATACCAATATATCATGGCCTGCGCATGATCTAGAAATCATTTCGAACTTATGTTTTATTTTATAGTGTCCCCATTCCCAATGGCGGATTAAGTGAGCTCAACCGACTCGTGCGCCTGGTTCCCCTTTAAAAAACATGATCTATCATTCTTTTTAAGTGAATAAAGTACTGCAAGAGATTTATTCCTTCCACTTTTCTTCATCTTTTTTTTTTTGGGGGGGGGGGGGGGGGGAGGGGGGCTTGTTAGAGATTTTTTCTGCCCCTTGAGATTTGAATCCGCTCTAACACAAGTCATGCATGACCACGATGATGAGTTGGAGGGTTTCCCTCTGAGTGCGAAGCGGCTTGGAGTATTTTATCTTCTCGATAATTCGCTCATTGTCATTGGCGACCGGTCATCTTTTCCTTTGTTAGGAAAATGATGAGGGAAAATAATTCTGAGTGGTAAGGGGGTGTATCATAAATAAATGTAGCTAGAGGCATGGGTCAACTCCCCTCGCCCTTCCCCGCAGCCCCGAAATTAGTTATTTACATATTTAACACTGTCTATTAAAAATGTGGGCAAAGTGTGATTTCTCTTTGAATTGTTGGAGCGTTAGCTCTGGTTGCCTACTTCCATTGTGACAAGGCCTAGAGTGTCTCCGTTTGAAAAATCATGCCTATCACTAACCTTGTTTAGATAGATTATGATCACATTATAAAGCCCTACGGGGTGCACAAACAACTTGGAAAACACTTAACACAACATTTCTGTATCTTTGAATTGTTGGCGATACAAGGTTGGGATTATAGGAGTATGCTTCTTTTGCCCCCCCCCCCCCCCCCCATTTGCAATGTTTTCTCTCAAGATATCCCTTTATTGGATCAAAAACAAATTATGTATATTGATAGATTCATATCTTATGGAGATTTATTTTTAATGCAACTTTGATGGCTAAAAAACAAAACAATTATGCATTAATTTGTGGAAGTCGGAGGTAAAATGAAGGGATTAAAATATTTAAATCCATTTCCAATCCATTTCATTTTAATATACTTGATATATATATTATGTAGGAATTACTCATATGCGTATTACATGCAGCCTTTGGAGAGGATGTGAAAGGACAAGAAAATTTGAGTAAAAAAGTGAAAGAAAAGTAAGGAGGAGAAGAAGTTGTAGAAGAGAGATGGAAAGAAAGGGAAGAAAGCAAGAGAGGGTGAAACGGAACAGAAAGAGAGAGAGAGAGAGAGGGGGGTAGAGAAAGTGAGACGGGATGGAAAGACAGAGGTGTCATAATGACGTAGATCACTTATTGCCTGGAGATGTATACGTTCGTGTTAGTAAAGATAAGCTATAGTTATATTCCCTTTAATGGTATCTATTTGCTCAAGTAATCTTCACCCACTCTTCCAATTACACCATTACACTAAAACGTCACTCATCCAAAGAACTGATTATTAAATTCAAGCGGAATTCAAACAAATGACGATAATTTAAAAATACGATTCGCCAACATCAATGCAAAGAACGTTGTAAATCTTGACATGAAAATATCAGGATAAATGACAAAACGCCTTAATAAAATTGTGGGGTGCAAACAGCAAATAAATCACTAATAGATCACTGTGATTCTTTGCACAAGCAACATCTCAACTTTGTTTTCATATTTCCTATTGCCGCAGGCATGAATATGAAGTGTTTAATTTTTTTTGTATAACAGACGTACAAAGCAATTCAATTTTTAAAACTACATTTGCAAAAAAGGAAACGCTTGAAACTTCTAAAGCATAAAGTAGTATTATTCTGGTTAAACTGATACAGTCCGGTACCAGACTGGTATAATAATCGATCGTCGTTTTTTCTTTATATGTTAGAGACCACATTATAGATTCACCCGGTCATCTATAAGCCATGACCTTGAACGAGATTCGTATTAGACATTGGCTCATGCCTCGTGATGCAAATTCAAGATCAGAGCCCAGAGTTACAAAAGTTTGCCAATATATTGTTTAATATTTAATGCGAAACAACATGAACATAGTCGGGCTGCCTGTCAAAATGACGTCGACCTGGGTGGAATAATCCCTATGGAGTGGAGAATGTGTCGAGGTTGTATGCGGGCAAGCCCGAATGTGATGACCGGGGTAATGATATATCTGTATAGCTTAGAGATCATCGTAGATGTAATAACTGATAAACGCTATGTAAACCAATACTCATTACTATCATTGTTACTTTTATCATTAGTATGATCATTATGCACGTAATTGGTTAAGCTGTCATTATTTTAATTCCTAATCCTAATATAAAATTATGAAGTGTGGTGTTTGAGGAAAATAGTCTTCACAGAAGCTCTTTTTTCTCCAGGTGCATAGGAAGATAAATACCACTCTATATCATCATAACATTATGTAGTTTAGTATATATTTATTATTTTGTCCATGATATCCACAAAATACAGCTCATTTTGTTAAAAAGAAGCATATTTAATCCTTAGATTGTAGTTAGTTATGAGTAGGTCTCCTATACTTAGACAAAAATCTGGGCAACATTGAAACTGATAATAGAGCACTCAACGTTTCGTTAAATATTTTACATAAAGCAGAGCTATTACATTATCAACTTTACTTCAGTTGCAGTCACCAGGTATATCATTATCGAATATATAAATTGTTATCACCATTACGATCATACGGAGGAAAGCATTACTTCTTAAATAGCATTATTGTGATATATATATATATATATATATATATATTCACTGAGCGAATAAGACAAATTTGGATCATAGTAAACTTATACATAACTCTGGAATCATTACACTTTGATAACTAAATAGTATTCCAACTACTGGTAACTTTATGGCTGTGGACAAAATAATGAACAATGCGACAGCATGCAGTCTCATCAATAATAATTATTACAGAGATTATAACGTTATACCTGTATACTCAAACCCGACGCGTTGCTATCTCTTTGTTCCTAGGCTGTAATTGTAACTCAATAATCGTCTTGAATTCCCATTTTGAAAACTAACGAATTATTACAAGAATACCTTTCCCCAAAAGAAATAGCAATTCACTTACCACTCTTAGAAGATACGAATGTTATTCCCGTTATCCGAAAAAGCGTCTGGTATGAAAAGCACTAACTTCACTCATAGAGTACTTGCATTAGAGCTACATCCACTGAACCAACTTCGATCTGCCCCTCTCACAATACATGCATTGGGGATCTCATTGTATTCTGATGAATGGAGACAACTAATTCGGTGATGTCCCATAAACCATAGAAGATCCAGGCCCTACGCTTCTTAGTCCTCGTTGTCATGGACCGGCATGTATAGTCCAGTGATTTTGGGTCGATCAATTTCTTCTCGTGTGAAGAGAAAGCTTCCAGCCCCCTTTTGTCCACGCTACGAACAACAATGTTTTTGCATTTCTATCGGGGCCCCATGTTATTTCCCCTTCCCCTCATTATTCGTAAATAAATTGTCACAAGTCACGAAACATTAATTTATCGAAAGAAACATTATTAGGTAAACGTTTAAACAATGCAGGGCGCAACTCGTTTACGACATATTCATTTAAAAATTCTCATGAATTATTAAAGACGCGCCTGTGAAAAAAGCTGTTTTTTCTTTTGAGCCGTTCGTGGACGCCATTCGCTCATATCGATCGCCTGTTAACTTTCATTTATTCGATTGGAACACAGAGGAATACATCAGAGGGTGAAATTCTTGTTTTCAAATTGATCGGGAAGGCAAATGGTAAAGTAATGAAACAAACAAGCGTTTCACGGGCTTTATAGCACTCAATGGCCAAGACTTGTTGACTGCATCTTGCATGGGCACCATTCTTCCATGTACATGGGGAAGAAAAAAACAGCAGATAAATTAAGAGGAAACGTTTATTAGATTAAATTTTCAGCGCTCAAGGCCCCTAGTAACGATCTGTTAAGGTCAAAAGAATTACATTCCTCTTTTGAATCTTCTTTTGCTCTTTCTTGTACGTTGATGGTAATAAAAAATCGTGGATTATATCTCAATAAACTGATTTGATTGAGAGCATATAGGCGTGAAATCGTAATAAATATGGCTGCAGCCCCCTCCCCAAGATTATTGAAAATGTTTCTGGCAGTTGTTTTTTAATGCGATCAAGTATTATTTCAGTGACAATTTTCAATTCAAAGGTTAAACATGATGAACTAACCGGGTAATAGACAAAAATGGCAAAAGTTTTGCTGTCAACCTTCGCTTGCTCGCAAATTTGAGAATCGGGGAAGATTTTTTTCTTCCTCTCTGTTATCCCTCCCGTAGCATCCACCCATTTACCTCTCCTTTTTGTTTGCAGTTCTCACACGAATTTTCATTTCTCAATCTCTCATTTCCTTTTTTCCATTCTCAACATCTATAAATTGTCTGGAGTATTATTTTAGAGCTTTATTTTATTTTTAGGTCTGTTTTTACACCCCCTTTCCAACTTGAGACGCGAAGACATTCTATTTCCAATTCTCCTCTCTCTTTGATAATTAACTCTCTTTTTATCTTCCCTTTGGATCATTACAATTATTTTGTTTCTGTTTTCCCACCTCATCCCATCTCTCTACTATTAGAGAGCGAAGTTGTATTTTTATCTGATCTAATTTGTTGCTGTACATATGCAATCTACAAAAAAGGTAAATCAACAGAATATAACTTACTAATTTAAACAAACAATTAATTACGAATAATATACATATCTTTAGATTTATGTAAATGAGGAGAGAAATAAACACCATCGGTGTCAATCCTGTATTTCTGTAAAACTGTCAAAATCCCTATTAAGCTCCTCAGATGTAGATGACAAGATGCAGATAGAGACAATTAGGAAGGGAATGGGGAGATGAAAGGAGGGGAGGATTGAGATAGGAAAAGAGAGAGGGTGAGAGGGGGTGGAGGAAAGAGGAGAATAATAGGCCTCGTTGTGATTTCAAAAAAGAAATTCGCTTTTAGTTTATTCATTTAAACAAAAATTGACCATGATGACTTTCACTCCATCTCAAAATGCTTTAATTTCACCGATAAGATGTAATTTCATTGTTTCCTTAAGAAAATGTCAAATGTCATGCAACAAACAACAAAAGGGGCTCCTACAAAGAGAAAACTAAAAGCGAAAATATACAATTTTTAGACATTGGTATATAGGCCTACCCCTAAATTGTCATCATTGTGATTACATTGTCAGGGATGATTTCAATATTTATTTTTTTGCTTTACATTGCCCAAGATACTGCTTAGCATCAACTTTGAAGTTGGGTGTAATGGTCTGAATATTCATTTGTGAGCGAGCGAAGCAAACGACCACAAATCTTAAGATTTGAGAGGTCGCAGTGCAAAAAATTACATCCTGTAAAAAAAAAAAAAGGAGGGGGGGGGGGTCCCAATGGGTTTTAAGCACAATCTAATCATGAAAGACTGAAAAGACCTTTAATAAGTAACATAATCATATGAAATATACATGTGAGCTAACGTAGCGAGCAAGTTTTTCGGGGAATTGAATACAAATTTGCTCTAAATCGCTTCACATTATAAGGGGCGCATGTAATAGAGAAAGGAAAATGGGTTATTTATCAGGAGGGAAAAGGACACTAAATAAAAGGAGGATGTGTCAAAGTGAAAAGGGCAATTATCAGAGGTGAAAATGGGGCAATTCTCGCACCTGAATAGGGGCACCCACCAGAGATGAACAGGGGCACTTATCAGAAGAGGAAGGGTCAATAATTACAAAGGATAAGGGGCACCTCTCAGATATGAAAAGGGAGAGATCTCAGAGGTGAAGGGAGCATTTATCAGAAGTGAAAAAGGGCACGTAAGATATTGGAAAAGAGACACTTATTGCAAAGGAAAAGGGGCACATACATGTCAAAGGAAAGTGATGCGTCATGAGTACCTCAAAACACTGATGGTATATACAGCTAGAGACCAGAATGATCCACCTATTAGCAGGTAGACGAGAGTGAACGAGTGAACTACATAAGGGTTTCCAAAGTTATGCCCTCGGATAATGGATGAGGTCGAGAACCCCTTCAATAACCCGTTTTTTGTTTGCAGAGAAGATCTGGAAGGACGAGCAGAGATTATATGTCTCGAAAGGCTGTATGTTGTCACAAACCACTGCACTTGGAACAATGGGGAAAGACGTTTCCGAACGTCAGCATCGGGACCATTAAGACAAAAAAGAGCACTGAAGTGTGCTCAGGTGTGTCCTCTCGATGTCCTGACGACGAAGATGGTGATACACAAGATGCAGTCGAGTGGATGTGATATAGGGATTACAGGTTGAAATGAAGCAGAAGTGATGCAAGATAATGACCCGGGCAAGGACAGATATTACTATCCACCAAGATATAGAATGAGTAAGTTAATGATGATGACGACTGTACAGTGTCCTCCCTCATCCCCCCTCCCCCTACCCTAGCCGCCCTTACAGTGCACCCGAACCTTTGGGGCGAAGAAAACAAGTAGATAGACTTGACAACAAAAAACAGTAACCAAAATGAAGATGACAGAGGGAGTCCAGAAAGTAGGTGGGATTGAGAGAAAGAGAGAGAAAGCGAAAGAGAGAGATAGGGGATAGGGGATACTAAAATGTGACTGAAGTATGTGCAGTTATTTTATTAATGGTTTATTTATTCAAAAAATCTCTTGCATCCCAAAGGCTGAATTGCACGATTTTTTTAACAATTCAGTGACATAAAAAGGCACTGTAAAAAGCATTACACAAAATAATAACTGCATACAAAATTAGTAGCATATTCAACAAATATTCTTTCACATTTTAAACCAAAATAGCTCGAATTAGTATTAGATGGTATACAGCACTGGCGTACTGGTGGGGGGGGGGGGGCTTGGGGGCGCCAGCCCCCCTTCCCCCAAATGAAATTGAACCATGACTTATTTTCAATTCCATATACAAGTGATGTATAAATGTTCGTGATATCACATGATTTTCAACAAAATGCGCGTTTCTCCATTTCTGTTGCAAACTGGTAGTGAGCACTAATTATTTTTTTTGGTCCTCGAAAATTTGAAAAAATTGCACCCCCCCCCCCCTTGAGGGCCAGGGGGGGGGCATCTCCAAAAAAAGGTAAAATCAACGTTAGAAATTGTAAAAATACACATTTTTTTTTCCCGACATTGGGGGGGGGGGGGGGGCAACTGAATTCAGACTAGGATTAAGAGTTGAGAACGATACAACGATTTGTCTTCTTTCTCTGATAATTTAATGTAAGGTGGAAGCTTCCGCGCTTTTCGCTGGATTGGCGAATTTGAATTCAGACAAGGATTAAGAGTAATAGTTTAATGAAACGTGAAAGCTTCCGCGCTTCGCGCGAGATCGGCAAAAATTAATTCAGACAAGGATTAAGAGTCGGAACCGGTATAATGAATCGTCTTTTTTCTCTAATAATTTAATGCAGTTCTTGTTCTCCATGTTCTTGTTTTCTTTTTTTTTCCTGTATGTGTGTTTTTAGGGGTAGGCTTTTATATAAGGAATCCCTCCTTTCTGCCTATCCCAAATGCTCTTATAAATTGCCATTGTTATCACTTTCTTGTTTTTTTTATTATTCCATTCTGTATTTGTATGTTTTAAATGTTTTAATGAAGAGTGTTGAATAAACTTTGAATTTGAAGTGTCAAAGATTCCGCGCTTCGCGCGGGAGAGGGGGAAAACTGAATTCAGACAAGAACACGATACAACGAATCGTCTTCTTTTTCTAATAATTTAATGAAACGTGAAAGCTTCCGCGCCTCGCGCGGGATGGGCGAAAATGAATTCAGACAAGGATTAAGAGTTATAGTTTAATGAAACGTCAGAGTTTCCGCGCTTCACGCGAGATGGGCGAAAATGAATTCAGACAAGGATTAAGAGTCGAAACCGGTACAATGAATCGTCTTCTTTCTCTAATAATTTAATGAAGTGTCAAAGCTTCGGGAGGGAGGGGAACTGAATTCAGACAAGAACACGATACAACGAATCGTCTTCTTAATTCTCTAATAATTTAATGAAACGTGAAAGCTTCCGTGCTTTGCGTGGGATGGGCGAAAATGAATTCAGACAAGGATTAAGAGTAATGATTTATTGAAACGTCAAAGCTTCCGCGCTTTGCGCGGATTGGGCGTAAATGAATTCAGACAAGGATTAAGAGTCGAGAACGGTACAACGGATCGTCTTCTTTCTCTAATAATTTAATGAAGTGTCAAAGTTTCCGCGCTTCGCGCGGGAGGGGGGGGGGGGGGACTGAAAAATAACTTAGTTCCCATCCCCGGGTTTATAGGGTTAAATTTG